CTTGAGCGAAATTATTGTCTTGTGGCTAGTAAGGGAGAGATGTGTAAAGGGTAAGACGTCTCTGATATTCAATCTATGGAGAGTAGGGTATTTATCTGTCAATCAAGCAAACGCTCAGTCTGACAAATAATCACTCATAGAACGGTCTGATATCCAGCAGATTGCACTTGGACAAGTAGATGTATTCTGTATTGGTGGCTATCTAGTTCCACTATGGGCGGTGGCCGATGTATTTGATGTGCTCTCTAATTATACATCATACGCAGTTGTACAGTTGTATGTCAAAGCATAAACTATGTAAATAGGAGTCTTCTAAATTACCTCAAGCACAGAAGCATGTTTCTATCGTTACCACACCGTAATAAAGGCCTCGATTATTCTGTATATTGAGCTATATGAGCGTTGTATGTACTTATAATTCATTCGAAGTCCAGAGGATGCACCTAATCTCGTTAATATATATTTACGTCCACGCCAAGAATATGCTACACTTCGCAACATCTCAACGCAGCGTCACATTCTAGAAAGTTGGACTTTGAATAGAGAATAGTCCAATTTAAATTATTATTGAATTGTCTTCACGTACATAATAGTAATCGAAAGGAGATGAGAACGATGAGATAAATATATATCACATGACTACTTCGTACAAGCACTGGTCCTACACCTTCTTCGACCCACTTTCCTCTTCATTTCCTCCAACCACAATCATTCACCGTATACATCCATCCTGGACCAACCTTTCATCACGTCAATATTTTTGACGAATTTGGGATGAAGAACCCTGAATCTCATCGAAGAGGGGACAGATGATGATCTCTCACTGCCGAAGCTTTTTCGTCACATCTTCCTTCCCCTTTGGCTCCTCGACATCTTGAGCTCAGATCCTTTGCGAAACCTGGACCAGACAAAGCCAGATGACACCGCACGAGATTCCTGAACCTTAGCAACAGCGCCACTTGCGATGTTGCTTGGATTTGTGAGTAGACTAATAACGTGTTCACGACACCAAACTGACAGCTCTACTCAAAACAGGGGCAAGCGGGAAACAGACCTTCAAAACCATGCTAATTGCATGCACGACTTTAGGCGAAGTTTGAGCACGAACGAGTAGTTGATCACATTGTATGTCGATCTAAAGGATTGGTAGGACGTCACGCTAATCTTGAATTGTCTTTCAGAGCCTGGAGTGAGATGGGAACAAATGCGTCCCCTCGAAGTATGGCTGACTGACTACAACCAGCCAAAATCATTCTATTTAGAGTGAAAAAAAAGGAAATTAGAGCAACTCGATGCGGTTGTCCGAAATTGTCCGGAATGGGGTAATTATGGATGTGGAAAATCAATCCCATGTCCATAAACGAAGGGACCGGGCAAGTCTACTGGGAGGAAGCTTTATGAGATCTTCGTCTTATCGCGATCAATTAAGAGATTTTGTCCACGGGCCTTGCCTTCCACTGGTTGCCTGCTCTCGGAAATTTGGAGAGAAAGACCTCTGACAAGGTCGGTCATGACTCCTGGCCTTGGAGTACCCGCAACCCGACAAACTTGAAGGCCCCGGTAAAACTCCAGGGAACTACATATACTCTCCGCCGCCAGGAATCTGTGACATGCCCCAGGCAGATCTTTACCACCACAACCGAATGATCCAGTGAATATCCCACTGGTATAAAAGGGGCTGTTGGACTTGTGATGGATCCTGACTCGCATTGCTATAATGTGAGGATGCGTAGAAGGCAAGGAGAAGGACAAGAACAGTAAACTCGACTATGGTGAGGAGGGAATCATTTCTCGCGTCTGCCGATGATTCTGTTTCTGCTTTGGGCTCAAAACTCAACTTCATAGCCCTGTGGCTTAGAAAATTTCAGGGGAACCAAGCTGAGTATGGGTTAGTGTCGACAAATGATTTCAATATTGGGTGTTATTCTGCTGTGAGCTTATCAACTAACTCTCATCTCACAGGTTATCTGCGACTTCCTCATATATCATTCTCCCTTACCTACCGCCATCATCAAGCCTTCTTCAGACGATAATCCTCCCCCCAGCTTGGGCTTGAGGACTCTATCAAAACATCAAACATCTTTGACTTTGAACCAGTCGCGCGAACCGATCACCCGAAGCAGGGACAGATAATAGCGTCCATTTATTGCTTGGAATTTTCTGCACTGATGATGGGAGAACAATGATGTCCGAGTATTGGTTGAACTTAACGATGGGGGCGTGAATCGAAAGGATAACGAAGTTCAGGAATTTCCTACGAGCGGCGTTTTTGGCAAAGTGGCAGACGGTCTGAAAGGAACTACAGTCACATTCATGTCACAGTCTCCAGCAACCATGCTACGTTTAACGAAAGCACCTCAGCAGCCCTGCAGTCTGCAATCGGGCTGCTTGATCGGATCTTACTGCCAACAAACAACTCACCCCATTGGCAGATACTGCGATGCATCTACAAATCTGCAACGCATGGCACTCAAGAACTTAGGTTCCAAAGATCACCTGCTTGGAGTCTGTCGGTTAATACGAGCCCTAGGCAGGGCAGATTTGACGCCGATGATAAACCAAAGTCAACTTCTTGCAGCGTCGTGCCTTACTCAAAAAGAAGTTGCTTGATGAAGGCAACAGCCCACCGCCACCAAGAGCCTATGCCTCGACCTCCGCCCTCTGCTGTCAGAAAAAGCCCTAGCAATAGTTATCGGAAATAGATGGAGAGAAAGAATCTTAAATTATCCAGTAAGAATAAGTGACATCGCTCACCCTGATTCTTTGTCGTTTCTCAGCCAAGTCACATCTACCTTTGTGAAGGGGCCGTGCCAAAGGTCCGTATGGAATATGAGGACTTTTTGAGAAGAGTAGTTTCATTTCGAGAACTGCTTATTGGCGGTTCAACTTCAGCTTACTTGCCTGTTTTTCTAGGGTTGATAATTACTATGTAAAATGAACACATGATTACTTGAACCCTTGACGCGCTTGGGAGACATGCCTTTCCAAGAGACGAATCACGAATCCCACGGCTGGCTGCTCATAGCCCCTAACATCCTTATATTCTTGTTCTGGAAGGAAGAGCCCGCCGTATATGATCGTTCTGTGACATCTAAGATGGTGAACACAATGATCTGCACGAGTTGCTCCATATGAATATCCCTCCGCCTCCGGTTCTATATTTTGAGAAAGAAATGGGTAAGAGAATATGACGAAGGCAGTATCAAGGTCACCCTTTAGGTATAGGATAAAGCTTGGAAACTGACGATTGTCAAGGAGGTCTTGTGATATAGCCCGCTGGTTGTAGGTGAATGTTGACCACCGAGCTGCAGGCCGAGAACAACGAATGCTGAAAGATTTCTCTCGATCCTGATCATAGTGAGGACTCATCTTCTGAATGGGGAGTTTGATGGTATTCTAAAGTGTGGACAAATGGGAAAGTCCCTTTTGTTTTCAAGTCTACGGAAGGTGCGATGCTTCTGATAATACTGCATATGACTTTGACTTTTTACGCTGAGGGTTTACCACTCATCTTCTTGCTAGGTGAGTCCTGTTGTCCTTGAACTGATGTCATTTCAAATGACATGCAAGACTAAGATTCTACGGCGAGAATAGCAGTGCAAAGGCCACAGACTCGGCTATCCAAGGCCACGCGAGAACATGGAACCGCTAAATGCCAAACTATCCACATGATGCAAGTAAATAGCTGCTTGGTCCAGGCCCGAATCATTCGATTCGAGCCGTGATACCAAAAGATAACCAGCCAGGACGAACACGTATTACAAATCCCCAAGCAGATAGAGAAGCACGTGAAACCCAAGAGGCGATGACATTTGCAAGTCACCCGGACAGATAAGAATCTCATCTCCGACAGATGCAAGTCCAGAACTGGACGTGTCGCACTTTACGACGTGGCCGCCACCCGATTCCCGCTTGTGCTGTGCAACGGAAAGCTGCAGACCAAAAAAAAAAAAAAAGCAAGGAAAATCTTCGCTTAATCCTCCGAGAAAATACCCCGGTCTCGTGGATCTCAACATCTCCACAATCATGCAGCGTTGTGGCGGTCAGATATGAAATCTCAAGATGCAGCATCGGGCGCATGCAGAAGACAAAGGCGAGACCTGTGGGAACTTGCAGGGTTATGTGGACAAGAGAAAGTGCGGTCAACAATTTCTTCTTTGTGAGATATCACTGCATATCATCGAGGCTTCGGGGACGGAGTACTCCGTACGGTCAAACAACTTGCTGCTTTGCGGTGGACCCAGGGGACATGGTTTGTCGCAAACCTCGACTATCGGTGTGTTGGAGGACTGACTGATGCATGCTCCGGGGCCAGACCGATGGGAAAGACTGGGGTTAATTGAGTTCCTGTTGGGAATATGCCTGTTGGACTGCATCGAGATCGGGAGGCAGATCGGACAATTTTATTGCATCTACCACGTTTCTCGTTATCCCGGAAGTGTTCATGCTAGTAAGTTTGGTTTCACGGGCCCTAAAGTCCTCAAGGATTGCTTTATATAAATTCAGGGGAACTGTTACATCCATATTTTAACGCCAAATCGCCATCGGCCTGGATTTAGGCGTTATGCGACGTCATAAAAAACGTGGAGCTGATGATTGGGCCGTTGAAGACACGTCAGATCCCCTAACTCCGAGCTCCGAGCCTCAAGATAAGGCGTTGGGAGATGACTGAGTGTAGGGATCACCTAGGGATCACCTAGGGATTACCTATATACTACATAGGGATAGAATTACACTAAAGGGATATTTAGCTTGGGATTCCAGAACAAGTTCAAATTAAGGTCAAGAATGTGAAGTGAAAGAAAAAAAAAAATGTAAAGAAAAAGAAAAGAGGGGGGTACGCCAACGATCTAACGGTCAGCCACCTGGGCATTGGACTCCGATAAATAAGCACCGAGGCAGCAATTTAAATGGCAATTTCAAAGGTCGCCTTTCTCCTCGACATACATGTCTAAGGACATTTCCAGGGTGGATGTTCTGCTCCCTTTACAACACCATTCATGACCGACACCATGACAGAGACAGAGCCACTATTGGGCTCACATGCCACCAAGCCAGCGAAGCATCCAAAGAAACTACTGATCTGTGTCGTGTGCACGATATTCTTGCTATCGGCTGATTTCGGATTCTTCATGTCCTCCGCTCCACAACTCGCAGTATATGAGGACATTATCTGTCGAAACTACCAGGCCACTCTTCACGGGGCGGGAAATGAGACTCTGACTCCGCCAGTGTCCAACCCGTGTAAATCAGAGGCTGTACAAGGAGAACTGGCACTCGTCATTGGGTACCAGAATACATTCGATGTGATCCCTGGTATGTGTGTCTACAATACAACCGAGGTCAGGTTGCTGATGCTTTGAAAATGTAGGTCTTGTACTCTCGCTGCCATACGGCGTTCTCTCGGATCATTGGGGGCGGAGGCCTATCATTTATCTTAGCATGGTGGGCATTCTCCTCGGGGAGATCTGGGTTCGGATAGTTTGTAAGTCATTGCACTCCTTAGTCAATGTTTTACTAATCCCTTTATCTTAGGTCTGTGGTCTAGCGTCATTCCCATACGGATGGTCTGGCTGTCTTCTGTGTTTAAAATCATTGGTGGTGGCGACCAAGTCCTCACGGCCATTGCCATGGTCATAGTGGCCGAGGTCTTCTCCGAAGATGAGAGGTACTGTTATGTCTTGATGCTTCCATGTGATAAATCTAACATTCGTACAGAGCAACTGCGCTCTTCCGTTTACAATCTTGTGTCCAAATCGCAGAGATTCTGGCCACTCCGCTCAGTGCTTATCTGATGAGTTTCGGTCCAATGTTTCCGTACCTTCTATCAATATGTATCATCATTGTGGGATCTCTTCCAGCCTTGTTTCTGCCCGAGACTCTCAAACACACAAAAGAAAATCGAGTCGATCCAGAAATCCCAGACCAGGACAGCGTAAGCGTGCAGTCCCAGCCTCCGGGCAAGCGGACAGTGGTACAGGAGATCACCCGACAAGTTCGCGAGTTCATACAGTCGACACGCTTCATTTGGACTGATTTCAATATCTGTTTAATGGTATTTGTGATGCTTGTCACCATGTTAAGTCGACAAAGCACAAACCTACTTCTACAATATGTGTCAAAGAAGTTTGACTGGAGTATTAGTCGCGTATGTACCTGTTCTCTCCATCGAATAACCGAACTAACCTTGCTATAGGCCAGTCTCTTGATCTCGCTGCGCGGGATCTTTGCTCTCGTGACATATTTGCTTATAATGCCAACCCTGACATTCTTAGTGGCCAAATACCTAAACATCCGTGGAAAGCATAGCGATCATTTCTTTGGCAAAGGTACCGGCATACTTTCAATCATTGGATTCGCCGTTATCTTTATAGCCCCGACACCCGCTATCTTGATCAGTGGTCAGGTCATCTTGTCAATCGGCTCGGCGTTTATGATCAGCACACGCAGTATGGCTACTTCACTCGTACAACCCGACCATGCTGCCACCTTGTACTCGGCAATTGGTATTGCGCAGGGCGTGGGAACACTCATTTCGGGTCCATTGTTTGCCAAACTCTTCAAATTAGGCATGCACCTTGGACCTGCGTGGATGGGACTGCCGTTCTTGCAAGCCTCTCTATTTTTCGTTGTTGCTGTCATCGCCCTTTGGCACATTCGACTTGGACCGTCTCCGCGAGCCAATGATGAGGAACAGGAACAGGAACCTTTGTTGTCTTAATATATTCTATATTTCTCTGATCAATTTCATTACATCCAAGCGATTCAACACGGGTACCTTTCATGTGGGGAACACTTTGTCAGCCTGCAGAGATGGCGCGGGAACCTGTATATATCCTACCCAGTAGTAATCAACATCATGGAGATGCCTCTAACAGGCCATTGTCTAAGCGAAGCAACGCCGGGCTTTTAGATAAAACAAAATCTGTCAGGTTCAATGCTAAGCGTTCTGGTTCGTCAGGATCGGGGCGATCGGCGGGTTTCAATCTTGCGGGGTTAAATCAACTTGAAGCAATTTAAATCAACAAGTCGGAGATCCGAAGGAGCATCCCGGGCAATGCAACCTCAGGAGGCGTTTCGTCAGTCTTCTGCAGACGAAAACCGTCGGACTATGACTTAGCGGTTGAGTCCGTTGTGCATTTCCGTCTCTTCATTGGAGAAAGCCTACAACGCGACTTGCCCCGCTCGGTGATCGTCGCCTAGTTCGACCTGCACTACTGTATCTTATATTACTTCTTTGTCGGGATGATAGGTGTAGCGGCGACGTCCGAGAACAAATCAGCTTCTTCTTATCGGTACATGTGCTTGTATGTTTTGGGGCCTGGCATTGTATATGCCGAGTAGAATCTGGACTAAATGCATATAAAACCATTGTATGATCCCCTTACATATCTTCACTCACCTCAACAATTCCTTCTCACTTCAATCCTGACAAAATGTTCCAATCCCAATCCACAAAGGGCATGTTCGCCCTGGCAGCCATGAGCCTCATCGCCGGCACAACCGCTACCCTCGAAACCTGCAGCGGCAGCACCCCCTCAGCTGCTCAAGCTCCTCCGAAGAGCCATCCTGCTGCTTCAACTCCCCAGGCGGTGCCCTCCTCCAGACTCAATTCTGGGATACCAGTCCATCAACCGGTCCTGACGACTCATGGACCATCCACGGACTGTGGTACGTAACCCTGACATCCAACCTGATCTCTAAGAGAATAAACTAACACCTCCCCCTTCAGGCCCGACAACTGCGATGGCACATACGAGGCAAGCTGCGACTCGAAGCGCGCTTACACCAACATCACTGCCATCCTGCAGGAGCAGGACCTCGGTACGCTGGTCGACTACATGGACGAGTACTGGGTTGATATCAACGGAGATAACGAGGACTTCTGGTCGCACGAGTGGAGCAAGCACGGTACTTGCATCAACACCATTGAGCCGAGCTGCTATTCCGGCTACACCCCGCAGCAGGAGGTGGGTGATTTCTTCCAGACGACGGTTGATCTGTTCAAGAAGTTGGATACGCACAAGGTATGTCCCCGGTTCCTCCTCCGCTCTTTCATTTGTGTTATCCGTTTCTGACTATGTGTCCCAGGCTCTCGCTGCTGCTGGCATTACCCCGAGTACTTCCAAGACGTACACTCTCGCTGCGATCCAGGCGGCTCTTACTAAACTCCATGGCGCGAAGGTTTACCTCGGTTGCTCGAGCAGCAAGTTGAACGAAGTTTGGTACTTCTATAACGTCAAGGGCAATGCTATTGATGGAACATACGAGGCTGTTGGCACGCGTAAGTTTCTATCGTTTTGCACTTTGGTTGGTTCTTTACTGACCTCTTGTTCTTTTAGTCACCACTCCTAGCTGCCCCGCGACTGGCATCAAGTATGTGCCCAAGTAAATAGAGAACAGGGATTGATGTGGCTTGATGATTGGTCTTGTTGATTGGCACACTGAATGTATCGCTGAAATGGTATCTCTGGATTATTGCTATATAGTACATGTTGATGATACAGATTCGAATTTTCGTTAGTCTGATATGATGATCGTTTTGATTGACGATAACGCTTCACTGGGATGAATGTAGACCGTTCTGCTGCAGGGCGTTGGCCACATGGTCGTATGGAGCCTCGAAGCTCGAAGCAAGGATGCCAGCCATTCTCGTGAATGCATCCCGGTCATTATTGTTGCCCTGTAGTGGAAATAGATCACACCGTAGTGGTTTCGAGGTCCAGAGCTCACACTTTCAATCCGAATCGAGGGAGCTGTTGCTCAAAGTAGAGCTAGCCGGGAGGTGACAAGGCTTGCAGATATTTCCGCAATAACACGACTGTATATGAAGCCATATCCTTGTTGCAGCACGGGGCAGGAGGAATGTGTTTCTGACACCAGATGAAATTTGGGCAGAGAGTGCACAAGGGCTGTTTTCATACACCCTTGAGCCGTGCAGTGCGCCGTTCCTCTTCCCTCTTGTCTTCCATGCGACCCAAGAAATCCATGCGACCAATATAACCCTCCTTGGCTTTGCTGTGCGTGCGCAGCTCGTCTTTGATACCGGCCGAATCGACATAAGTGGCCCAGTCCAGTCTTGACTTCTCGACGGTGTTGATTTTGGGTCCGCGCGCGTCCGCAACGAGTTGCTTCTCCCAGCTTTTCTTGATCGTGCCGGTTGGATTGGGGTCGAATCGCGAGATCTTGCGAAGCGGTCGGCGCAGGTTACGAGCGGCGTTTATGGCCGCCGCATCCTCATCGGTATATTCGACAAGCTCCCCACTCGACAGGAACGCTTTACCCTCCGCCGAGTGTTTGGACACGACCTTCTCCTCGGTGATCCATTCTCCGGCAAATTTGTAGGTGCGCTTGATCTTGATCATCTGGTCGGCGTGCACGGCAGGGATTGTTTGGGGTTCCGCGTCTTTGGCACCCTTGTCCTGTGCTTTCGTTTCGCCTGTTGGTTCGGGTTCGGGGACCAATTCGGTTATCTGCTGGGTTGAGGGTGGCTGCAAACTGGTCTGACCTTGGGGGGCATTCATCTGCTCCCATAGGGCATCCACGTCGACGGTCGCACCATCGATTTTGGCCAACGGTTTGCGCTGCTCTTCTTGTCTGCTCGGGAAACGCGTATTAGAACCGCGATAATAAGTCAAGTAACATCGGCTAGGAAAGAAACCTTACATCTGCTGTTTCATTGCGCGAGTTCGCACAAATCCCCCCGTTCCTCCTTCATCGTCGTCCATGTCAATGTCGCCATCGTCCTCGTCGCTATCGCGCGCGCGTTTACCCTTGGTCTTCTTTCCCTTGGTCTTTTTCTCTTTCTTCTCCCTCGCTTTTCTAATTGTAGCCTCATCTCCAGAGTCGAGTTCTGCATCTTTGGGGATCTGAGATTTGGTGTCTGTCTTTCGCTTCTTTTTTGCGGGTTCCGCAGCCTCATCGGCATCGGAAGATAAGTCGGAGTCGTCCGGTGCCGCGTCTAGCTCAAAATCTTCATCCTCGGCGGAGTCATAGGCCTCCTCATCAAGGTCCTGATTTGCTGGCAGAGTAGGATCTGTCATTGTCAATGTTTTTCTCTGTGTTGGTGCTTATCAAGAGGAGATACAGAAGAGCAAGGCGCAATAAGGACGAAATTCTGCCAAAGGCGGTGTCGCGGTGTATCGTGATCTCCAATTAACGTCATGGGAGTTTTGTCTTTATTTTTGACGCGTGACATTTCAATATCGATGAAAACATTCACTGCTTTTTTTTGTTTGATGTCATAGAGTAACATTTGGAAGCACTTGGACAGACGTCTAGCTTTGACAGATACCCTCGGAGAGGGAGTTTCCGCCATGAGCTCATTTGTCTCTACAACCAGGGCTTTATGGTGGCCTGAGGCTACAACAAATACAGCCCAGAGCCTTTCTCAAATCGCACATCAATTCTCTGGAGATCTCCTATACTGCTGCTACTGGTGACACTTTTGAAAAAGCATAAGCCTTTCCACTGTATTGGCAGTCCAATGTCGAAATACATACATACTTGGACATCGTCTAGGTCAATCCACTTGCTCAGCAGAGTAAGTAAGGTCCCATGGTGGCAGCTTTTTTGAGGGACTCAAAGGTCTGGAGTGCGGATGTCATGATAACGGCAGTGCTTTGACAACTGGAGAAGCAATGAGAATTCCCATGATCGTCTAGGAGGGCGCGTGATGACATGCCTGGGATACTGGTAGGGGAACTAGGTGGGCCGGTGACGAGTGAAAGAGATAACAATTCATTTCGTAATTGCAGCAGAAAAGAACAAGAAGGAAGAAAGAACCCGCTAAAAAAGACAGCAAATACCCAAGGAACAGAGGGCCCGACGGGCTGTTCCTCTTGGGCCGAAGCCAGAAACAAATTCAGCAATGCGCCGAAGAGCGAGTCATCAACATTCAGGCCCGAGGGGCACCGCGGCGTTGTCGCATGCCCTTACGGGGCTGAACCCGCTCGTCCCGCGGGAAAGCCAGCGTCTGTAATACATGTGACGGTTAGTATTATTGCGATCGACCAAGGCATGATGAGATAAGAAAGAATGCATGGGACAATCAACCAGGAAACGGGGCCAAATCCAGTGATAAGGCATTGGGGATTGATAGGATTGGAGGGTTTGAGAGAAGCAAATTGTTCTTACCTGCCATCTCCCGAAGAGTCTGGGGTGTTGTCCACCACTGGGGTCCACGACTTGGGGCGGGCACCTGAACTTCATGCTGGCTGAATCGGTTTTGCTGGCCGGCGGGATTCACTTCGGCGCCTTGAGTAGCACCGCGACCACGGTCACGAACACCTTCAGAGCCATGGCCGTCATGACCATTTTCAGGAGCAGAATAAGCACCACGTCCACGACCAGGATCAGTACCACGTCCACGACCACCGCGACCAGCACGCATATCACCTCGACCACGGCCTCGACCCCAGGCCCGACCACCACGGGCCAAGCGATTGCGTCGACTGGACTGCTGCTATGTAGGTCATGCACGTTAGACATCATACTCATTGTTGTTATCCTGAAAGATAACCGAGATGGGTGTGAATATCTTACAGCCAATCGCGCATGGACTACGCCCACAGTAAGTGTGGCGACACGAGCATCACGCTCAGCGGAGGGAAGAAAACCCTCTTGCTGTAATTGACATTATGATATTAACATAAAGCCCCAGCAGATTGAGATGGATGAAAAGCAGGAAATTGGAATGCTCACTTACGTCGACCTGCTGTTGGACTGCGCGCGCTATCAATGCGGTGACGCGGGCGTCGTGCTCGGTGGCGGCTTGGATCGCATTTTGCTGTGGCCGATATCAGTATTTCTCTGCAAACATTCAAAAGCAACGAGGCGTTTGATATGCTTACGCGGCGCCTGAAACGCCAGGCTGCCCGGCGACGGCGCTGCGCGGTCCTACTGCCGTCATTGTCACCAGGAGGGCGCTGCTCGCTCATTTTGTTACCAAAACGGTCGAACGATAGAATGAATGATGTACAAAGGACAATTTGCGCAGAAACAGAAAGAGGGAAAGAAAGAGAGAAGATTAGGAGGGGAACCAGAGCTTTTTATTTACCTTTATCATGGCACGTGCGTTTTGGATGTTCATACATTTCAGGTGAAATGTTTTAGCATATGAACTCTTCAGGTGCACGTGCCTTGGATGTTCATCCATTTTAGGTCAACTGTTCGGATTGAGCTCGCCTACTAGGTGCACGTGGCCTGGAGGTGGCCACATTTGTGACAGTAAAAGCAGAGCTAGGTTCTTTTCAGGCTATATATGATTTAATTGCTCCCCTTCGCTCCGCAATGAATTAGCCTGCAAAGATAGACCTACCCAAGGCTTCTAGGGCCTTGGGGTCGAAATTAGACATAGCTGGACTGTTTACGACACCCATGGCAACAAAGAATAGGTCTGTACCCATACACCTCCATGGCCATGGCGCCAATTACCGGTAGTATCGGCTCCACGTCCCATCTCAACGAATGGCAGCACCCTGCTGCCGAGTGTGGCCGAGCTTCTATGCTAATATTTGCACTGAGATACCTATGTAGGCAGAGGCTGAATGACATCTGCGGTAAGACTTGTAGAGGAGATCTACCAGGTCCTCTGATTGACAAAAGGGTTTCCAACGACCAAAACAGGCTCATAAAATGCCAGGAAGATCAAAGTGCGCTTGAATGATATTCATTGCTTGTACCTACCCAACTAGGTAGGCATAAGATAGAGAAACGGGGGTTGGTGTCACTCGGTGATTCAAAAGAGAGACAAAGCATAACGAGAGCAAATCAGGGATCACGGCTTAATAGCACGACTTCGGCATATAATTCAGCAACTCGTAAAGCCTTGATCAGTGTTGTGGACTAGAATATTTCGATCCATATCTGACCTTGCATGCCTAGACTTTGTTGTGAAGGTGGACAGATCGACGTAGGAAGAGGTACCGGCATCTCGAGGTTGACTGCTCATTCGAAACGCTTCCTGGTCATGGAGAATACAATATCGGCATCGACCTATTTGCCAAACGGAAAGACCGTAGCTAGTGAAAAAGACAAGAATCGTAACCAAAACACCGAGACTATAGTATAGAGCAGTTCGGTACTGAGCATCCATGTTTTATGAAATGAAGGTGGGAGAAAGTTGCAAGCTAGATACATATGACATACTATATACAACATACAATATACATGCCCAGGTGAGTTATATACGCAATTGCCACGATGCGTGGACGTAATAATTAACAAGTTGCGATCAAGGGGGGTTTAAGCTATTATTCCTGACTAGGTTAATCTATGATATACTTAGTATACCATGAACATATTTGATTATACCCCCCGAAGCATACTTCTGCTTTTGGTAAACCTGTATAGTTCTCAACTCACCCTGAAACATTCTTTGGCAATCAAGATAGTGAAAAGAGTAACAATCCGTTATGCAATGATTTCTGACGCCAATCAGACTCCTAGATTTGAGGATAAATACAGCGTATTTTACCACTAGACCACTACAAAAACCGTAGCTCTTGTATGGGGCCTAGAGGCGCCATATCTACTGTTTGATCCTAGATTCTATAATTCATTGTAGATTTTCGTATGATATCGCAGCGCCATAAATTGAGATGATAGTTTCTAATTTCGCGCATGGTTTTACTCTTGACAATCGATTGTACTGTCGCCTCGCGCGCGGATAGATCCTCTTTAGACGACTGAGGTGACCAAGCGCGATTCGAAGAGAGTGATAGGCAATAGGTAGATATCATCAGCTTTATAAGATGACATCCAACTATCAATCTTAAACTTCTGAATAGACACTAATTTGTTAAGTAGATCCTTGTCTATCGAATGTACCTAGTTGGTAACTCGATCCGCGATCACCATATATCAATACCTTATAGAGGTCAACATCGATACTCACCCTAAGATTAAGTGTCATAGTCTAGGATTTAAAGCGATAAAACCACCCCAGCGCCAGTCTTTCTATGGTCACAATTTTATGTAATCAGTCCCATAGAAAACCTTGGTTTGTGTAAATGATTGTAGTGGAGTTTTAAATATTCCTAATGCGGCTCTGGTCATTCACCATTGGCCAACGCAAGCAGGGGCATCAACTGAGGAATGTGGCACCGATATCTGGAATGCAACCTCAGAGAGAGTCATGATGTCGAAGAACCACCTCATTATCGACACCCATGGTAACTCGCAAGTTTGGTTGGACCAGAAGAACACCGCTTTAGGCTAAATTATCGTTTTCTGGTTCAATCCTTATCTTCAAGCGAACTTCTTGCCTAGGTGTTATACTAACCCGGCACACGCAACCATCTTTTATGGTCAATTGACTCAATCACTCTATTCAATCCGTATAGCTTTCTTAGGCGTAAATGTGAAGACAACATGAAGCCTGGAGAAGAATGTGGCGCCTGTAACACATTTCCACGTGGGAGCTTTCTTCAAACTCTTGTCAATCGGGCCAGGAATAGACACGGCCTTGAAAGAGAACTCGATGGTTCCATTGCCTTTAATATGGATGTAACGTTCGAAATTCAGCTTTTCCAACGCCCACTATTATCTTAGAAAACTCTCGAGTGAATTCACTTTAACTTTATCTCACAATCTGATCTTTCCCTACCAGCGCGCATTTTCTTCTCATTTTAACACCTTGTATTCGTCGTTTTGGCTTTCGTTATTATCAATATGCGTTTCTTTACTACTCACCTGTCTCTCTTACTTGCTACATCGGCTACCCTCATCGCCGCTCAGGATGCAGCACCCACATCCCCAAGCACAAACGGCAATTCGAATTGCGCTTCCCAAAAGTAAGCTTCCAGCACCGATAATCTGCCATTTAAGATTCTTTTCTCATAGTCAACAGAGTTGTAGATTCATGCGTTGCGATCATGAAGCGTGGACTCGCAAAATGTTCCGATGCTGATTGGGACTGCAAGTGCTCAGGCGCTGCAAATATTGCCAAGTGAGTAGACAACCTGGCTACAACCTGCCCGACTCTTGTCCTCAAGAAGATATATATACCTGCAACGTCACGGTACTAATATAATGGAACAGCTGTTACGTAAATTGCTCCGAGGATGACCCAGATTCGTCAGCGGCCAGACAACTCAGCGTTAATGATTGCGCTACCGCGAATGCATACGACCAAGGAGAGACCACCGTCGCACCCTCATGGACTCTACCCGGTTCGAATGCCGCACAGCCGACCCGCGTAGATGCCAGTATAACAACTAGTGACAGCTCGTCTACTACTGCCGGGCCGACCAAATCCTTTATTGGGAATGAGAAGTCGACAAGTCCATCAGAGGGGGCTGCAGTTGTGAATGCTGCTGGCAGCTGGATGGCTCTTGTTGTTTTAGGATTCGGCGCTGCATTTTGAGGCTACCGGCCCCGGAAGAGGGGAGTTCTGAAGCTATTTTAATAGAGTTATAGAATGCAAGGCGTATAACATCATATACATAACTAAACAGAATAGGAAAAACAGGCTGCAGATGTACTAAACTAGTAAACCCCCACCTCACAGCACATCAATGTCCAGCATAGATAACCACGGATACACCCCTTCCATTCAACATAGGAAAACATACATTCATACAGATAGACCAACGAACGCCACGCTTACACAGCATCCTCCCAAAGTCATTCACTCATCAATTGCGAGACGCCTGCTTAGTAGCAATCTCCAACTTCTCGAGTTGGACTTGCTCTGCCCGCCGACGAGCAACATCCCGCTGGTACCACGTGCCAGCAGCAGCAACGAGTCCCATCAAGACCTCCATTCCAACGAGTACACATAGCAACACAAAGCCAGCGCGAGTATTGATACAGTCACGATCAAAGTGGTGGGGTGTACTGATACTGCTTGTCCCAGTCTTCCACTTGCAGGTCCAGCTGTGAAGGGTTTCGTTCTTGCTGAACCCTGCTGGGTAATCTGAGGAAGGGAGGTAGACTATGAATAGGATTCCGACTAGGGCGGTTAAGAAGCCTGCGACTGCTGAGGCCGAGGCGTAGATGTTAAGCGGCTTAATACGAGAATGTGGCTGGGCGGGTGTTAGTAGATGGTATCGAAGGTTGCCAAACAGTGGGAGGGTAAGACTCACAGATGGTAGGAGCGCAGCGGCGATGTATACCAAGTTCAACACGGAGATTATACAGCCGCACGCAATGGCGGCTGTTGTTGGACGGAGGTCAAAGTTCAATGGCCACAGTGCGAGACCAGCACTCGCCCACTGAGAGGTGTGCTTATAGTGTCGCAAGGGTGGGGCTTCGCATGCGACGACGGCAATAGCAATGCCGAAAGTCAAGAAAGATAGACCAAGTCGTGCAAAGTGAATGATACGATTGCGTTTCAGAAAGTTTGATTCCTCCATATCTGAAGAAAAAGCCGTGCCTGAGCCAGTGAGGGACGAGGTTGAGGTCATGATGAAGGAGTGTCGTTGGCTTTCGTGAGAGGATAGAGAGAGGGGTCGAAGGAGAGTGTGTAACTGCCAATGATTGCCTTGCCGGCAAGGATACTCCTAGGAATTGATATAAAAGAACGAAGAACCCCTCAGGGGCAACGAGAAACAAAAAGCAAAGTCAAATGCTATGTTCAGCTATCTTCAAGCAACGGTCAAATAATTATTAACGGATACCAGCTGGGATATGTATATTTGTAGAACATAATCCTAAGATTAATCCGGGGACTAACTTAGTGGGCGCTATGCTATCACAGAGGTGACTATCGAATGGGCGCGTATCCTGAAGACGATATTCAGCCCATATTACTGCATAAAGCCATGCAGAGCGCCTCGACGGGAAACCGACCGCTCTGATTTGTCCTAGGCTCTGGGTTAAATTCGCAGGACTGTCTAGAATTGTAAATAGTAGCCTTGCAACTGGGACTTGTACATCCCCGAAGTATAATTGTCTGGGCGGGCGCCAGCGTGCAGACTTGGCAGACACATTGGTGGTCAAGCACCAACAAAGCGCCTAGAAGACCCAAATATAGAGTCTGAGCGGGGTTTGTATTGAATTTGTGGTTAACGAACAGATCTCATTCGTCTGTGGGAAAATCCGATTTTCCCGTGGCCATGAGTGACCTGTGATAGGTAACGTCGAAGCGCCGAGGATTGTGCCTGGGGGCCAGCGGCAAGGAACGCACATCTCGGTCTTGCTTATTCGAGGCATTCTCGTATCCCTTAGATAGATATAGTCCTCGGTCTTTGTATATCAATGTTTCTCTCCGGATACCGAGTACTACCCCAGATGTCCCACTGTGCATAGTGCTCCGTAGTTTGGGGGGTGTTTTAGATGAAAGTGAATGCCGCAGGTAAGATTGGAATATTTCTATTTTCAAACCAACCTATGGTCACACATCTTACCTCTTAACTCTTCAATGTTGATAACTTGCTTCGCATTTTCGAGAATCCCAGAGACCTCAGGAAGTAGAGGCTGGAACTGGGGTTGCCACCGCCATCGGCAGAATCTTTTCCGAAATGGCGGGGCAAAAGTGATCGACTTTCTCTTTGAACATTATAGGTTTTGCAATTGAGCTTTTAATTTCGAAATGACTCTTTCCAAGTTGCAGGGAGTAAAGCTCCCGGCCTCGGCCGACTTCCATGGTACTAAGCAATCCTGAGGAAGGGTTAATAGATGCAAGCTAACCAAAGATAGTCCATCTTCGTGAGGGTCCTATGATGGAGTTGGTGACTCCCACTATCCGACAGGGTGGTGTAAACACCGTTTACGTTATGGTAAGCAAAGTTCTTTTTTGGGATGGGAACAATTCCTCTCCGTTGAGCTATATCTAATACACTCGATAGCCCAACCTTGTGCCACCGATCACGACCGTCGACCGTGCTCTGGACTACCAGAAGCGCCTCCAAGCCCTCGAGCCGAATGTTAACTACCTTATGTCGCTGTACCTCCATGAGACCGTGACCCCGGAGACCATCATCGAAGCTAAGAAGCGCGGTATCATTGGTGTCAAGAGTTACCCGGCTGGTGTGACGACCAACTCCTCTGCGGGCGTGGTCGACTACACACAGTTCTACCCCATTTTCGAGGAGATGGAGCGACAAGACATGATTCTGAACCTGCACGGAGAAAGTCCTTCCGGAGGCGATGTGACAGTGTTGTCCGCGGAAGAGCGCTTCCTTCCCAAGCTCTTTGAGCTGCACTCCAAGTTCCCCAAGCTGCGCATCATTTTGGAGCACTGTACCACTGCTGCGGCTGTGGAGGCTGTGAAGTCGTGCGGTCCCACGGTGTCTGGTACCATCACAGCTCATCACCTATCCATTATCATCGACTCGTGGGCCGGCGACCCATTCTGCTTCTGCAAGCCCGTTGCTAAGACCCCAGCCGACCGCGATGCACTTCTCCGTGCTGCTGTCTCAGGAAACCCAAAGTTCTTCTTCGGCTCCGACAGCGCCCCACACCCAGCTGCATCTAAGCGTGGTGGCGAGAAGATCGCCGCCGGCGTCTTCACCCAGCCATACACCACCCAGGTTGTGATTGATGCCTTTGGGCAGGCCTGCGATAACGGTGTCCTCAAGGAGGATGAGATCACACCAGAGGTTGTCGAGGGTTTCATGAGCAAGTTCGGACGCGCCTTCTATGGCCTCCCGGAAGAGCAGAAGGAATTCATCACCATCGAGAAGAAGGGCGAGAAGATCTCGGAGATCCTTCAATCAGACAAGATTGACGTGGTCCCCTTCAGAAAGACCCAGGAGACATGGAGCATCACTTGGTCTTAGTAGTAAGGCGACCAGTACATATTCAATAATAGAGTCGTAGAACCAAAAGTTTTCACATGCACATCCTCTTACACAGACTTGTCTTGCGTAAGCATGTTTGCGACGCTTTCGAGGGCGTGGGCCTCTCTGATGTCGATTCTGCGACCTGCGACCACTGGATTGCCGTCGTCACCCATAGCAAGCTGGCCAGCCCGCTCAAGATGGAGTCGAATTCTGCTCTCGATATATTCCTTTCTCTCGTCTCTCTTGGACTTGGCTTCCATTGGCACTGTTGCATTGGGCAGAGCTGCCAATTTCGGCCGGAGCTGCTCCAGTGTTGTCTGCAACGCGGGCAGCTGCGAGAGAATGAAAGTAGTGTGGGTTGTAAGAGGCGTGGGTTTGGCATTAGGCCCAGTATCGACACCAACACGAAGCTGGCGTGCAGATGGGGTAGAGGTCAAGAAGGACAAATCAACTGGTTTGTTTTCGGGTGTCGTAGATACACCATCTACCTTCGCTGTTTCAACTGTTGATAGGATAGATTGTAATTGCGAGATGACCGCTTCATTTCGAGCGCGTTCTTCTTTTAGCGACCGGTTCAGTTTCTTCGTCTCGAACAACTTCTTGCGTTGCGCATGTATGCTTTCTGGCGTCGGTGTGTCTGGCGAAGATCCGAAAGAGAGCCCCTAACATAATGCGCATTAGTATACCGTATACCCAATATTACAAAAGCTAAAGCAACTTCAGATCCAGAAATCTGTGAATGACTCCACATACCTCGTAGTGCTTCAACCGCACCCAAGAGAGCAAGTCTGCGGGCACCGTGAGAATGTTGCGCAGCACATAGATCTCGAATTTGTCAAAGGCCTTGTCGACATTGGCCTCTAGCAGCGTCTCGAGCTGATGCAATCCATTCTCAATCTCTAGCTTCGCCTCGGGATAGACCACATTGCCATCCTCGTCTGTTTCCGCGATGCTGGGACCACTGCTGTCATGAGAGAAACCGAGCCGTTCAGGGGGCGTATTGAGGAGTCCCGCCTCCAAACTCGAAATCGCTTGGTAGATCAGGTTATTGATCGAGTTGATAATGTCATCTATGAGGGACTAGGGAGCTGTCAGCGATATTCCTAGCAAGCGGTGGGTCCGCAGGTCGCATGTCGTGCGTACAGCACGAGTCAATGCATATCGGTGTTGATCAACGTACCAATGGTGTGTAACTGAAGTGCTCAGTGAGCAAGGAGGTCGTCGCATCATCCATCGCGAAAAGATTGGTCTTCTCGAGCTGGGCTTGACGCGTTGAAGAAGCAAAACACGCGCGGGGGGAAAATCCACTAGCCACCGCCTTCCGTCGATCAACTACAACATTCTCAGTGACATTCAGCTTTCGTTTAAATCTTTGTTTCTCTGGCTTTTGTTTTATTATCTCCGATACATACTGCGGGTCGCTAGGTTGTACATCATTTGATGTCAGACCGACACACGAATCTCAACCCGACTTAACCCAGTCACCAGGTACCCGGCAGCGTTGATGTCCAGCTGAAGCAAATCCCTTGTACATGGCTGTCAGCATTACATAGAGTTTCTGTACAATGTAGCAGATGACCATCCCCTGGCAAATCTTTTAGTTTGAACGACCAGACTGTCGGGCCATTGGAAGGTTGTCATCTAGTCCAGGTAAGACACCGAACTTTGCCCCCATGTGCCTCAAACCAGTAGGAAAAAAATATTATTTAAACTCTGCCTGAGAACCCTGAGACCTTCGTAGCAATGCACCTTTCAACAAAACAGACAAGGCCTAGAGAGCATCCAAACATTCTGTCTCGTGTATCTCGGTAAGAGCCCATCCAGGAAAACCTCCAAATGGACTACTACTCACATCTACAGCCCACCATGTCTCAGGGAAACCCTCTCCGAGTCCTAGTGATCGTCTCGCACCGGAGTTCTCAGATATCAAAAGCCCAAAACAACCCAGAAGCCCTCATACCCAAAGCCATCCGCCTCCTCAAAGCAAGTCATCTCTACACCCCACAAGAAGATCACCCAACAACAAAGCTGGTGGCAGCTCAGAAGTGGCAAACGCGGGTATTCTTCGTCTTCGACATCTGCCACGCAACCTACGACGCCAATCTCGGCCATCTGCCCGAGCAGAACAAGCTTCCCGTTGCTGTTGTTCATCTCAGCAAAAAGAACACGGCCTATGTGGCGAATGCGTGGTTGTCAAAGAGAGTTAACAGAGATGTTGCTCTGTTTCATAATGCCAATGGCTTCGGGGCAGTGCCGCCTTTTATTGAGGATCATACCGTCGGAAAGCCACCCAAGTATGTGAACCCGAGGGATATTTCACTCTTCCAGGCTTCTTGCCTTTGAAGATGTTTGAATTAAAAGTGTTGAATGCGATCTGCTGACGCTGTGGTATCTTGAACAATAAACAATAAGCCCTAATACATGATGGATTTGAACCAACGCCATAACCCCTTCGTAGGAGAGATGCAGAGGCTAGAAATCCATCGTAAGCTGCGGCGCCATTTTCTCAAGATCTTCAACCTATATTATCAATCAGAATACCCGAGGATGGCCAATTGGAGGATTAAAGAGTGGAGACTTACCTCAAGAAAGCCGTCCCCAAGGCCTCTACCCCCAGTATTTCCATCGGACTCGGCCCTCTCATAAGCAGCTCGGGCGATAGCTTCCCTCACAAAAACATCAACATACTTGGCAATAACGCTATTGGCATCTTTTGCAACCTTAGTCTTCTCATTCTGGAAATTCTGGTGCAGCAGGCGCGTAAGCAGTTTCGGAGGTATTTTGGGGTCGCTGGACGTCACGTCCTCTGGTTGGTGTGTAGTTGTAATTTCAGCAAGAATGTAGTCCGGCTCCTGAGAGAGTGATCGTGAACGGCTGCGGCTCGATCCATTGGAGTCGGACTCGGATTCGGATTCGGAGGCGGCGTTGGCGTTGACATCGGCTGCCGGAGACTCGGGTCGAGGGCGTTTCCCAATGCTTGTGGATTTGTTTTGGCCTGTGGATTTGCTCTGGGCCGTGGACTTGCTTTGATTCGTGGGTTTGCTTTTTGTTATTTTTGGCACAGTTGTGGATGCGGAGGCTTTTGTGCTGGTTTGTTTCGCTTTTCCCTTGGGCTTTGGCGCGGAGCTTGATGGTCCCGCGCTAGTCGTGCGACTGGGAGGTTTGAAGGGGAGACGTGGGCGCTTTTGAGCTGGCTGGGGTTCACCAGGCATATTTGTGTTTTGGATAGGCGTGGAAGGTGTGCGATGCGTAATATTATAGAAATCACAAGTACGCCTGGTAAGTGGTGGAGAAATCGGGGAAATTGGGGGACAACGCGGGCGCGATCTACAAGTACGCGCTGTCAGGTGATGAGGGGGGCCCTACTTTTCTAGTTGTGACAGGCTTGATTTATTTTCTTCTTACTTTCGCCCTTTTTTTGTTCTTTTCGTGTATCAAAGTTAAGTACATGCTTTCCATGGTTATTGCCCTCGATTATTCTCATAAAATGAAAGTGAGTCGTTAAACCCTGTTCTCCTCAACACACCAGGTAGAAGCCCACCAACCGAAAGCCTTGCCCACGGGGAGAAAAGAGTTGACTTGATTCTCTCAGTCCTGGTGGGTCTCGCTGGAGTTCACCACGCGAACAGGACGAGCGCGGCGCTTGCTAGCCTCAAAGGGGTGGTACACATTGATATGCAGACCGACTATATCGATCAATTTACTAATGCGGTCCCAGGAAACGTTGAACAGCCCAGTGCAGAAGCGGTTGGAGTAGAGTTTCTGGGGTCGCTCATTTGTTCTCTCAGAACCCTGCTGGGGAAGATCTCTTAGCTGTCCACTTAGGTGTTGTAGGGCAGCAAAAGTGTTATTGACAATCATATCCTCCGAGTCCACGCGGCTGCCATAATGCTCTGAAGTAAAGAGACAAATGATCCAATGGCGACGGCGGTGTAGGAGAAAGTCACTCTGCTGTGGTGGGATCATGAGTGCGGTGCCGAGGGGACGATGAACAACGAGAGAGGGCTGCGGGTCCTCGCCGTGTAGGTCGGTGATAACGTGGGTGACTGGGTGGTCGCGGTAAATGAGGCAGTGAGTGCGATAGATCTCGTAGGCGCCAGGATACTATAAAACCATCATCTTATTAGCTCTAGATTGTCCACCAGGTGTGTGATTTATTGGTTGACTAACCCGCCCGTGAAATGCACGGGCAATGCCGGCACCCCAGACGCCCTGGCAGTTGCACGCATCTAAATTAAACAGGTTAGAATGGCCTCCAAGTAAAATAATGGACGGCTAGATGAGGGGCTCTCACGGATCAGAGCAGCACCGTTGGGGGCGTCGAACAGGTCGCCGGGGGTCTCCTGGACAAAGTTGGCAGCAGCAGGCGAAGAGGAGGTCATTAAGATTAACGACTCATCGCTATCAGTGCGGTCGATCGCTGCACCCTGGTTATCACCTGCATCCGACATGGTATTGTGTTGTGGATGGAGAAAGCAAACGAAGAAGCTGAAATTAGATATGCTCCTTATGACGGGTTGGGGGGAAGTGAGGACAGCAAAAGGGAAAGATTCTAAAACGGCATGACGGAGAGATATTTGGGTGTTTTATCGTCTAAACTATCACAGTTTCACGTGAAGCTGGCAAGGTAGCGTATGTTTAACAACTTCAAAGAAAGGATATATAGAAAAAGAAGGAAGCAAAAGAAAAAGAAATACATGCTACATTGACAGGAGCCTATTAAAATTTATCAAGGAGAAGACTTGACGTGCTGTGACCAAGGCTGCATGGTATTATAATCATATAAAATGATAGGTTTGGTACAGCGAAGGCATATGCTAAGGCCCTGTTAAGAAGATACCCCAATGCAATCCAACACATCACTCATTGCACTCGCGTGTCCTTTTCGATTTCCAAACAAAAGTCAATCCTTCTTTCCCTTTGCGGCTGTGAATGGTTTCATTGTGGTCAGCTCGCCTAATTCGCCCAGACGACGGTTAACAAAACTCTTCAAGCTCTCTCTCTTCTTTAAGGTTCGTTCAGGTTTTTCGTCCTTCGGTAAAGTCTGCTGCACTGATTCACCCTTTGGTGACTCTATCGGTTTTTTGGTATCTGCTTCATGTGGCCTCAGCGGAGGGACCTGACCTGGAGTGACGGGGGAGGCTGAAGTAGGGGCTGTGACCTCAGGATTCATGATTGAAGTGAGGGAAATCGGAACACTGTTTCCGCTGCTCGATTTCATGCGACGACTCATGGATCGCGAAATAGACTTGAAGATCGAGGGGCTATTGCCGGAATCCATTCGTTCGAGGCGATCGATCTCACTCCTGGCGGTCGTCCCATTGGTTGCAAGATTGTCTTCGCTCGCTGGATTGTATATCACCACTCCTTTGTCGGGCAAAATTCCAAACATCTCTTGGATGGTTGATTGGATTAGGCCCGTGTTGCGGATATTGGTGAGCGGTCCCATCAGACTCGGGAGAGCGGTGATTTTCAACAGGTACGCTGAGCCGGAGGTATTTCCGAAAATCAAGTCAGCGTTCTGGTCTATGGTGACTAGCATTGATGTCTCCGGGCGTTGGTACACCTGGGCAAGGAAGTGGGCGAAATCCGACAGTAACTTGGGTGCATCATCCTTTGCCTGGTGGGTGGGTTAGCAGAGAGGGATCACCGAGCAAATGTCAGCGCGTCACAAACCTTTGTGTTGGTTTTGAGCTCAACTACAACAACAGATTCATGAGTAACACGGTCCTTGGGGGAGTTGTGTGATCCACGGGTCGTAAATGCGTCTTCGTAGTACAACTTCTTCACCTTTGTTAACGGCGAATCATCAACACTCTTCTGAGAAACATAGATAGGCATGCTTTCTGACGCGAATCGTGTCGCAGGCACGATGTTCTCATCGTGCTTGTCCTCCTTGAACATCGACGAAGTTCTCGACGGCCTCTCGGGCATGACGATCGGGGGTACGCTGGCATCTGGGATGGTCTTTGGTACAGCATTGCACGATTCATTGGGTGGTTTCTGCAAAAGTGGAATGTTGGTGGCCAAGCGGGGCAAAGACGGTTTCTTCTTACAGGGGTCCATTTTAGGTGTTGGTTCAAATGTTGAGTATGTGATGAGAGTGAAAGATGACAGAGAAAAGGACTGGACCTCGGGACCTTCCGTTGGAAGGGACAACCCTCACAGTAAATAAAACAGTTGGAAGGTACATTTAGGCAAGAAAGGCCAATTCCTTAAACGCCGAGTTTCCACTCAAAAAGATTTTGTCAATACGTCTCCTTCGATCCCAAACAATCTCCCCATCGGTGTGTCTGATATATAACACCCGATGCTGTGGAATGAATTCCTCATCGGTGGTCTCCTTCTTCCAACTGCCCATGGTGATTTCCAGTTGTCCTTCAAATCGGTCCACAAATCCAATGACATAGTTGCTGCGTTCAAACGCCGAATCCCAAGTAATGCGGTTGATAATGTCTGTAACTTTGTCAAACTTATGTATACATGTTTTAACCAAACTACTTACCTCCAGCCGGGCGTAGTCTGTTTTCACCGGCCTTAGGATCATATTCAGGGGAAACACTTCGCTGATCCTGCTTCTGAGGAGGGCTTGTTGACTCTGCTTGGAATGAGGATACCTCTTTCTCCATGATCATATTGGCCTCTGTCTCACTGGAATGATTTAAAGCCATAGTCTTCAAGAATTCAAGATTTTCGGGATTCTCGGGTTGATTTTCACTACACCTATCATAGAGACTGGAGGACGTAAGTAAATATATCATCTTAATGGCATAGGCTGGACACATGGTTTTTCATCTAGATTTCGCGTTTGCAAGCCTCAGTCCTATCATCGCTGGAGATGTAACGCTGGAATGATTCACACTCGGTCATAAACCAGTGTATACGGAGTGGTAGTGTCTAACTTCTGTTGATAGGCCAAAACACCTGGGGAAGAATGCCAATGACTCAGAATGCGATCGTGGCTTGGCCTAAAAAACTGTTCCCTGTGACTCATGGATTCCACTAGGCTACCTAAATTAATGCAAATGATGGCGAGTAATTGTACAAGCATTCTACTTGCAAAATAAAAAGATACAAGAGTAGAGGGCCGCGTATGCTGCCTTGTGATGTCTTTGAAGTAGTCTTTCAAGTAGTCTTCTTACAACATAGATGTCTTTCTCCCCCTGCTCAATTGTGTAGATAGACAGCAGAAAAAGGCGGAAACAAAAGCATACTTTGTGTTTAAGACTTTTCTATGTTTATAACTATAACCTTTGATATACAATCAAGGTATATGAAAAAAATAAAAATAAACTCCGATAGGGGGAATCGAACCCCCGGCTGCCGTGTGAGAGACGGCGATGTTAGCCACTACACCATATCGGATATTGGATGGAATAATCACGACTTTTAGCCTACATGAATCACTTGCAGGTGAGCGCTCTTTATCCGTATGCGTTTCCGGATGGGCTATGGGCCCATGGTAAAAGCCCACAGGGCTTTAATGGGGGCGGGCCCATTAGCCCCCAAGCAATACAAATATGCTAAGTTGAACCCCCTTTTTAGGTTATTTTAATTACCCTATGTTTAGCACCGTTTCTAAGCCTTATCCCTAATGTAATATTATATTGGTTTAAATAATCTAGAATCAATTACTAGTTATTTCTCTAAATCATATTTAAAAACACGAAAAATTCGTTTATTTATAATTTTTTTAAATTACGGAGGTTCGCTAGAAAGGGGTGGTACTACCGCATAAATTCGTAAATATATATCTAACATTAGAATATCAACTTTCACATTTTCTATAATATCTCAACTTCCACCGATCGGATTTTATTTAAAATTAAAACATACCCTTATATAGCTAATATAAGCCTAGATTCTGAATTTGAATTTTATACGACTAGTAAGAGGTCGTAATACAGCGATTATAGAGGCTGGTAAGATGGGCTTTTATGGGGGCCTTATGGGCCCCTATGAAAGCTCAGTGGGTTGGGTTGGGTTTCGAAGGCCAGGCCCATTTCTGGGCTTTGCGGAAGTCTAGTCACATCATTTTCACGATGACTGTAATAGTTCATGGCGGTCATGTCGGGGCCCTGGACGGCCTTCGGATATACAAAGCGGCAAATTGACGACCTAGGATATGCGCAAAAATTCTCTCCCTTCGACTTACCCTAATATATTGGGTAGACCTTGCTAACTTCTAGCATTTGGTCCCATGGGACTCTATATGGTCCTATAGGAGTGCTAAGAGATCAGAGTGAGGTACCAGTAGTCTTCCGCATAACCCATTTTAGGTCGAAGGTCTCGACCCAGAACCCAACCCAGTCTGGGGCTATGTCGAAAGCTCATAACCCAGACCCAACCTAGACCTAGTATAGGCCTAGTTCGATCCAGTTTCTATACAAATTGTGGTATAAATATTCAAATAATATACCGTCATTTTCCTCTAATTTAGTTCCTATATCGAAATGCTATACTCTCTACTACAATGTCGTACATCTAAATCTCTTCCGATCTTCCTTTCCTGAGGATTGATAGTCTCCTCTGAGTACCCTCTGGTAGAACCTGACTTTATTTGAAATTTGAGTTTGTATTAGACGTTTCTACAAGATCTGTGCTATTACAAGCCTGAATATGGATATTGTGGAGCAAAATTCCAGTCAATTATTTTGAAAGGACTGGTATACTTACACGCCGTCGCCAAATCCGAAGCTGTGCGTCTAAATGAAACCCGAAAGGCTTAAAAAAAACCTTAGCCCTAAAGATGAAAGGGGCTCGGAATAGTCCCAAGGTTTGTGAGGGACGCTACCTAGGTAGAGATCCATTCTTTATTAGGCCGCGGTGAGGGATATACGTATCAATGATGCCTAGGATGGTATATCTTTCTACTATTTCAAACCTCGATCCTAAATTATATTCAATGTTCCTGATTCCTACCTTATACTGAAGTTCACTATACGAGAATCGTTTCATTATCTCAAAGGAATGTCCGAACTACTTGGAAGTCAAGAATTGAAGCCAGTCTCTGACTGCCACCTTTCTCCCCAATACCACTTATGCGAGCCGAACCCAGATATGCTCACCTCTGTCATCGAGAACGAGCGTACTCGCCGTTTAGTACTGCAGCAGTGTGAGAAGATAGAGACAGAGCTTGATGACCTAATAGAGAATCACCCTGTGCACGACGATGATAAAGATATTGCGCTAAGAATCGACTACCTTGAAAAGTTGTCTTTGTTTCTAGAAGAGGAGACACAGTTAATTGGAAAGTCGATAAAGGCGCTAAAAGAGCGTATTGAAACCCCCGAAATCTATATCGCTATAGGAAGACTCTCCGACAGTGAGTTCAACCGAGCTTGTGCTTCTTTAAAGCAGAATCCCAACCGCCAGATACGAAAAGAGCTAGCCCAGAAGTCTCAGGATTGCGATAACTACCTTTGCTCTTCTATGAGGTTACTTGGGTCCTTAAAGGTGGATGACATGAATGATAAACTTAGCCTAAACCCTCCATCCTATAACACGGCGGCTAGTGTTCGGACAGCGAGTGATAGTGCTCCCTCAAAGCCGCCTCAGAGCTTTTGGAAAAGAATTCGGAAATGTTCAGCTCGGATTTAATAGGAAGGAGAAATTGAGTCTTATGAGCAGTGATCATAAGACTACTAGAAATTGCTGTTTATTTTGCTTTAAAGCTCTGTGATTATCGATATGAATGGATTTGCTTGATGAAATTCCTAATGCTGTCCAGGTGCGAAAGCTTCTCTCGCCCCGTGTATAAAGCTATATATAAATCAGACACTAGAGTCTAATTTGCTCGATTTTTACCACCTAGGTACTAGGGTTTCAATAGCAAGATGTAGTTGATTTATTAGTGATTATGCTTAGATTCTATAGCGGAAATATCTCTTTTCTCGTTCTTGACTATCATGGACGATACAGTATTAGAAAAAGATGATCATTGCTGAGCGTGAGCGAAACAACCCATACTAACTACCTGTGCCGCCCACCCGGGGGGGGGGGTAATGGGCGTGTATAGGTAGCTGGTAGCTTTGCTGAGCGTTAGCTTAGTCCAATTTTGGGGTCCATTGTGGTTCCTAAGCGTTACTAGGCCTAATATATATACCGCTGCAGCAACAATCAGACGTTCCGATTGTCGCCATTATTTTTTAGCAGAGTCCACTGGTAAAATGGTCTTATGTAATCACACAGTTCCAGCGGCCTGCCCAGGTGAGTTCCTTTCGGGATTACATATCATATGGATGAGTTGCTTCGCTAACGCCAAGCAATAAAATCCAAGTCTGCGAAGGGGTCTACATTAAACAGCAAAATGCATTCCCAAAATACCACAAAAAACTATAGTCTTTCCGCTGCCCCCTGGATTACATATCGGATATTGTATGAAAGGATTAGCCATTATTGGCTACATAAGCCTAAAGCATAGTGTGGCCCACACTATCATATCTCGTTCACACATCTACTTTCTACTTTTACTTTTACTTGCGTGTATGTCGTCCAGTGAGGTATTTTTGCTATTGATTCGGGTCAGCTCCTAAGCCTCGCCACCCCCTTTCCCTGTGTGACTGGTCAGCTCTTCTGCGATCCTGCGACTGCAGTCTCCGCTCCTCACTTATATATCCCCCGCCTAAACATCTAGTCCCCTCTAGAAGCCAACGATACCTCGTGGAATGCTTTATTCTAACCACAGCTCACGCAAAAACGTCGAAATATACGTTACGGGTGGTGGAGTCATGATATTATCGACTATTATTTAGAGGCGGGGATGACGAACTTGACACTTATTATGTCCAGCTCTCACCTATTTTCCCTCTACTCTCCTCACTCGAAGTGAAAATCTAAAGAGCCGTAGATATATCGCTCAGAGTATGAGAGGGTTGCTTTATTAAGAAATTTTCGACCTCGATTAGTGCCGTGCTTATGAATATATAAACAACACCGTGGGCCTTACCCAGGATGGGCTTTTGGCGCAGCCGATATACCAGAAGTATCCAGACTCTAGCCAAGCGTATGCGTTTCTTAATCAGCATTTATTTGGACAGAAACTCTTGGTTGCTCCCATTGTCGAACCTCATGACAAGACGACAACCCCAGGGCCATTAAAGCATGGCTATCATCCAGTGCTCGGTTTACTGGCATATTCACTAATTAATGGTATAGCGCAGACCAGGAGATGGCATTTTACCGGAGATTAGAGGAATCCCCTGTTATGATCTGTCAAGGAACTGTCATCTACATATGCTAGCATAGCTACTGGAAACAGCCGCTCAAATGTGGACGCGTTCGAATTTCTTGTGGCGATCCATAATGATCATATCTGTATGTGGTGGCACGTTGTAGGGGAGATCACTACTGCTCGTGGTGAGGAGGGAGGGCCGCCTGGGAAAAACGTTAATTATCTCCATCCGTCACAGTAAGAACCTAAGACAACTGGCTTTGTCTCAGATTAAGGCGCTAGGCTGACTTCGGGACTATAGCAGATACGGAGTATAGATCGTCTCTTTCCCCTGTCGATCGCTCCTACAGTAACCACTATGGTGAGAAACTTCCGAAATTTCCCCAGTATATGTGGGGCAAATATTGAATGAATATATATCTGTTGTATGCAGATGAGGATGTGTTCGTGCACCCAGAAAAGGCCGATTTACAAGAGATCAAATAGCAATACATCTTACGGATTATCTGTGGATGAGGTCAATAGAGAAAATTTAGTATATCGCATTGAAGCCAATTTACACGGAGTGGAGTAGTTTCATCTTGATCCGAAAGATCCATTGGTAGGCAGAACATATCAGCTACATGTTGCATATTGCATTATCAGCTCACAGCCCCACTTAAAGATGCTTGAAGGACGGGTTTCACATAAACCTTTCCACCGCCTCATGTGAGACAACTTCGACAATGTCCCGACAAAAGGGGACAGCGATCTTGGCACGACCAAGGCATAAGAAGAGCCACTGGCCATAGTAAACTTGCATAATTTCCTCTAAGTGCACCACTTTTGCCAGACATCCTCTCAGCCATCACCGTGATTCCAGGCTTTGAATTCAACATGAAATTCAGCCTTGTTCTATTATTTACGGCTGTGGCAGTTGCAGACAGCCCAGCCAAGAGGGCTGATACAATTTCAGTTACTGGCTCGCCTCCAGGGTTTGCATACGGAGTCACCGGAGGTGGAGATGCGACACCAGTTTATCCCACCGATGTCAAGCATCTAATCGAGCTGCTGGGCTCTGATGATCCTCAAGTTATCATTATCGACAAGACATACGATTTTATCGGAACGGAAGGCACAACGAAGGGAAACATTTGCAAGGCATTTGGCTCCTTTGAAGATGGCTGCCAGTCCACGATCGATATCGGAAAAGGATGCGATGGTCAACAGTCCGAGCCGTATGAGTGGGATACTGCTGGAGTCACAGGAATCCGGGTTCACTCAGACAAGACGATCATCGGAGTTGGAAACAAGGGCGTACTCCTCGGCAAAGGGCTGAGAATAGTCGATGCCTCCAACATCATTATTCAGAACATCATGATCACCAACCTCAATCCAAAACTTGTCTGGGGTGGCGATGCGATCACGCTATCTAGCACTTCAAAGATCTGGATTGACCATGTTACCGTTAGTCAAGCTCTCCCCGATGATCGCTTTACTGTGCTAACTAGATTATGACTAGACTCAATACACTGGTCGTGTACACTATGTCTTTGGCCAAGAAGCGAACTCCCATGTCACTATTTCCAACAGCTTCATGAATGGCGCAACTAATTTCTCTACTTCGTGTGACGGGCAACAATACTGGGGATTGGAACTTGTCGGGGCTGACGACCAGATTACGTTTGCAAGTAAGTGTTTCAAACAATACTTCGTTGATAAGATACTAATATTCGTCTGCTAGATAACTACGTATACAGCACATCCGGCCGTAGCCCTGCACTAAGCGGTAAGACGCTCTTCCACGCCGTCAATAGTGTATGGGAGAATAACAACGGCCACGCCATTGAGGGCACCGATGATGGTCAAGGTCTCTTTGAAGGTTGTGTCTTCAACAATGTCAGCCAAATTGTCGGGGATTTCGTCGGTCAACTCTTTAGCTCGCCGAGTGCTACTGCAAACAAAGCATGCTCCGGTGAGCTTAAGAGGGACTGCGTGGCGAATATTCAAATAGACAGTGGGGCTCCGTTTACGAATGCCGATACTAAGTTCTTCTCTAACTTCGCCGGCCTCACCGTTGCAACTGCAAGTGCAGCTTCGGAGGCCCAGGCAAGCGTCCCGACCAATGCTGGAAACACGCTTAATAATGCCTAATACCGAGGAAACGTGGGAAGATCACGGGGAAGGGGAAAGCAGGAGAGAGATCAGTATGATTTGTGCAGAAAAGAAAGGAAGGAATATGACATCCAGCAATTTCCTGACAGAAACCAACACGTGCAAGCACTAAAAATGACAGAAGTAGTATTGAATTTCGCTTCTGGAAAGGTAGTAAGCTTGCTTTGGAATTTCCCAAATGCTACTGCAAAGCATCTGTCTACCTTTTGCCAACCTACTGAGTTGTGGCTTTTTGGAGTGCGAAACTCTCCCCTTCCAAGACCGAAAGCGCACCACCAACAAGATGCAAACTTCCAGTAACGAGAATCATTGTCTTATCCACATCGCAGACAATTTTCTTTGCATATTCGATGGCTTGTTCTATCGATGCCAATGCCGCTGTCTCTGTCATGGGATCAAACTGATACCAAAGCTCGGCCATGCGCCTTTGCAGGCTCAAGCTTTCGAGTTCCTTTGGATCGACATTCCGGTTGGTGCAGTCTGTAAACAATTTCCTGCTTTAGTAATCTTTCGCTGACCTAGTGCATTGCGTAGACCCTACCAATCTTGTAGGCGTTGCCTTTGTAGGTTACATTCGTACAGAATAGCGCATGCTGAAAATTCAAGTTGCAATTGTTGTATATCTCACTATGCAAAGCTCGAAGAAGCATCTCGGCATTTCTTGTAGACTGCTGATTGAATATGAGTACCCTTGGTGTGTCCCTAGTCCGATAAGAGTTAGGGGAGACCTGTCAGGAGGAAGTGGTGAAAAAGTTCATACCTTGGCTGGACTGACTGTGATTTTGAGACACGCCCAAACCATGAGGCCGCTAATTTTAGGCTCTCTTCTGTATGTGCACCATCAATATGCCAAATTTGCTTTCCGGTTGTAATAGTCTCACATCTTCCTCTCCAAACCGTGTTTTCGAGACCTTGGATAAATTCTTCGGGAAGTTTTTCAAGGCCAAGGTCCACTTGAACTCCAAGTTTGCCCAACAAGGAAAGTGAAAGGCTAATAGCGAGAGAAGCATTTGTTCTTTGGAAATCCTCCGCTGGCTTGAGATCAACATCGAAAAGAGCAGGGTGAACTGCAATAGTAACGAGGTTGATGTTCTTTTCTTTCGCTCTCTGGTGTAGGACCTCCATAGCGCCAGGCACTTGAGGAACGGTAAAGGCGGGTGACCCAGTTTTGAAAATTCCTGCTTTGTGCCATGCTATCTTGCCGATGGTATTGCCGAGTGCAGCCACATGGTCAATCCCAAGGGTCGTGATACCGGTCACTGATGGCTGTGCAATAATATTTGTTGAGTCTAACTCACCTCCTATTCCGACTTCAAAGACAGCCGCATCGACACCTTCTCTCATGAAGACATGAAATGCCATGAGAGTGAGGAATCGGAAGTAGGTAGGCTTATAAACGGGGTCAATACCTTCTCTAGCCGCACTCGATTCGAGGGCATTCCAGACTTCAAAAAAGTACTTGGTAAATTGCTCCTCTGAAATCGGAAAGGAGTTAATTCGAATTCTCTCCCTTACCACCCCTAGGTGAGGGGAAGTATAGAGTCCAATCTTATGGGGTACCCCGACCGACTGTTGGTAGCTCTGAAGGATGGAATTGACAAAGGCACAGGTTGTGCCTTTCCCCTTCGTACCCGCAACATGAACGACATTTAGACGATTTAGATCGTTGATCTGCAGGAAAACCACTGTTAGACAGGTCTCACGGATGGAAAAGGTTCTGGAATCAACCCACATCATATCCAATGCGGGCTATCCACTTTCTCATCTGTTCCACGGCTGTGCTATCCAGCTTTTCACCAAGACGCCTTCTTTCCTCTAGCACCTTGAATCCCGACTGAGTAGAGTTCAATTTTCCCACTGCATCCTAGTCATATCTCTTTCAGCCTCGATCTTGATAGAAGCAGGGAAATTTCCTACATGATAGGTCGGCCGCTCCAATTTATCTGACATGACTCGGATGACAGGAATAATTTGGTCTCTGAGAGAGGATTTTGAGAATGATTTGATCGGGAGATTTTTTGTAGGTACACGGAGTAAGCAATATGCAGAGAAGTGGGACTAAGTTTCCCCTCACTGAAATCTCAGCTTATACATGGAAATGTCATTTTCACAAAGCCTCTTTTGTCTACCTACGTTTGTATAAAATTGAGAAGAGGCATAACATATCTTTAAGATACAGCTAAACAGAACATCTGAGATGATCGCTGAAAAGACCACTGAAAAGACCTCTGAAAAGACATCGCAAGGCCGCATAAGCGGCCGTCTATTCTTATTTGCTTGATTTAGTAAATGTTCCCACCTTGCTAGCTCCATAACTGAGGACTTTTCTCGGTTCATAAAACAATATGATCCGCGCAGATGCACCTAGTAAAGCAGGAGTGCCGGAGTTGGGACTCGCATAGAGTCGTATCCCTGCTCTCCAACAAGTTCTTTGTTTGACGCTACACATGCTTGAATTCTAATGTGGAAATATTTTGTATTAGATTGAAATTAATCCGAATGATATTGCGATTTGGAATTGCGTACACCTTGTAAATTCTAAAGTACCTGCTATACCGGATGTGTCTACCATAGTATTATGAAAGCGTGCACATTTTATAGCATCATACAGTGCCGATCTAAGCGAAAACCCGGGGTATATAATATAATCGAGAGAACTAGTGTCAACTAGCGTCTGGAGAGTAAGGCACGGTCTCAAACCCAGCCAGACTTTCTAAATCGCATCTATCAGCTTGTAATCAAACAATGCAAGTATTGGGATCAGCTATCATGATATATTGACGGATTCGGTTGATTAAGCAGGAGCTTTCATTCGGCGGCGCCAGAAGTCTTTACAGGACTATAATCGACTATTCAAAGAAAAGCAGGGCGAGGTTCTCAACACCCTTCCGTCTATTGGTGGATACAAGAAGACAGCGGCGATGGGATGGAGGCTTGGATCCACAGCCTCTCACTTTGTTAAGCAGTGAAATAGATCTTGGCTGGGCAATTGAGAGCCCACTTGCCGAACTATAGGTTTTCTACAAAAGAAGTTAGGAATCTGGCTGCTTAGGCTGCCGCTGTTGAAGATGAGAAAACCAAAGAAAATTTGATTGAAGAGGCTCAGGCTTCAGTTGAGAACGCTAAGAACTGCCTTGCCGCCGAGGAGGGAAAATACTGGATTGTCGGGCTTTGGATCGTACTGGTACGATTATGTTATCATTCTAACTATCGACCACTCCGGTAAGCACCCTATCGTGTCTCTATCGATGACGAAGATACGATCATCGGGAACTTCAATGAAACTTCAGGGTCACATTTTCCATAACAGTTTGGACCACCGAAAGAACCACGTCCCAAAAGCGTTTCCTATGATGGAAAATACTGCAGTATGTCTTCTGTCAGCATCTGGAACACCATGGTTGAATACCCACGACACTGTCCGGCCGAGTAGGAATGCTAATGCGTGCACGCCACTTTGCTTCTTTTTGCCAGTAATACCAATACCAATAACTATTATTAATCAATTATCAGTAGGTAGCGCCTTTTTTTTTCTGTATTTAATTGGTATGAGTTTGAAAGAATATCGTATTTAACAGTGGCGTGTCTGAATTAGGGTCCATTCGAAATATATAATTGGCTACAGCCTCTGCCGCCTTGGTTTCTTTTTGGCCCCGTTTCGCCCTATGTGTTCCACCTGGTGAGGCATTTTACTTTTCACCCGCAGCCCCAAGGTCCGCCACTTCCGTCATTCTTGGCACATAAGCAATTTCCGCTACTTAATCGCTCTACCTCCCTTGGTTTTACAATTTGAGGTGGTTTTGCCCTTTATTAGACTTGTATTTGACTGCCGATCACTCGCTGAATTGTCCCATATCGAGACAAACTTACGTAGGAGGCCCTAAAAATCTGCCTTGGGACTCGGAACATTAAATAATGCACTTTCAATTATAAGTTCCAAGGTTGTCTGACTACTCGACTATATAGTATTCGTTCGTGATGCCACCTAGGTCCTATAACGGGTGGTCGACCTCGGGAAACTGAGTGTGATTATTAATGTCCGAAAGTCGGAATCTATATAATATCTTTTGTAGTCCGTATCAAAAAGACTGCCTACATACATAATCCATCCCGCATATAAAGACACATTGGAAAGTCTAGCGAGCCCTAATGTCGTCGGCAATATATATTATGGCTATAAGCTTGGCTTTCTCCTGGCAGTGTGGTCTTACATTGCTTGTTCTAGGTTCAACCCCGTTTTCCATTTTACTAATATTTTCTTATATTGACAAATTAATCCATGGCACCGAAAAGATTATAGACCAATTGATGGAATTCGGTCTATGGAAATTGCCTCTAACCATGTCATAATAATACTAGGTACGCGAGATTAAAAGGGGGCCGATTGAGATTTTACAGTTCTTGGCGTGGGAAGAAGAAAGAAAGGCGAAACCCGAGATCAATCCGGCAGGTGGGTTGGGCGCTTGGCGCGATTATGAGGAAGCCAGAATAGTATATATCCGAATGTCGGTACCGGTTGGAAAAGGACTGAACCCTGGGGCCACCCCAGGGGACCCAGGAACCATGACTGAATGGCTGCTCCCCGGAAAACATACTACGGCTGAATACGGGGATACCGAGTCAATCCCGATCCCACGTGCCACTCACTCCCAAAGCGTGGCCGGAAAGCCGGCTTGATACAAAAAGGGAGATTGCACCGGTCCGTGTGACGTGTGCCGCGCCGCAACGATTTTTGGGAGTCGTTGGTCCGGAGTTGGACAACGGCCGGGCAAACTTTTTCTAGCGCCGATTTGAGAAACTTGGCGAAAAGTTTTCGACGTCATGTTGGGGCGAAAAGGCCTTGGCATCACAAGCTATAACTAAGAGAGTTGATTGCGAATATGCATAATATGTATTATCATGTCAAAGGGGGAGAGAGTAAAATGAACTACATAGAAGAAAGTATTTCAATAATAGAGATCCCTGCACATTGGAACTTGGGCCTGCCCCTGCCCAGACGGGTGCGGCCTCCAAATTAGTCATCTACGCCCAGACCCATGGACCCCCGTGGACCCGTGGCCCCGCCAAGTACCCCCGCCAAGTGGCCCCGTTTAGCGCCAAGGTCTCCGCTTCGGGAACATAGCCTTCGCTAGACTTACCCGTTTGGGGTATGACCATGGTTGCAGTATCAGGATTTCACATCCCCCATGGAGGTGTTTTGCTATAAGACCGCCAGTTCCTCCGTCCCCATTCTTCCCCATCTTTCTTTTACCCCGCCTCCCTCCCCCCATACTGACGGATTTTACTTTGTCCGTACCGTCAACATGTGGACAACCACCAGCGGCTTGAGTGGTCGATCGCTCCGGTTGAGCATCACCATCGCTGCTGTCGTGGGTTTCTCGCTCTTCGGCTACAATCAGGGTATGATGGCCGGCCTTCTCAACGGCGACGAGTTTGTAAACTCCTTCCCAATCCTCAGAATGCCCGAGGATGCGACCTCGGCGCAAGAACAATACGTCAACGTCATCCGCGGTGCTGTCACATCCTGCTATGAGCTTGGATGCTTCTTCGGCGCGTTATTCTCCATGTTTTTCGGAGACAGACTCGGCCGCACATGTCTCATCTTTATGGGTGCCAGTATCTTGATCATTGGTGCCGTCATTACATCTGTCTGCTTCACCGGAAACTGGGAAGTCGGTCAGTTCGTCATCGGCCGTGTTGTATCTGGAATTGGCAACGGTATGAACACCGCCACAATCCCAGTCTGGCAGTCGGAATGCTCCGGTGCCCACAATCGTGGATTCCTGGTCTGTTTTGAAGGTGCGATGATCGCTGGTGGCACCTTTATTGCCTACTGGGTCGTCTTCGGTCTCTCGCACGCCGCAGATAGTGTCCAGTGGCGATTCCCCATCGCACTCCAGATCTTGTTCGCTATAGTTGTGGCCGGCGGTGCCTTGATGCTTCCGGATTCCCCCTCGTGGTTTGTGTCTAGAGGACATGACAAGGAGGCCTGCGAGGTGCTCGCTAGACTCAATGGCACCACTGTTGATGACGACAAAGTACTTAAAGAATTCAATTTCTTAAAGCAGGACGTGGAATCTTCGAAGCGCACACAGGCAGGCTGGTCGGCAATCTTCAAAACCAGCAAGACCCAGGATCTCCAGCGCCTCCTCATTGGTTGCTCTGGCCAGTTCTTCCAGCAGTTCACCGGCTGTAACGCTGCTATCTACTACTCAACGCTACTTTTCCAGGAAAACCTGCACATGGAGAAAACCCTATCTCTGATCATGGGTGGTGTGTTCGCTACCGTCTATGCCATTGCAACCATCCCCTCCTTTTTCATGATTGAGAGAGTTGGCCGTCGCAATTTGTACTTGATTGGTTTCCTCGGCCAGGGACTCAGTTTTGTTATCACATTCGCTTGCTTGATCAAGGAGAGCGAGCAGAACGCCAAGGGCGCTGCCGTTGGAATCTTCCTCTTCATCGTTTTCTTCGCATTTACTCTCTTGCCCCTCCCCTGGATTTACCCCCCGAGATCAACGCCCTCCGTACCCGTACTGTGGGCGCGTCGGCGTCGACCTGCACCAACTGGATCTGCAACTTTGCTGTGGTCATGTTCACGCCGCTTTTCGCTGGCCAGAGTGCATGGGGTGTTTATCTCTTTTTCGCACTGTTCAACTTCATCGGCTTGGTATTCGGCTTCTTCTTCTATGTTGAGACAGCCGGGCGTGAGCTTGAGGAGGTCGACATAATCTACGCGAAAGCCAAGGCCGAAGGCAAGATGGCGTTCAGGGTCGCCCACGACATGCCCAAGCTCAGCTTCGAAGAGATTCTCGAACATTCTCGCGACCTGGGATTGGGTACCAACGAGCATGTCGCACATGAGAAGAGCGAGCTTGGCCTCAGCAGTGACAGTGGCCAGGAGATTGAGGAGGTCCAGGAGAAGCGCTAGCGCTCTTCAGTGGACCTTGGTGGTTGAAGATGATGATTATATTTGAAACTGAATGTTTTCTATTTTCTTTGTTAGAGTGCTCTTCATTTTGGTCTGTTTTGTTGGATATGTGAATATTCCAGTGATAGAACTGATGGCAGTGCTTCCGGCGCGTGTATATATCCAAGACAAGGACGCGATGGTCTTTTAGATTTAAATCTATTATTCTACTTTACTGGCACCTTGAGCTTGTTCAATAGATGAATAATAATACCCTTGATTAATACCTTTGATTACTTGGCCATTAGTAGCGACTCCGGATTGATTGCTATTGTTTTTGACTTTGTGCTAATTAGACTATTATTTAACTAAGCGAAAGAACAACCTGTGAAATTGTTAGCATTGCTTTCTCTCGTTTTACCAATGCCAACGTATAAACTGCACCTCCTCTCAATATATTTAATCCCAACCATGATGCTGTCATCGTCCTTGAATTCCTGCTCATCGCCAAAATCTTTTGTCTTACCCATGCAATATTCAAATTTCCCGCGTTCAAGCCCCCTCCGATAGCCTTCGCCATGCATGAGCCGGCGGAGGATAGTACGGAGAGCGTAACGCCTGGAATCAGGTGAATCTGCAGATTTGTACGGTCGGAATGACCTTCACGACTAGAATCAAGCGAATTTAGGGATTTTGTATGGTGGCATAGCTTTAAGATCGTAAAGCACCTCCAAAATCTAGAAATCTATAGTCTTATGCGGAGTATTGTATGAGAAACTTCAGTTTATCTGCCTTGAAACGGGGTGGAACTTGTGTAATTTGCTTATTATGGTCTCTGCCATAATACCAAGGGCAAGTCTTATACTGACGGCGAAAGAACTTGTGGAGGATATGAAACTCAACTCTGAGATTCATGAAGACCTCACGTACCACGATACCTTTCAACCTGACTACACCCGAGGAAAAGCTGGCGGATGGCAACAAAAAGGGAGACATGGAAGAAAGAGCGACCACTTAGCGAAGAGCCCTATGGAAGGGTCTGGCTTGAACGATGCTTCACGAGCGAGGGCAGAGCCAAGCCATGAGCTGTAAAGATAATCATCAAGCCAGTCAACCCTTCTCACTGGATTTACTGTGACCTGGAACTCCAAGCGATCGCAAAGTTTTCTCAGCGAAAGGTTGGCCATTCAAGTAAGCTCTCTAGATTAGGATAAGGAGTAGAAATGTTAAAATTTAGTAGTACAAGGGACTATTCGTGAAATCGTTAGGATGGTTCGAGACTTAAAAATACTCTTCATAACGATGGAGCATGTTGAATGTGGGAGATCCAGGATCTCACTTGAAGGCCCCTTTGCCAGAAGTAGAAGCAGGGAATATCTCTTTACAACTTCTAAAGAGTCTCCAACACCTCCATGACAGCCATTTTGTTCATAGAGACAAGCTATGTCGAGTGGAGTTGTGTCAGCTTCTCAGCCCTCTGGCTTTGACATCAGGACCTCTCTGCAATAACTTCTAGATAGTAGTCATCTTCTGCTCTTGCTCCCCTAGGACATCAACTCGACCCGTCCATCAAATCCTCGGTCTCTTGTTCGCTCTCGCATAAGGATAAGTCGGCTTGGACTTTAAAAAGAGTGGTAGGTTAAATGTGTAGAATACGAGCAACAAGGGCCTTTCTAAAGCTGACATACACTCAGGTTCTCCACCCTACATGGGCGAATTGAGGTAGCCCACCTAATAGAACATCGGAGACTATGGTCTATAGAAGATGTAGGAACAAAATTAGGTCCAATCGGTCTAAACTCATTACAAATGACCTACTCAGTGGTGATAATCACATAATGACAAAATAAAACTAGACGGTTTGGGGCGAGGGAAGGCCCGACCCGGAACCCGAGCTCATCTCTTTCCGGATCGTATCACTTTTGGACTCCTATTTGTCTCAACATAGGCAGCAGCGAATAGGCATGGCCCTATATTTCAGCTCAGTCCTTGAAATTACACTTCTTTCTAACACTCCGCCCATTTGTGAAAATCAACTATGACTCCCCACTCTTACTACCCCGTGGGGGTTGAGATCCCCAGCTACGTCCCTAATGAATGGAGCACTCTAGGGCTGGTCTCAACATTCGCTGTTACATGCCTAATCGTCCTAACAGCCGCCAAAACGATTGCAACGAATGTAAATCCTCGTATTACGATCACTGAACTTTCCAAAGTTCTTTGGTTTACACTATGTACCTCTTCCCTCCCCCTATCTATGCACACTCAGTACTAATAAACGACCAGGCGGTTCCATCCATCTCATTCTCGAAGGCTACTACGCCCTATGCTTCGCGACCCTTCCGGGCTCCCAACATCTCCTTGCGCAACTCTGGAAAGAGTACTCCATGTCTGACTCGCGGTATCTGACTTCGCACGCCTTTGTCATGTCCATGGAGTCCATTACCGCCTGGTGCTGGGGCCCGTCATCCTTCGTCCTTGCCTATTTCATCGTCACGGATAATCCCTTCCGACACCCGCTGCAGATTATCATCTCCACTGGACAGCTTTACGGGGATGTACTGTACTACGGGACCTGTGCATTTGACTTTCTAATTTACGGGATTGAGTACTCGAGGCCCGAGGGGTATTACTTTTATGGGTATTTCGTGTTGTTGAATGGGTTCTGGATTGTTATTCCGGCTTGTAAGTGCTTTTTTTCTGTTTTTCTTTGCATCGCGATTGGTGAGAACTGGGCTAATGAGTATACATAGTGCTTATTGCTGATAGTGTAAGAGCTTGTGGGAGGGCTTTTGCTGAGACCAAGAGGATAAGGACGGTCGGCGCAAATGGGAATGTGAAGAAAACGGCTTGAAGAAGTCTGTCTTATACTCCCGTCGAGGGTAGACTATGCCAGGGAGCACTGGCCGTGAACATGGACTTGTCTGAGCCTGAAGTCGCTTGAGGTAACAAACTTACGTATCCATGTATTTACTCGGCCTAGACCGTGGGACTAACCTCCGGAGTCTACGGTTAACGTCACCTCAAATGGGTTCGATACTCGAATCTTGTGAGGTTGACCTTGAGGTTATGGTAGGGGTGTTGTAATAACCAAATTGGCCAACTCATTTCAATTTAATCGAATATTGTGATTTACATTTCAAATTTCACCTAAGAACCCTAAGTCTTGGGGGTTCGTCTTAGAAAGAGTGACAATCAAAGAGCGCAGGTCGGAGATTGGATCTTCTTGGCTCAAATGTGTTTGTCAGCAAATGGATATTGTTTACATGTTGGACAGTATGTCGAGGGAAATCGAACCCAAACAAATTTTGGTGATATATTCAGAGTCGCCGAGTGAAGCGAAGAAGCCTACGAGCAAACCATGCTCTATTTCACGACCTCAAAGTACATACAGGGATCAAGATCCATCTGCACCTCACGGAAATGAGCTCTATAGGCGATAATGGAGTGCTACTCACGTGCTGACCCAATGTGAAACGAATATACTAGCGCTTACTTCACACAAATAGCCATTGATAATCACGACAGGCTCGGTCAATTTTGCTATCTGCTGAGATGAAGGATCCCGTTCTGTATGCGGGATACATTGCAGCGCCAATATCACAATATTACATTGTCAACTGGCCTGACTGAATATGCAGGTTATCACCCGAATCACTGCTGACCACCATAATCCAATCCACCCCTGAATTTTCCTGTATCTTGCATCCAGGTTGTCATATATAATTCCTATTCCATAATTTCTGAATCCAGAGATCTTGCACTTTATCATCCTTCTGGTATACATCCTCACTCGTACTCGTCAATATATAGAGAGAGCTGAATAATGCATAAAATCCACAATGGAAGTTTCAAGCTATAATGTAATTAGAGCCTTCCGAGGTGGTTTTACATCAAAATTTAGAGTTAGTTGTCTTGGAAGGTTCCCAAGCCTTCAGCCCCCCCCCCACGCGGGAACAGTGGATCTACGTTACCCGGCTGTACTATGTCCACGCACCACATTAGTAATTTTCAATTGAAATACGAGCACTTTTTTTTACAAGTCGCGACATCTCACCTGGAAAGGTTTTATCAGGTCGATGGTTAGAATGTATCTGAGAAAGGGAATACATAGTCAAAATACTGTCTAGATGTGAGGAAATACGCCAATGTTATCTCCGATGGATTACATAGATTTAAGTAGGATCAGTTGCTGTATATGCGTTCATTTAGCCCATAAACCTTTAACGGCACCATTGTAGAGCCATCAGCCGACATTCAGGCGCCACTTATTCCCCGCGGGATCTGAACACAGCCAGTTAAGCAACCGGATAGGAAGAATAGACCAGCGGCAACCATATAGGGCAATCCCACCAAGAACCCATCTTGTTGCAGGCCCTGACGGAATGCGGCAGCTAGAATGGGCCCTGAGAGTAAAGAACCGATACTTTGGGCGAACCCAATGGCCGTGTTTACGATACCCACCTGCGAGGGGGATACCAATTCCATGGCCAGACTTCGCAGGGCGGAGTAGAAACCCCATCCGAACGCGAGTAAGCTCACGCCCAGAATGAATAATGCCGGATGAGCAGAAACGGCCATGATAGCAGAACCCAGAGTTAAGAGCCACACACTGCCTTGGACAATACGGAGATCCTTGGCAGCGGGGGACAGAAGTAAGTGTTGATTCAGCCAGTTGGAAAGCCAGGGAAGAATAAACAATAACGTGGCGAGGTTTATAATGCCCTTCAGCGTGATGAGCGAACTGGCACGCGCAATGCTCCAAGAAAAGCGATTTGAGGCATATTGAACAATAAGTTGTAGCGCTTGGCGACCAATACTTGCAAGTAAAAATGCACCCACAGTGCAGAAAAGGTTTGTGCTCCAGGATGCCATATAATCGTGTCGGATCTGTTTCCACTGCCGTCGTATGACATTCTTCCAACGTACATATGGTGGATCATCCATCGAGCTCAAGTTATGTCCTTGTTCCGCATTCTCTTCATCTTCTCCATCCTCCTCCATATTCCGTTGGTCGTCGCATGAGGCTGAAATGAAGGGTATATCAGAGATAAAAGTGGCTCCTAGCAGTCCTAAACACTCAAAGAACAGACCAAACAGCGAAGGAATCCATGGGCTCCACGACATTAGGAATGCAGCCACTGGAGTAGCAACGATTTCGCCGAGTAGAGTCGCAGCAGACAAGATGAAGAAAACAGATGCCCTGAATATAGAACATCCTCGTTAGTTAATTCACAATCCATATGGGGAAGGTGTTATCGCTACCTTTGATGACTTGGCACCATATCGGTAAGCATAGCGTAGGCCATAGCCGTCGCTATTTGGGGTCCGCCGCCGATGATTTGAAAAACGGGCGTCGCCCAAATCATCCGGACCGGCAGAGCAGAATTAAAGAAAAAGATTAATCGCATGGCAATTTCTTCGAGAATGAGCCCAGTCAAACTGAGTGCCAGGATGGGCTTACGCCCTATGCTGTCGGCAGCGAACCCATAAGGAAGCGCAAGGAGGATTCCTGGCACTTGGTCAAAGGTATCTTTCCATCCATTTATCAAGGCCAATTCTCCTTGCACGTGAGGCGACTTGCAGTTGTCATCCACCCCAAACGAGTTGTTGCTTCCAGCCTGGCGGCAGATAATCGATTCAATGATCTCGATATGAGGGGCATAGCCAAGGTAATTGCCGAAGTCAGCGGCCACAACGCAAAGGCATACAAGGAGCAAGAGACGACGACGGGGAAATGAGGTAACTTTGGAATGGTCGTCGTGGCTGGCCTCTTGCCCCCCTAACAGGGGTGCCCGCTCGTCAGGCTCCTCCGGTGGGCGAGTCGACGGTGTGGATGGATTTTGCGTCGGCATAGCAGGTAGCGGTGGGTGTTGCTTTGACTTTCCCATGAGCCTCTTATGAGAGGCGTTTCTGACAATTTGCCTGAGAAGGATATTGCAGTAAAAAAAGGTTTTCTCGAGGGAATTCCAGGCTGCAGGGATTAGGGAGTTGAGGCGTTCAAACAAACAAAATTAGCCATTGTTACATCGCGCTTAACGGGATTCTCCGGCGGAAGCCCGTTGCTTACGGAAACGCCAATCTTGGAAGGCACAAGGCTTAATTTATGTTCACAGGCTTCCAACGTTCTGGCCCCTGTGTAATTTTCAGTTTGAAAAGTATACGAGTGTAATTTTCATACCGGATATTACAATCATTTATGGATCTCTCTTGGCCAATATCTTGTCCATGGAAACAATGGCAATGTCTCGTCATAATGCAGCTGGGATGGTCCATGTATGTATCAATTTATGTATTGATAAAAGCTGACAGCCTTCATAAATCGGGGACCTTCGGGCCCCAGCAAGTTACAAAGGGAACCCAGGAAGCATTATATGTCTCTCAAGCAGCCCGACCTGGCAAGGATATCTCAATCTCACACATTTGCTTCGTTGGTCGTGCGGACACACAAACCACAGGCTGATCGAATCTTACTCCAGCTTGACCCTCCCGGTCCATTTACTCCATTTACTGCCACAAACAAGTCCCAGTTCATCGACTCCATCCCTATGAAATTATTGGGCTGTCTGAAATTGTGAAACATTGCACCGATTGGCCGCAAGATACCTCGATATTTAGTTCGGTATTCTACTTTCAAAACATTGAGCAGCAGATCTCTGTTCTAGTGGGAGGCCAGGACGTAGCTTTTGTCGCTCTCCCGCTTGACCAAGCCGACCCTCCCGAGGCACCCCTGCTCAACTTGGTGCCTCTGGGAGAGAGACAATACACATTGGAGCTATTGGTGCCAGAGTAAATGACGAACACCAACGTCTGGTCGCAGCTTTTGGATGGGAAGGTCGAGTGCTTTGATGATGTTCCTGGCGATGAACAAATCTTGGGATGATTCCAATAGTAAAATCACGGCCTACAACTTTATCGAAAGTACAAATGGCAGGGAATGACTCAAGGCACAGAGTAGAAACGCATTGCATATCCCCGGCTTATCCCGGCGCTAAGACAAAGAAGGCATGCAGCTCGGTCTGCTTTCAATCGCTATTTGCTGCAAGTAAAGATAGTGGCTTACTTGCTAGCGCTTAATGAAGCGTAAATTTAGAATGTGACTCATTGGTCATTAAAAATGATCTCAGCAATGCAGCATGGAATGGAACGTGGCATTGGAGCAACTGGGTATATTGTACACCTATATAATTGTTTATCACATCAAACTTCTGCCAACACCAGTAACCATGTCTCCAGACGTGACCAACATCGCGAAGCTCTCCGATGGCGGGTCATCCGAGCATCAAGTCCAACATAGGGTTGACCTTTTCAACAAATGGAATATTCTTCCAGGCTCCAAGGTCCTCGAAATTGGCTGTGGACAAGGGGATTTTACCTTGGTGGCAGCCTACATGGTGGGAGATCAGGGGCACGTCACAGCGATTGACCCAGCACCGTTAGACTACGGTTTGTTTGACTGTAACAGATAACATGACAGTCCGGCTGACTCCAACTAGGCGCACCAATGACTCTGGGAGAAGCACAGGAGAAACTAAAGCAGACTTCCATCGGCGACCGAATGACTTTCTACGAGTCAAACCTTCAACAATTTCTCGATTCCAGCGCTTCAGAGCAAGTCTACGACTATGCCATGTTTGTGCATTCAGTTTGGTACCTGCCATCCGCCGACGTGTTGCAGCAAATGCTCGCAGCTCTCCGCGGAAGAGCAAAGCACCTTCTCATTGCGGAGTACTCCCTTGATATCCGCGGCAATATTGCTGCTCTACCGCATCTGCTAGCGGCGATCTCGCAAGCCGAGTTCAACTCTAGAGGAAATACATTGAACCTGGATGATAATATTCAGTCCATTATATCCCAGCAAATGATTTGTGCGCTAGCGCAAAAGGAAGGCTGGGTGTTGCAGAAAGAAGACATTGTTGAGTCCCCTGAAGGACAAGAGGATGCGAGATGGGAGGTTCATCGAGTTTTATCGGAAGGATACAGTCTCAGATCAGAGTCATCTGGTGATTCTGGTCGCCAAGACTTTGCGAAGGCATTAATCGATGCTGTTTCGCAAAGCACGCGGGTAATTGGGCCGAATCCAAAACTCAGGACATTGTCAACGTGGCTGGGCTCTTGGGTGTGAATACTACATAGTCGGGTTGTTTGCGACAATTGTCGACTCTTGTTGTCCAAGCGAGATGTTTAACTTAGGCAGGTAGAGGCCAGTCACTTCTGAGAGCAAACGTAATCAGTGGGTATACTGGATGACACGGGATATATTTCAGAATAAAATCTCGCATTCTCAGCCCACTAGCATCGGCCCTGTATGACGTACCTGGATCATCCAGTTATGGTAATAGCCCCGCCGATTGTCGGCTCAGTGCTTATATAAAATATAGAATGCCGCTCGATTCTGAAATTTTCTGGCCATATTACCTTGCAATCTTACCTTCGCTGTTCTTCTGATGTTTCTTAATTAAACATCTACGAATTCATTTCAACCAAGCCTCTGCCGTGATGTCCCCACCCGGCACTCGCAGTCCCTCTAGACGAGTCGCCGAAACCTGCATCGGCACTTTTGTAATCCTCTTCAGCGCCCTTGAAATCGAAGATTATACGGGAGTCAAGGATAAATATCCGATGGCGAGTAACATTGCAAACGCGGTGCTACTTTTTGTCTTTTTTCTATCGCACAGTCTTTACAGAGACCCTCCGTGGCCTAGAGAGTCACACAAAGGGCACATCGAGCCTATGGAGAACGAGAAGAGATCTTCATGTTGAAGTTACCAAGAGCCATTTTGTTGCCTTCGCTGAGGAGAAGGCAAAACCAAAAGAGAAACATTGACATGATCCGCTATTTTTACTGCTGTCGCCGTCATCCCATTCTACGAACGACTGCTGCTTCCGCCGCTGGTATTCTTGGTTGTCATGAATTGATTATGGAAAACCAAGCAGCATTGGGTGTATCCAAAACAAATAAATCAGTAATCTCGGAGAGATTAGGAACCGCCAGGTCTTTCCCTGGACATAGACCTCTTGTCCAGCTCAATACCACCGGTACTCATGATTACCAGCTATATCCAAGGTGGCCTAAGAAGGTATATCGGTATCGGTGGATGGGACTGATGAGATGATATTGAACAAACCAAGTAGTGAGTCAACTTCGAAATATGCATATATCAAACGAGTATTTTGCAACGTAGAGAAATAGTAGCATTTAGTAATAATTTCACATAGCACAACTAGCAGTTTATACAAAATAACAGATTACAATATTGAATCATGGAAAAAAGGGAACCGGGGAAGACGTAATGACCGGTAAACTGGTATGTTCAGCTAATGAAGCACCTGCTGTCCAAACTTCTCCCATTCTCCGTTATTTGTCTCACGGTGACCAGCACTGTGCTTGTCCCATTTCAACTCAGTTATTGAATCAATGGCGATCAAAAGTAAATCATACTCGAGTATCTATATGGTGCCGAAGAATTGAAGGGTGTCAACTATTCTGAAGAGCGTCTGAAATTAACAACCCAAGGGATGAAAGAAATCCATCGAGCACTTATCCATCCCCACGACGTTTATTCGCAAGTTGTGAAGTTGTGAATAACGCAATAACAAAAGCCGAGAAGGCTGCCATAGTCCATCAGAACCATTTATTGGCAAGACACGAGGGTAGGATTAGCTTCTCATACCACTGCTGGAAGACCGAGGGAGACAAGCCACGGTGGTTGTATCAAAGGGACTTCGGAACCCTGAAATGCGGCGTTGATAAAAAGTGTTTCAGAGCCCCGTTTCAGCGGACCGTGATACTCGGAGAAATTCTTCGTACTAGAGCACTCTGGGGTACTCCCTTTGCCTTTGATAGTGGAGAGTCGGGATATGAGAACAGAATTTTCGTTGTCGATATCAGTCAAGTGAGAAGGCTCCAGGCTGATTTTCTGGCGCCATCGGACAAGCTTAGCACCCCATCCTTCGTGGATGTGACCAAAACAATGCATCAGGGGCCGATGTTGGGCTCGAGCTATAGCCCTGAACAGATGTGGGCAGCCGGCGCGCTGGCCAGAGTGTGTGTAGTCCATGATACCCTTTGGAGGTCCATGTGTTATCACGACATCGACGTTCTCGATTTGAAAGTCATGTCCACGGTCGGGGTGATACTGAAATCCCCAATCGCCAAGCGATGGGGTGTATGGGCTGGCGTAAACCCTCAATAGGGCACCATTTTGTAAGCGGAAAGAGTGGGTTCCTTCATCTAAGAAAGTGATACCCGTTTCTTCCTCGTTGAATAACCCTCGAGCTTCTTCGTAGTTGCCGTAGACCTTTTGAACTAATTGAGGATCCAAGGGTTGGGCTTGTGCGACTTTTCTTTGGAAAATTGGGATGTCCATAGTAAAGTCATGATTGCCAGCGATCACAAGTTTAAGAGGGGCATTTACGGCTTGCAGGAAACGAATCGAGGCTTTGTACTCGTCGATTTTCGATTCTGTAGTGAGATCCCCACAGTGAATCGCGACATCCACATATTGACCCGAGACGAAGTCTGGTGGACTATTAACCCCATGTGTGTCGGAAAAAACTAGAAACCGAGTTTTGACATTAGCTGCTGCAATCTCTGACATCTCTGCTGATTCGACTGATATTCGAATTTTGTTGCTTTATAGTAAAGTGGATGCCAAGTGGGTGTTGATGTGTCTGTAGATGAAGGTCTCAGATGAGCTCATCGTAGCTTAAAAGGCCGATCCGAAAGAGGTCGCAGCTGTGAGTCCAAGCTAGCAAAAGCTATTTCATAGTGACCATTATATGAGGTAAAACAGTTTAAGTCACCAAGGTTCACAGGGTTTCAAGGTTGCACCTGCAAACCATCATGGAACCATCCATCCATCCGTGGATGGATGACTCATCATCACAAGCTTCCTATCTTCTACCTGCAAGGTTCCAACCTTGGATGCCCAGATCTACCTACATAGTAAGCAAAATTAGAAGCCCTGGAGTCCTGATGTCTTGGTGCCTTTGTACCTCAGGCACAATTTTCTCTTGATCCAGTTAGCGTTCTTCACGCTCGCCCGCTAGTTCCGGCCGAGGTCGGTTAACGCCTGTCCATATCTGCTACCGACCTCGGGATCTATCCCGAGCTCCTTCGTACACATGGATAGTACAAAGGACAGCGTTCATTTTCCCGGACCAGACGCTAGAAGTCTTGCTTTCAAGCCTCACAACACATACAGCTTGCACAAAACAATTGATCAAAAGGAAGCACCGAATACTAGTTCAAGAAATTCGTGTGTTCGGAGACAAACCCTGTTTTAAATCCTCGTGCTAACATATCAATCCTTGTGTCGCAAATGATATTGCAACGCCAAAGTCTATCCGTGCAACCCGCTCCCTTTCGCCAGGCACAATGAGGATAGTTCTTAGTAGCACCTACGTGGTCGATGTCACGGCATGGTAAGTCTTATACTAGCCCAAGGGCAATTGCTACTTGTAGCTGACAATCCATCTAATAAATACATCTACAACAGCACCAATCTCCCGTCCTCTTCTTGTAATATTGAATATAACAATAGGCAATCCACAACCTCCAGGCAGCATCTCCCAGCTCCGCGCATATACTCCAGCTCTTCTGCATTGAGCCCTGGAATTATTTGTCCTGCTTTTGCTAACTCCGCCAACAGCCATCGAAAGTCCGCTACCTCGCCATCGCTCCCACGTTCAACCACCGTCACGGCCCGCAGCCTCAGTAAGTCCGACATGGACGCAACAGAGCCGTCGAAGAAGGGCTCTGCCACATGGATCCGTTCGATGGCGTCTCCGATTTCGATAACATCGATTCGGACGCGGATTCCTTGACAAGCATCAAACGCGATCTTGCCGTCGGGCTCGAGAGAAAAGCGGGCAGTGCCGTCCATCACTCCCTTGCAGATGTCATGAATGACATCGCTCGGGGCCGCAACATCCACGTCCTCGGTATATAATACCGAGTCGTGGGCAATACTGCCAGCGCCGCCAACTAGAATGAGTTGGCGACGTAGTTCAGGGCGGACGAGGCGGGTGGCTGCTCGGAAGCACTCGATCAGTGCCTCTCGTAGTGGTGCAGCGATAGGGGTGCACTTCGGCATGTTGCGAAGTTACGGGGCAAAAGCAGTGAAGCAGGGCCTCTGAATGTATTTAGCACCCCAATCATATTTCCACATACTTCATCTCCGCAGTGATGACCTTACTGGAGTATATGCGGTGGGGAGCCGGGAGTGCCTGGCGCAGGGTGGTTTGCCTTCATCTCCATGTTAGTTGAAGTTCAATTCTATCGTGATCCTCAAGCTCACAGCCAAAAGATGATTTTTTTCAATAATCATATATCTATATCCATGTTAGCTTTGGAATATTTTCATCTTCAAGCCTGTGTACTGACCTAGTGGATAATGTGTATAATGGTGATGATTTGATAACCTAACAACCTCCCAGCGCCAAATCATTGTTTTGACTGAAGTACTTGCCGTTCTCACCTAGCCCTCAGTTGTGCTTTCCTTTTCCTTCACTTTGTGTGTCATTTACTTGCGGCGGGTCATTGCAGCTAGTACCTGCCTCCACCGAGATTTTGGAAAGCAGTAGCGATTGAAGATTAAGGAAAGAACCATACACATCGATTGAGTCCATGCATACATGGATGTCATAGCCCTGGAGTCGATCTTTGATTACTGGACCAACTTACCCACAAACATATGTTTTAGGAGGTATGGGACCATACCTGGAAATATTGCAACCCGAAATTTCAGATGTCCTTTGAGAGCCAGATCTCGCAAAGCCTCCAGTAGTCGGCGAAGATCCTATGTACATTTTCTCTGGGGTTTCCCTATCCCCCATAAATCCGAAAAAGAAAGCCCGTTTTAGGGCTAGACAATACTGGATACAGGCCGGAATAGAGCTCAGCACAATTAACACTATAACACACTAGCTAGTTATTGTACCACCGAGCCTGCGGTCAGTACGAAGTAGTGGCAAGGAGGACGATAAAAAAACCACTACCAGAACACTAAACGTGATGGACAATCCACAGATCTTATACTTCGTGTCTTCGCAAGAAATGATTCGGCCCCCAGTCCAACAACGGGTTCCATCGCATCATAACATCTTGGTCAATAATAAAGGCGAATTAACTTATTTTCCACTGGAATTGTGCCCAGTCACTGTGTCTATGAAATTCATACTACTTCTACAAAGCCGGCGACAATACACCGAGCCCTTAATTGGTATCGATGATGGTGAGTCTGATAGGTAGCCTGAAAGATAACACCCCTGTCGGTTGTGTTTATCGAGGAGATGAGATGGATAAAATCAGAATGACGCAGTGTATCTGGACATCAATAATTATTCAAAGAGAATTTGATACCGAGGCTCAGTATTACGGTAGCAGAATTGGGTTCGAGCATATGAAATAGTAGCTTGAGGGTATCGTTGCTAGGAGTGGGAAGATTAAGAGTGTGTGTCGTAAGACTAGTTGTTGGTTATGGTGGTGACATCCAAAGCGGCATCAATTACAGTAAAGAACATGATTGAAGTGAGTTTGACCTTGAGAAACTTCAAGTAGGTTGATCAGCAAATTGGATGATATGGATATTTCTTTCCGGGATTAGCTTTGATACATGCCTAAGGCACCATATATGACGATAGTTAACTAGATGGAGAATGGATCTGTCTCCTCTCCTGTCCATCTCTCCTCTTTCTTTCCCCTCCATCCTTTTGGTAGGGGTACAACTCTACTTCGCCAGTTTTGAGGTTAATCTCGTGCTATTGTGCGATGTATAATGTACAACATGCAACATAAACAACACCGTGAGACCCACTAGCAGCCTGGACACTCCACTCTTCCGGTTATCTCCCACTCCCGGACCCACATAATATTGAGGATGTACGCATTATTCAAGCAACTATCCGGGTCGGTCTCTATGATATCACTACAAATTCACAGGCGGCTTTTTCTTTTGCTGATTGCAAGTACTTTCGCAATGGCGATGACCCGATACGTCGTACCAATCTCCGAATCATCGATTGTCCTTGAAAGTCGCCGAGAACTCAATCAAATGGCAGAACAATACCCAATGAGCACCATGAACGCTAGGAACGGTGACTGGTATATGCTCAACGATGATGGTACCGTGCTAGCTGTCGCCTCGGATTATTCGTGTGCAGAGCTTGATGCCTCGATCGAGGACGCAATGCAGCTGTACGGCATCCTCCCAGAGGTCGACCACGAAGTGAGGGAAACCGTCGCAACCCAAAGTGGCGAGCAACCAGGCGCTGGACTATCAAATACCTGCTCTCACCCACGTTGCTTTTTGTCCTCCACATGTAGGACATTCAGTGGTTGCTACGTGTGCGAGTCGAATCTTCATATTTGTGTTTGAGTGGGCTTGAGCCAGAGAAGCTGTCGGATTTCTGTTATCTAATGACCTTCACCTCTATTGATTATCGATGGTAAAACTTACCTGGCCTCATACCCATCTGATTTGCATTATCGCGGTCTTTTCTTCGCATACTTGTACCATTTTGGATAATTTTGCAGAAGGATTTGCCATCATCACTAAGTAACTCAACTTCCCACAATGGGACTAGGTGGTATGGCAGTCTATTACTACTATTCCGCTACTTCAGGCCCCAATAGTAAACTTTGATCTTCGAATTAGCTCATAAATGTACTTTCCACGCTAAATAATTGTTATCTTTGTGTGAAAAAAGCTATAAATCAAACAAGTACCTGGTACAGAATAAAGAAAAAGAGATTGCATAGATGATTGGGAGCATCAATAACTCAAGCATTAGCGATTCAACGTATAGAGAATAAGGAAGTTGGCCGCTTATGCGGGCTTGTCATGTCCTTTCTACGAGTCTTTTCGGGTATCTTTATGAGATCCTTTTATTAGACTTTTCGAATCTTTGTGGGATCTCTTCTCATTATTCTTCCTATATTTATAGCACACTCATATCACAAACTATACTACACGCAGAATCTGTACTGGCACACTAGCGGTAATAGACTGCCGTACCAGGTGGACTTGGGCTCTGTTCGAACAACGTATCTTCAAATGTCAGGTCACATTCCTATAAGACAGAACCTTCTCGCAGTGAAGCTATTTGGAGTCTGGAGTCTCTTACATGGCTCTTCCTCACGTACTATCCCATGGGGAGTGATATGGGTTTACCTCTGTTCAATCCGTCTATCATATCAAGCTAATGTTTACGGCTGATCTCAAAAATGGCTTTATCACTGATACCATTTTGATTTATGTGTTTAAAAAGGCGACGAGCAAGAAAAGCGAATCATAGGTCGCCCAGGGAGCTGGGGTGATAGCCTTCCCAGAACCCAGAATTCAACGATCCATCCCTCTTTATCATTTCACGACAATCCATTAGATTGCGAGTCGCTCCACCTTGTCCCTTACCTGCTCTATGAGTTGAGCCAGGTCACTAGCATCATTCGAGGTGATAGTGGCTGCGATAATCGGCCGGCTCACAGCGCACGCGCGACCCATCGCCTGCTTGCTAGGCACAAAGACATACGGGACATTCTTGTTTTCGCAAAGCAGTGGAAGGTGCATCAATATCGCGAGAGGATCGGTGTCGCCGGCGAGAACGACGATCTCAGAATTGTTTCGGGTCACAGACTTTGTAACTAGATAGATATTAGCTTCACGGGCAACTCAAAGAATCGTGGGGAGAAATACCTTCATTTGCGCCTTTCTTGAGCTGGTTGTAATACAAGGCGTGTTGCAGCAACTCCAAGAGTTCCTGTGTCAACGCAGCATCCGCCATAGGCCAGGCTGGACAGCCTGTTAGATTAGAGAATCAAAATCACAAACTCGACGCAAACTTACCGCGGGGTTCTGGGGGAGATGCCATTTTTCTTCCAAGGTGTGGAGAGATTGGCAAGGCTGAGAATAGGATTGAGGAAGTGAATCAATTGCAGAATAGTGCACGGTATGAGACGGTGAAGGAAGAGATGAAAGAGAGGAAGGTGCAAAATGAAAAACAGCAAGAGCCAGAGACCCCCATATCATCTAAGAGCTATTCGCAGAGGCACTTTTCTTGAATTGTCACCTCACACATTCCCTCTAGCTATAAGACTAAGGAAATGCCTAGAAAATACCTACATATGCACTTAAAAGGATATCTCAAGAGGCATCCGAAAAGACATCACAAAAGACATGACAAAAGACATCACAAAAGACATGACAAAAGACATCACAAAAGACATCACAAAAGACATCACAAAAGACATCACAAAAGACATCACAAATGAGATACTGAAAGACGCTAGGAAAGACGTGAAAAAGACTACATTTAGAAACCGACAAGCGAGGAGTTATCACCAAGGTTATACGTGGAAAAGGATTGTTCGTAGAAATAGGCACAATAATATTATTTGACATTGATTTGAACTTAAAGGCAAAGATGTTTATGTAAATTCTTCTCAGCGCGCTATGCAGACAAGGCTCTGGATCCAACCTTGGAAGTTTCTATATATTTACACTGGTTAACAGTAGATGGTAAGAACACAAAGAGACTGATGCATCAAATATCCACATTCCTATCCACTCACGAGAGGATCGGGCGTGATGCTGGTGGCAGTAATAGCACCACCATCACCTGGCGTGACAGTGCCCTCAGAAGGAGTCTCAGTCTCCTTGGGCTTATTCTTCTCTTCGTTCTCATTCTTGGCGGGAGGCTTGGTGCCCTTTTCACGCATCGCTCCACTTTCAAAAGCTTCTTCGGGCAGAGGACGAACATGAGGCTGGCAGATCCACCAAGGCCTTCCATATTCCGCAATCACTGCTTTAGACCCCTTCAAAGTCTCATCGGGTTGAGTTTCAAACTTCTCGGGAGACGCCTCGTACTCCTGCAGCCCAGCTTTGATGGCCTCCTCGAGGAGAGCCAGAGTGTGCTCAAAAGCGGCCATGTCGCCTGGTTTCGATGTGGCAAGAGCATCTCGAACGTTGGTATGAGTTGCAATCATTGGCCGCAAGACTTGGAAGAGGTGACCCTGCATGAAACCGAGGCTGGGAGAGTGGCACTTCTTGCCCTTCTCGGCCTTACTCCGCTTTTGCTTTTTCTTCAGTGGGCCATCCTCGTGGCTGTTATCTTCAGTGTCATTGTTTTCTGCAAACTCATCAACTGGGTCGGATGGAAGATAAAGTGGCTTCCTTTCTGGAACGGGCTGTTCGAGAACGTATTTATAGATAATATCAAGGTATCGTCGCAGGATGGCGTCGACTCGGTAACCGCCCTTTCCATCCCGCCCGCGCCAGTATTCTCTCCCCTCGATACCCGCTGGAGGCGGCTTGCTGAATACGGACGGGTCTGACAAATTTCCTTCTGCGCTCATCACGGCGTCGGCACCTGTCGCCTCGAGGCACGTCTCGATGTCACCGTAGTTAAGAATGTTTCCATTGGCAAAAATCACCGTATCCGGGGGTAGATTATCTCGTAGATAGCGGATATAGCTCCAGTCTGCGACTCCAGTGTTGTGGCCTTTCTGTTCCCGTCTGCGTCCATGCACAGTGATGATGCTGGCCCCAGCCGAAAGAATCATTTTAGCGTACTCCAAGGTCTTCTCCTTTGTCTCCTGAATACGGAATTTCACCGTGACAGGGATCGGAAGCTCAGTGTGCAAGCGATGCACAAGCTTAAAGATCAGGTCCCAGTCTTCTTGGAGGAAAGCACCGTAGTGTCCTTTTTTCGCGATACCCTGTGGGCAGCCTAGGTTCAGGTCCACGGCGTCGCAGTGGGGTACCACATGGCGGGCAGCCTCCAAGAACTCATCTGGGTTATTTGTGCAAAATTGAACGAAAAGTGGCCGGTCAATTGCGGGATTTCCATCAAGATACAATTCCTCCTTGCCCTCTCCAACGGCTTTGCGGGTAGGTTGGAAGTGTTTGGCTCGGACGTTCTCTTGGTCACCGAATAGACGTGCGTGAAACATGGGGGTGTATGCGAGTAGAGGCTTCGGGTCGTTTGGTGGCATGAAGGATCGAGTGAGCATGCGCCACGCCTTTGGGAAACATTAACTTTGGTCTGCATATGTCGCTAGTTGGACGGGGAACTCACGAACTCGGACCTGTCGACCATTGGGGCAACGACATATTTCGGGCTGCCAATACTTTCATAGAACTTCCTTCCAAGGAGCTTCTCCTTAGGCTGAGGCGCAGCCGCGGAGATCTGCTCAATGCTCTGCGGTGGGTTTGTTTCGGTAGCCATTTTCGAGATATGTGAAAGGGAAAAGTGTCGAAAAAATCGGCCCAGCAGAGGGCTGAAGGGCTTGAAGATACCTATGTTGACGCCTGGAAGAAAAAGACGTGGTTATGGTCAATAATCGCCTCTAGTCGCAACACAACGAAGAAACAACTTTTGCGAAAAGCGCCGTATCTCAGTCGGAATTACAATTTCCCGGCTTATCTTATCGCGGGGGATTGGAGATTGGAATCTGCCAACGCGTTGGGGCTCCCTAGGTTGTCTCACTGAAGAAATTGACACATCTGATGTTTCTGGCGTTACCTTGTCATACTCATTCTCTCTCATTTGCCTCAAGAACGATTTGATCTTGCACAAGTGATCCCCTGCAAATTGCCCAGGTGGACTTGTGGGTCGATTACATAATCTGATATGAATGCCCCAGCCAGAGACCAAGCAAGCCCTGAAGTCTTCCAATGAACATCGGGACTCGAAATACATCTTCTGATGCATATATGCGATTCTGTATGACAAGGGATTAATATTGTGAAGTTACTGTATTGATATCCAGAATTTGACATAGTTCTGTCTTGAACGCTCACTGCTATCATCTCTCGACTACCAACAATGGACGCGTCAACAGGACCAGGAGGTAAGTCCACAGTCCAAACAACCTCCCACTTACCCAAATCTGACCATATGTTAGCCCCTTTAAATCTCAGCTTGTCTGAAGATGGACAATATGCTGCCCATGTGAGTGGAAAGGGCCTGGTTGTTCACTCAAATGTAGCTTCGGACAAGGAAGTACAGATTGCAAGAATCAAAGAGATTCCACTCAAATCATTAAAATACGTCAACGTGGATAGTTGTCCTGGTGAATCAGATGATGACATCCCCTCTCGGCGGCGACTCCTGACCGCAAACGACAGCCGAATTTCCGTCTGGCAGCTCACTCCGCTTGAAATACTCGCCGAGATTGAAGGCATCGAACCGGGGGCATTGGCTGTCGATTTTGGTGCCGATGAGAATGAAGTTCTTGTCTTTCATGCGTGGAACACTAAACTCAGTGTCCACTCATTAGAGACAGGGCGCAGCTCAGTCATTAAAACGCCAAAGTTTGCCCATCATTTCGGGTACGGTTATCGCACAAAGACCAGGCATCTCGCCGTCCTATTGAAACCAGAGACTTCAGATCTACTGACTGTTCACGAGCCCCGGTCTTACGAGCTCGTCAACAAAGCCGTTCTTCCAACCATTGATGCGCAAGGATTGAAATGGAGCCCGGACGGGAAATGGATTGCCATATGGGACATTGCTAGTGCAGGTACAAAAGTGCTGGTATTCACAGCGGATGGTCAGCTTTTCAGGACATATTCCGGACCATCGGGGGTAGACGATTCGTTCGATCTCGGAGTGAAACAGATTGAATGGAGCCCTCCCCACCAGGGAATTTGTGAAACACTGGCCGTTGGGAAAGTCAACGGGAATATTGACTTGCTCAGAACTCGGACGGTATGCCGTCTTCTAAATATGTGCAGCACTATTTGCTAATCCTATTCTGGTAGTTCTCTTCCGCAACAACACTCTCACATGTCTTCCCAACAGACCAACAGTGTCCCAATATTTGGCGCGAGCGATACACCAGTGCCGCAGGGGACGCCGAATACGCTGAGGCATCCTGCTCCTCTGCATTGAGCATGAGCCCGGAGTCGGCAGGGCCACCGCGTGGCGTCTTGACAATGACCTTCAGCCCAGACGGTCGCCTTCTTGCGACTGTTGACACGGCTAGGCAGAATGTTGTTTGGATTTGGTCACTAGAGGGCACCCCAAAACTCGCATCAGCTCTAGTTCACGAGCAACCCGTTCGACAGATTGTTTGGCATCCTTCAACACCGCAACTCTTGATTAACACTATCACAAATACATTGCCTGCCATTCGATGGTGGTCCCCACAGGATCATCCATTGATCGCCCGGGTTCCTGTTCAAAGGAGCGAAAGTGGAAAATATGATGTGAGATGGGTTGCAGGGTCAAATACAGACTCGTCATTCTGGTTTAACTCACCAGAGCAACATGTTATTGGGTATCTGTCTACCTGCGACGGTGCTGCTGAGTTTGAGGTGTTGAACTCAGTGAGCAGCAAGACGAGTTAGAAGGTGGCCAGGACATAGGAGCCGATACATTTTATCTCACTGCCACGCTAAATTCCTTTTTTACGGTGCACACATAAACTGTCATTTCTCGTTAGTTCCGTAGATCGGAGTTGATTTTCATAAAAGGATTCTGGGCTTGCATATGGGTCAAATATATATGTAGTCTTAAAAGCTATATGACAACCACATCATAGTAAAGACCATAGAACGAGTACGTACTATACCTCCTCATAAAATTTATTTCATCTGAATTATATATAATATTGACCCGCACGATATAACTCCCCCAAAAGAGACCCAATCCTCGGGAGATTTGCGTTAGGGACGACGAGAAAGAGTTCAACCTCGCCACCAAATACCGTCATGGAACGGAATTTCTTCCTCGGGAGGCATCCTATCAACAAAGCTTGGCCACTTTGCGACCGGGTGTGCTAAGAAGGAATGCTAAAAAAGCTTATAGGTTTTGTCAATGTAGAAAAAGAGAAAAACCAAAAAGAAAACTCCGATAGGGGGAATCGAACCCCCGGCTGCCGTGTGAGAGACGGCGATGTTAGCCACTACACCATATCGGATATTGGATGAAAATATTTGCCATTATTGGCTTAATGATATAAGAGCTGCTTATGAGATAAAGTAATCAAAGCTATAATAAATACTAAGGCGTCTGGCCATCGATCACCACGGTCATGGGCATTTGAATAAATACGCAAGCACACCACACCGTATATTGAAAGGGTGAAGCACTTCCAGGAAAGTGATATGTGCAGTTGATGATCATGGTTAGTAACCTTGGAAACAAGGGATATTACTACAGGTAGGCCCGAACTATCTCCCTATCCGTAAGACTGGACACTTATGAAATAGCCTGGAGGGTTTACCGCTGCCTTTATATAGCTCAATATGAGCAATGGTCTGAACTTATAGAATTCTGAACCTTATCAACCCACATCACTCTCATACAACTCGCATCCCAAAGACGGCAGCAAGGTAAGGGTGGTAACATTGCATGTCCAAAAAAGAGAGAAAAAAAATACATTATAAATAAAATCTCAAGCCTTTCAACTGCATTCAGCACGTAAAATTTCCGAGGCTGCAACTACCTTTATTATCGTTTTCGACTGATTACTTCCGTTACCTTCGATCCCTCTCTTCTGCCCGCCATTCAAAATCCCGAGCGAGCAATTATGTCGTCTTTCGAATTGGGTTTTGGGCGCCTAATAGATCTTTGACGAGTGAACACAGGGATTGTTTTGATAGTGCTTCTTGTTACAGCCATCATCAACAAGGCCGTCAAAAATTACTATCAAAAAGGCGTTTCGCGGTTCCCCGGACCGCGACTGGCAGCAATGACAAGTATTTATCAGACTTACATCGAGGCAATCCGGGATGAGTGTTTCATCCATAAACTCGAGCATTTGCATGCAGTATATGGTAAGGCTATTCTTTCATACCTCAATATACTCTGGAGTCACAAATAATGTGTGCCTTCATTTAGGAAATGTGGTCCGCACGGGCCCCAATGAGGTATGGTGAGCTTTCCATGCGTAGGAAGTGTCGAAAAAGCTCACGTTGTTACATTATGTGTTAGATACATTTCAGCGACTCGTCTTCGTACCTAGAGATCTATAACATGAACAGCCACTGGGACAAGGATGCAAGATTCTATCATAGCTCTGGTGAGGAAGACTCATCGTTTGGCAGACTCACTTTTGAGGCTGCAAAGGAGAGGAGAGAAGAGATTTAGGGGAAAACAATGCGTGCAGGTTGGTAAAGGTTGTAGGGTAAATGGAACTAGTATCTAGTACTGTGTTTACTATATACAGATTTGTTCCTTATAGTAACAACTAATACTTCCTACCATTTACTACATACCTTATTCTCACGTAAGGGTAAAAGGGTAAAAAATAACTAGGGTTATAGATAGTATAGTAAATGTTTTATACTACAACCTGCCAGCAGATCGAGTACTAAAAAGGCTAACATTTAGCCGTGAATACACCTATTCTTTCCTAATAATTAATGCTTTTACTATGTAATATATACAAAAACTAGAACTAGGATAGTTATAGCACATTAATCTATAGTTATTGGTAATTAGTTGGAAGATAACAGACTGTCCAACGGGAAAGAAGCCATTTCAGATCGGCCAACCCCGATCCGACACAAATTGGTGCCTAAATGCCTATGGCCTGGATTATTAATTTTAAGAAAAATCAAAACACCTGAATTACAAGAGGTTCTGGTTCTATCAACTATGTAAATGTTAGGTGATTTTATCCGAAATCATGCATCACCTCAATGTTGGGGATTGTGTACAAGTAATATAGAGTGGTTTGGGAGGTCGTTAGAAATCAGGCGATAATAAGGCAGAAAGGTATCAATTTGTATGTAAATCAGGCATTTGACCCCTGGCGTCTATACACCTTCGTAGTCGATTGATAGGTAGGAGGAAGGATAATTGGACGACAGGAGCATGGTTGTGTTATCCAGCTGTCTGGCGACCTCGATTGTCACCTCCGAGTGGTCGTCGCCTTTGGCCTACATTCGGCGTCGGAAACCGGGTGCAAGCCGATTTTATTCGGATGATCGCGCGTGTTGTAGGCATAGCCTTTACTCCAGTCATATCCGACCGCATAGGCGAAGATACTGCCGTCGATGTTAAATGCGGTGGAGGTGATGCTGTGTCCGACGGCAGGGAACGACTTGAGCCGATGGTGGGCGTCTTTGTCCCAGAAACAATAGGTGCCGTCGGAGCCGGCGGTGCTAAAGGTGTGGTAGCGCGGATGGAATGACACGGCATTGACCGCATAGACTAGTTGGTTCTTGGGGTCGTTGTCTTTTGGGGTGCGCTGACATCGGAAGGTGAAGTTTGATCTGTGGGTCACATGTCCGTCAGGGCAATTCTTTCTCTTTTCTCTGGAATCAATCGATCCGGGATACTAGATAGGCACGGGTTAATTACTCACTGCTTTTTAGCGTCGTCGATATAGTTGACGCCGCATCGACCTTCAATGCTACCGACTGCAAAGCCGGATCCGTCGGGGATCCAGCAGATGGTCCTTGTTTGATGCTTTAACGGGCTATGCAGGGTCTTGAAGACGGTGGTGGGCTGGTTGAGATTGACGAGGCTGATCTTGCGATCGGCCAAGGCGACCAGCAATTGGCCCTGGCTGATCTCCATGGAGTACACTCGCTCGGGACATTCCAAGACGCCCAGTGGGGTCGACTGGCGCATATCCCAATACTTGACAGTACGATCCCACGACCCGGTGACGACGATCGGCGCCTGACTGTTGGGGATCTGGACCATGCGCACACTGCGCACAGGGGCGTCATGTTGCGCCACCTGCTGGGCCTGAGCCGCAGTGGGGTTGCCGCTGGCCAGATCCACGAGACGCGCCGACCCGTCGGCCCCCGCGCCCACAACCTTGGAGCCGTCGGGCGACCAGGCACAACTCAGGACGGGCCCGCCAAAGGAGAACATTGCCTTGCCTTCGCCCTTGACCGATCGCGTCACATCGTAAATCCTCACAGAGTGGTCCCAGGACGCCACGGCGAGATGGTTGTCGACGGGCGACCAAGCCAGTTCGGAGATACTGTCCTCGGGGGGATGGTCAAGGATGGAATCTTTGGAAATGTCGCCTTGGTTGGTATTGTGAGCGGTGAAGGCCATCTTGAGGACGTGTCGCAAAAGAAGGTATGGAAGCAGAATACGCTGTAGATAGATGTACGCCCAACGAGGAGAAAAGAAGCCCCGGAGAGGAGAGAATAACGGCCCCCAATCTCACCAGCAACGGAGTCCGTTCGATGGATGACAGGCCATTTATCAATTAATGGATTCAGACGGTAACATCTGACCCATACCCGGATAGGCTAGCCAGTACGCCTCTCTTTCTAGACTGAAAGGAGTCATCCCGACAGTGCTTTTGAGTCAATGTTCCCTGCTTAGCGTATGGATCCATCTAGACACTCCATCTGACTTAGGTGACAAGGTGACTAAGGCGACTTCCCCACAAAGCTTCTTTGTCTCCGACTCCGAATAAGACGCCAATGTCCGATCCGAAGGAGCCGCATACCGACAATAATGAAAGCTCACCAGTACAACGTATAATAACAACGTTAAAATGAACAGATCTGAGCACAACGGCCTGACATTTATATCGTCGAACCATCTTTTGATTATCAGAAATGCTCTTTCTTCCTTTTTATATAAATAAGAAATTGTTGGGACCGTTGATGCCTTAGACATCCACGGCACAAGATCCCATAGTTTGCTCCCTCGGGTCTCTCTCTCTCTCTCTCTTCTCATCCATCTCACGACCATCGAATCCTTGTTTCTCTATACGGATCTCCTTCATATATTCTAGAGAAATGCTGTATCTAAATATAAGATCGCTTCTACAGAATTTGATTAATAGAGCGTATATACTTTCGAATACTATCAGGTAAACTACTATATTATCAATCTATCTTTGGGTATAACCTATTTCTTTAGAAATAAAGAGAGAATTTGGGACATTTTATGGACTCGTGGACTCAGTAATATTTACCTTTATCGGTTTCTTAGGGAGTGCGGTCTTTTACAGTCTTCTAGGCGGTTTGCGGGTGTCGTGGTTATGTTTAGAGCCCCGCAAAGCCCATAAATGGGCCCGAAGACAGGGCCTAAAACCCAGCCCATTAGTGGGTTGGGTTGGGCTGGGCTGGGCTGGGCTTTGGGCTTTGGGCTTTATGGGCTTTGCGGGGCTCTAGTTATGTTGGTATCCACTCCAGTCCTGTCCTGTCTGCAGTTTACATAGTGAATAATTGATTCAAAAGAAGAGCGTTCTCCTAATACAATTTTCGTCAACTCCCATTTATTGTTGGGGGTTCAGTTTGCGAGTAATCAGATTCAAAGCGAACTCTTCGGCCCTCTTCTCCTCGCACTATAAGCACTCCCTTTAACTTGCCCAGCGCCCTCCATATTATGTAACCACCCAACCCGATCCTTTGTATACTGCTCAATCCTCGGCCTCAACTTGGTCTCATGTAAGTTAAAATCATCCACTGTTCCAATGCGAAGAATACTATGTCCCGGGTATGCCTCGCCGACGCGATACATAAGCGAACCGCACGTTGAACAAAAGAAGTTGGTCATTGCTTTGCCGGACTCAATTGTTCGAGACTGACTGTATGTTTTGAGTTTCTCGCGGCCGCGTAGGTGTTTCAGATGGGAGTCTGCGATTATAAAATTGGAGGCGAACATGGAGGCGGTGATCTTACGACAGTCTGCACAGTGGCAGAGGAACGTGTCAATTAGGCCGGGGCCTTGGGTTGGCTATAGTTTGCAGTTCATTAGTGTGCAATTTTTAATATTGATATATTATACGCACAAAGGCAAGTTGTATGGCGCCGCAGTAGCATGTAGCTGTCGCTTCGCCGTCTTGCGACCAACCGTCATCAGCGCCGCCGGCTAGGGGTATGTAGGACTTGGATTTGTCGGTAGGCATTTTCTTGGAGTTATCGAGTATTGATATTCTATGCTATAATGAATACTTACTGAGATAGTCGCAGTGGTAAAGGAGAGAAAACATGATTATAAATCATTTACAGGGGTTTCGGTTGAACTTTCAAGGAAGCCTCGGTTAGTGCAAAAGCTGCGTAATTCCGTCATTACAGATCAGGGCTACTCTCAAATTTATAGATACAAAACAATATGACATGACATGACGAAGATAAGGTTGGGAATTCAAAGAACTAGTTGCTAGACAATTTTAGAGCGGTTTTAGATGTCATCACTAAAGTGGATTCTAGTACCAGCTAAGTGGAGCTCTGTTGGTGTTAAGCCACTTATTATCGGACCATTCTTTGAGAAAAACATTTAGCAGTAATCTCAAAAACTGAGTACGTTACTAGGGGCTGAATCAGAAAGGTATATCTGTGTTATCAATATCATTGATTAAGCTGAGATATTAACTATACCAAGACTGTTGGGATCAGGACTGTGGTCGTAGATAATTTCCTCTCCTCACTTTTCCCCCGAGTCAGTCAATTAGAAAATTCCAATAGATTCGTATTGATCTCTCTTATTTGTTTCTTCCTCCAAGAACCGGCGAAGTAGTTGCTGCGATGTTCCCGCAAGAAATTTCGAGGAATGCCTCAACCAAAATTCACGACACTGTCTACAAATTACCCTGGCCGGCGCTGCCAGCTGGGTCAGTACTGGCACCGGAGGCAGTGGCGAGAGTCTCGCCCTTCAAGTTCTCTAAAACGGTGGCGGTGGAGCCGGACAGCGTGCCCCCGTTGACGTTGGCGACACAGGAGCGACCGATGTAGGACTCACAGGTGCTGGAGGCGCTGTCGGAGGAAAAGAGAGCACCCTGGAAGGATGATTCCTCGAGAACAGTGTTGACGTTAGAGAAGTAGTTACCCTCCGCAAGAACGTAGCCACCAGAGCCAATCTCGAAGGCGTGGCCGGTGTTGTCGTCCCAGTAGTTGTTGACAGCATGAAGGTAGGTGTTATCCTGGACCTTAGGTGCGCGACCACTAGTCTTGTAAAGGTAGTTGCCCTTGAAGGTTACCTTGTCACTGGAGCCATCGAGGTACACGTTCCAGTAGTGGTGACCGTCACAGGTGGCAGACCAATCAGATTCACCATCAATATAGTTGTTGGTGATAGAGACGCGGTTGTCAGCTTCAGTACCCAGGACGTAGTGCTGACGCCCAATGCGAGCAGTCTGGATGGTAAGTCAGTTTATGTGAATCGGTGGGAAGGCATGTCGGAGCAACTTACGGTAATGTGGTCGAGCCAGACTAGGTCAGCTTGATTGAGCGTGATGGCATCACCACCCCAGACATACTGGGCATTGATATCGGTGACAGCAATGTTTCTATGATAAGCCAGTCAGTCTAAATTCCAACGAAGCGTTCGCACTTAAAACCGCGACAGGGGGTGAACGTACTGGATGATGATGTTCTCCACACCGTTGACCATGCGGAGACCACGACCCTTAATAACACCGCTGGTGCCCTCACCAATCAAGGATTTGTTAGAGCCAACGGTGATACCAAGCATACCAGCGTTGTTGCTGGGAGACGTGTTAGCATCGAGGGGATATCTACTATAGTCCGGGTGATGGAATGCTCACTAGGTGACAGTAGTGGTAGCGGCATCAGGCTCGTAGTTAGTGCACCAGTCGTCCTTGTTGATGGCAACTTGGCAGTTGGAGGCAGTGCCCCAGGGAGTACAACCAGAAGTCGTGGTAGTGCCCTCGGTATCGGTGAAGTCGAAACTAACATTCCGCCATCAGTCGTCGTCCATATACGGCAAGGGCTCTGTACTCACGTCTTGCTCAGAACAATCACACGGGCCTCGTTGTCACCAAGGTAAGAGACCAGCTCATCGGTGGAGGTAGGGTAGACAGGGGTGGCATCACCGCCACCAGTGGCGGAAGAAGCGAAACCCTCAGGAGTACCTGAGACGCCGACAGCGGCGACCTTAGAAGCGACAGCGGCAATAGCCGTGAGAACAAATGCGTACTTCATTGTAGAAGTTGATGAAGGCAGTATATAAAGAGTGACGGTAAACTAAAGCAAACGAAAGTATAAAAGAGAAAAAGTGAGGCAAAGAGAGGAATGGATCAGGAATAGATCAGAGAACAAATCTTTACATACTTATATAATTAAAATTTTAGGTTAGATGTGTTTCAACTCCTCCCCCTTAGCTCTACTCGAATGTCCGAAATGAGAGTGGATGTGGTTTCGGACGCCTGGGAAGGCCCGGTGGAGATGCGCCGATCAGTCCACTATTCTAAGGTTGTTTTGGGAAGGCGATCGTCACCAAGCTCATCTTTGAAACAATGACATCGGAGAAACCTAGGAGAAATCGTAGAGTGGTGGATTAATTTCTTGGTGTTTCGTTTAGATTGAGGACATCCACGTTTTCTTTTTCATGCTAGCATATCTTAACTTTAAATCATTGAACCTTTTAATTTTTCCCTAAAGCCTCATTGAATAAAAGCTACAGAGTGTCTGTTATAATAGAAAGGTAATATATGCTGTCTGTTTTTCTATGAAACATCTCACAGGGAAGCGAGAACAGCCCCTTTTAGCCAGTTACCGAGTTGAAGTCTCTGTAGAGCGAACTATTATATATTTGCACCTTTGAGCTATAACCTGCGGATTTGGTCCTGGTATTAAGCTTAAAATTAGTTATAAAATTCGTATTTATTTGCACTACAAGCCTATGACTATATAAATATTGCAAAAGTAACTAGTTTGTGGTATGGTATTGTTAAATTCAAAGTTTGTTAGATCTCTACAATTCTGTCACTGTTCCTTTGTAATGAATCCTCTTTCGAGATAGGAGATAGTGGTTAAAGGGCTCCATTAGCCCATGATTTGTGGAGACTTCAGTAAAACCAACGGACAAGAGATATCACGATCCATAAACGAGAGCATCACATCGGCCCAATCGATCAGGTAAGCTTTGATTCTAAAGATCGTGACAGATTTCGAGCCACCAAAAAAGCCATATCAGACTTTCTTCCGAGATATTGAAGCGCACGTATCAAGAAGTCACAATTCTGCCGTAAACACTCAGTGTACACATTGTGATCTGCAGGAATATCCAAATCCTCTAGCAAGATATATCCCGCTTTGGCAAAAGAATGGACAAGCACGGCCGTCCACGGTTCGACTAGGAAGGCCACTTCACTGAGTGAATCATGGAAATGACGCTCCATGAGCGAGTCCTGCCCTTGTATTGAAGCTCGGGCAAGTCCGGCAACTGCCAAAGCATTATTCGTTCTAACCGTAGCAACCAAGTGTGTAGTTTGCCGAGCCTCGCGTGCAATATCAGAACCGAGCCTGCATTTGTCAATGCTCTCTAGGACGTCCGCCAAAAGCATCGCAGCAAGGTGCCAGTGGCTGTCGAGGATGACATACCAGGACTGTATGCGAGAAGGCAGGAGCTCATGATTGGTGACGCAATCGACCATGAAGCTCTGGTATGTGGAATCCCAATGTTGGCAGACTAAGAGGGCCTTCTGGATACCATTTTCAATTTGATCGGGACTTGCGCCTCGGTAAACCAGAGTTTGGAGCTGTGTCACTCGGCGGTAGAGTAGCACTTTGACAGGCGTTGCCTCCGAAAGTATGGATGCGGCTTCTTCGTAGGAGCATGGCCATCTTGGCTGGACCTGGCTGGAGCCCTGACGTTCCTTTGAGGAGCGAAGAAATAAATCCCCCCACACATCTTGTGTGCGACGTATCTGGCGGCTTGGAATGTTCCAGTGATCAAAATCTATCTGATCTTCGGGCTCAGCTAGTGGCCGAGAGGACGATGAGATTTGACTATCCTCGTCCGACACTACTAAAGGACGCTGATACATTGCAGCACTCAGAGTATCAAACATAACACCTAGCCAAAACATGAGATCTATCGTAGTGCGGTGCTCTTGGCTAGACAGAAGGGGATCGGGTTGTTGAGGCTCTGAAGGCTGTTGCATTCGTGGAACGCTCGCCGTTGTTGGGTCGATCGAACCGCTCCCAAGCTCTCTCACTTTGGGGGCAGCCTCTCGTTGCAATCTTGCGAACTTATGCCGGAAAGTGAAAATTTGACGGTTGGCGGTTTCCAAATATATTGGTGCACGGTCGTTCTCCAAAAGCTCGCCCAAGCTTACTTCCTGTCCTCTGTCCAGCAAGCTTTGCGTCAAAGAGAAAATGATGTTTGCAAAGGCGACACGGAAGGACGGAATGCTGCTCGAATGCTCCAAAGCGTGTCGTGCTTCGTTCCAAACTTTTTTTCGGATCGATCTCTCATCATGGTCGATTGCCGAGGGGACCGACGCGCCGGTGCCCTTCTGTGCATGTTGAGTCCACTGCGATGCGAACGACATAATCGCTAGATGAAGGACTCGAGCCGCCTTCGTATCTTCCTCTGCACTTAAAGCTCTGCCGCGTATTGAGGATGACACACGATCCAATCGACAAACCCTAATACACATTCTGTTTGACCAACTCGGACCCCATTCTTGCATCTCTCGATGAGGAAGCAATTGACTGATTGTGTCGCTGTAAGGGCAGTTGTGCTCGGTCAACCAACATGATAGAGCATTCTCCATGCTATCGTGGTATATGCGGATCAAGTTGCGTGACATTGTCGCACGAGCGTTTTGCTTGGCTGCGTTTTCGGAAGCAATGCAAAAGTTCAATTGTGATTCTGAGTTTGCGGTTCGGTCGGACCCAGATTCAGATGGGCGTTTGTGTCGACTCTGTTTCCACGCTGGAACCGTTGATGTGAGATGAGGAGTGAGTGCATATTCCCGTGGTAACAAGCTCGATGTCCCCCCCACAGAATTTGGCGTGACAACAACAAGTTCAGCCTGGGCATCGGATCCCACGGAGGATTCCGGAGATGCATATGGGTTTGAATTGTTAATTTGCAAATTATACGGGATGCTCATCTCCCAAGGAGATAATTGAAATTGGCCATGACTTAAATTGGGAACTTCAGATGACTTGAGAAAGTGATTTTCCGTGTGCGAGGAGGACGATGAAGCGTAATGTGAGGCTTCAAAGGAACCCAAAAATTCGGGTAATCCTCCGAGATCGGTAAGATGCGTTTGTGCAGAGCGTAACATCTCATCATGAGCTTGGTCATTAGAGCCTATGATAGCTGTGCCCGTGTTGGACTTTATTCGTTTTCGACTTCCTCTTGGGTCCAGGTCTTTTGAGGAGATCCAATTGAATGTACACTCTTTTTTCCATCGTGTGCAGTTTGAGCAAGAACTGAATGTATTCTTTTGTCGTTCTTTCTACTTAGAGTCAGCATCTGTGAATGACACAGAGACATGTTAACAAACAGGTGCGTCGCAACCTCTTTTGCCCTTGCGACAGGGATCACAGCTATGAAGCTGACGTCGACGGGAGTCCATGCTAGTGCATAATGAAAAGATATTTAGAAGTGCAAGGGGTCAGATCGATATTAAAGATAATTGGGGGAACACGTGAACTTTTGCGGAGTAAGATTGAGTGGGGTAGAGACCTCGGGAATAGTGGAGAAGGCTAAAGGAGTCACGAGTCTTCGGTCTAGTGGAATATATATACTCTGCTTCAACTATTGATGGGACACTTGAGGTAAATAGCAGTTAATGATTGAAATATAAGTCTTAGGTATAAAGAATTCATCGTGCACCTAGTTATATTGTTCATGTTACACTACCGCCCAGAACGTGGCGCATTATTGGGCGCTCTGAATCCCGAAAAGAAGCGGAGCATTATCTAGCCAATCGTCTAAAAACCCCCGTATATGGTCACCGGCTTACGGCAGTGCAATCTCGTCATAACTCCGTAGATCTTCAATATGATCGACAAACGGGATGTGCTGGGGGAAAGGAGATATATACCTTGAGTCTAAATCAAGAGACTGCTAATTTGATTCATGTTCATTTTGATCTAATAAGCTACATCTTTAATTAATTCATAATAGCTTTGAGGATAGCTATAATAGCTAAACAATGAGCAAAATTGTCCGGGAATTGAAATTTCCGCATTTAGTGCACTCAATATGTAGAGTTGATTTTCTACGGTATGTACAAATTGAAAACATAAAACAGTTGAAATCCTTCCCGTCTGAAGCCTATGATTGACCAAGGTGCACGCGGACTGTCTTCACTTCGGTGTAGTTCTCCAGGGCGTAAGATCCAAGCTCTCGGCCTATTCCCGATTCTTTGAAACCACCAAAGGGCATCTGGTAGTGAAGAGTGTTATAGTTGTTAACCCACACCGTTCTATTGTAAAAGGATACGTCAGCAAATTCATGAGACCCACTTCGTGGCTATTCAATTGACTCACCCCGCTTTGAGGACGTTGGACACTCTGATGGCAGTGTTGATATTCATAGTGTGGACAGCGGCGGCCAAGCCTATTTTTAATTGTGTCAGACGATGGGAAACCAATGGAATGTGGAAAGTCGCGTAGTACTTACCGTAGTTTGTATCATTAGCAGCCCGAATAGCCTCTTCTTCGCTGTGGACCTTCTGCACTGTGCACACCGGTCCAAAGATTTCGTCTTTCACAATCGTCATGTCCTCGTGGACATCCGCAAAGATCGTCGGTTGGATATAGTATCCTTGGCTACCATGACGATCGCCACCCGTGACCACCGTGGCGCCTGCACCCTTTGCACCCTCAATAAAGCCCATAATCCGGTCGTATTGGAGTTGGGATACCTGTGGTCCCTGGAAGGTCTCGGCGTGGAATGGGTCTCCGACCTTATTTTGCTCTGCTCGCTTCTTGAAAAGTTCTAGGAATCGCTCATAGACAGCTTCGTGAACAATAATACGAGAGCCTGCACAGCAGCACTGTCCATGATTGAAGAAAATGCCTAGATTGACCCATTCGACTGCATCCTCTAGGTTTGCATCTGGTAGAATGATGTTCGGTGACTTGCCACCTAGTTCCAAGGTCACTTTCTTCAAGTTGCTATCGGCCGCTGCTTTCATGATCTGACGTCCGACCAAAGTGGACCCAGTAAAAGCGACTTTGTCAACATCCATATGAGCGGAAATGGCCGCACCCGCAGTTCTTCCGAATCCTGAAATAACATTTACCACTCCAGGGGGAATCCCGCTTCTTTGATAAGCTTAGCCACATATAGTCCTGAAAGGGGCGTTTGTTCAGCCGTTTTCATAACAACTGTATTTCCAGTAGCCAGAGCAGGGCCAATCTTCCAAGCAAACATCATAAGCGGGAAATTCCACGGGATGATTTGGCCGCAGACGCCCACAGGCTCGTGGCGGGTATATGTCAAGCTATTAGGATCAGTGTCGATTGTTTGACCGTAGATCTTGTCGGCCCAGCCACCATAGTAGCGTAGGCACCCCGCAGAGGCAGTAACGTCGCCTCTGGCCATTGTCACTCCTTTACCATTATCAAGAGCTTCAATAGCGGCCAGTGTGTCGATATCACGTTCGAGGAAGTCTGCTAGACGAGTAAGGAGACGACCACGTTCAGACGGAGTGACCTTTTTCCATTCTCCGTTCAGTGCAGTGCGAGCAGCCTTCACAGCAATGTCGACATCGTCTGCTGTGCCTTCGTGTACGGCCACAATTGGCTTCTCGTCGTGAGGGTTGATTGTCTCGAAGGTTTTGCCTTCTACACCTTTGACGAATTCATTGTTGATGAATCTTATGAGGATTGTCAGATTATTGGCTAAATGAATGAAGTTCTTTTGCCCAACTTACAGTCCCAAAGGCTGCTCATATGAGAGCACAGGGGTCTCAATGGTTTGGAAAAGTGACATGGTTGAAGAATAAGAGTTGATGAGATGATTTAACTGTGAGATAAGTGAGAATGTGAGATGAGATAGGGGCCCTTATATAGCTAATGGAAAGGAACCAGGTGTGGAGAATCGGAGGTAGCGCGGGGCCGCATTGAGATCGATAAAGGCCGGCCCGATGTTTCTCGCTGTCTGGGGTAGCCGCTCCTTTACCCCGGGTTTTCCCTTTGATTTGCACTTCCGTTCGTCCGGACATCAGCACTAGTCAGAAGGTAAACGCGGAAAACGAACTAATACCGTCTTTTGGAAGTGTTCTATGATGCGACTGGGTGTGAGAGACTGGCTACAAAGAAAATGTGTACTATCCAATCTTCTTCAATTCATATCTGCATTTCACTAGATTATCTCAGCTCAACCATTGTAGCCCATAAAAATAGACAGTAGTTTATCATCTTGTTTGGCTAGACGGTGAATGCCCATTTGGGATCATGCTTCAATATTTACCACTCTATCCGATTTAGCCGTTTTGTACAGACTGAGAAGTTGGCCCCCACGTACGTTACTGATAATCCTCGATGTAACGCATGTGAGAAATATCTCAGCTCCAATCGCTTGGGGTCCGTGATTCGGGGGTTAGAGTTTGGCGACTAACGCGATGACAAGCTCGTACTCCCCGGTTGTGTGGAGACTAGCGAAATGCCGAGATTGGCTCTAAAAACCCAAAATCAACATCAGTGCTATCTTGAATAACCTGGCAAAAAGAGACTGTGCCAAAGGGCGTCTTGTGTATCAATAGTTGAAAGTCGGCCAAATTCAATATCTCATTTCATATATCACATAACTCGCACGCAAGTCTCCACCCTATATACAGCATGTTCGTAGTCCATAATGTGTTCCCATAGCATGGTTCAGTAGTGGTCAACCACCATTTATTCCGGCAACTCGAGCACATAGCGGCCGGCAATCTTGCCTTGTTCTATTTCAAGTTAGAATCGAGTTTAGTATGCAAGAGAGAATGTATGTGACGAACCCATAAGCTCGAAGATCTTGGGGAGGTCTGCCAGCGGTGCCAGCTTGAATGGCGCCTTGATCAATCCCCGGGCGAAGAAGTCGAGGGCTTCGACACTATCCTGTTGGTTTCCAACGTAGCTTCCCTTGATAGTGATCATACGAACGACAGTATTAATCACCGGAGCCTTGAGGAATGCATCTGGGGGCAATCCAATTGCAACAATTGTGCCTCGAGAGCGAACGTATTCCGAGGCTTGTTGGAACGGCTTCTCCGAAACAGCCAACAAAATAACGGCGTGAGCACCAAGACCACCGGGGGTTGCTGCCTTCACATCGGCAACAAGGTCCTTGGACTTGGTGAAATCGACATAAGTCTGTTTTTTTGGCTTTATTAGCTTCTGTTCCATGCAGGGAAGTGTTAGGGTATAGGGATTTCATGATCATACCTCAGTGCCAAGCTGCTCGCACATCTCTCTCTTCTCATCACCTCCATCAATCGCGACCACTCTAAGACCCATGGCCTTGGCGTACTGCTGTGCAAGGGAGCCAAGGCCGCCGCCTGCTCCAACAATAGCAACTGTCTGGCCCGGACGAATGCCGGATTCCTTCAAGCCCTTATAAACGGTGATACCAGCGCAGAGCACTGGAGCTGCGGCATCGAGAGGCACACCCTTTGGGATCTTAGAGGCGTTGCTGGCCTTTCCGACGGCATATTGCTGGAAAGTACCATCGACAGTATAGCCAGAAAGTTGCGCATCGGCGCACAGAGGAGTATCGGATTGTCTGCAGAATTCGCATTCACCGCACGAGCCATTGAGCCACTTAATTCCGGCGTGGTCACCGATCTCAAAGGTGTTCACAAGATCTCCCTTCGCCACGACCACACCGGCTCCTTCGTGTCCACCGACGAGAGGCATCTTGACTGGGATGGGCCAGTGACCCATCATGGCATGATAATCAGTGTGACAAACTCCTGAGTAGCGAATTTTGACGAGAATCTGGTCAGGACCTGGCTTAGGAACGGGGATCTGTTTGAGCACAAGAGGCCCTCCGATCTTCTCGGCCACCTGCGCCCATTGAGTCTCGGGGATGGACATGTTGATGAGATATGAAGTTTGGTTATGTGAATAGAGAAATGTTTGATGAGTTGATACTCCGGTTGCCAGGCACGAATTGGAGCTTTATAGCTAAATGTGTTGGCGGGGGATGTCCGGGGTGAAAGAGGGCGAGGTGGGCCCTGTCGCTTCAATTCTCATATTGGTTGTCATTTAGGGGAATTAGTTCGGTCCACCGGAATCCTTTGGTGAGACACAATATGGAGTAGATTGATTGGAGATGTGTAGGATCTAGAAACTGTCATCCACCTAGACTTCCAAAGTTGGAACGCGACGACGTTATTGCGGGGAAGGAATGCGGGAATTGCGCACAGCCCGCCATGCGGAGCCGCACAGGTAGCTCATCCGATTGGATGAAATGTCACTAAAATACTCTTTGGGGGACAAACATGGGCCCATAAATCCCGTTGATGTTATGTTGCCGAAAAAAATGGGGTAGATGAAGATGGTTCGTGGAGAAATTATCGCAAAGAAAAATGGTGAGGGTTGGCAATTGGCCCCCAAGTCATCACAACAAAACTAAAATAGGTTGACTAAACTCAACACTTTGCATTCTTATCCACTATTGTTTTTCATAAGCAATATTTGTACAATTATATTATTGGAAACTCCACCATGCTATCTGTACAAGTTGAAAAGAGGATGGCGAACGAGAAAATTCTGGAAAGGGTAAATCCCCGAAAATCAAACAAATAAGATCAATCTCTTTTTCTCTGCCACCTCATCTTGTCTATAGTCACAGGATTTTCAAAAGATTAAATTTTTGCGCTCTTTTTAGCTACCGTATTCAGCAATGGTGGTGTTATTCTATTCCGTGAGGAAAGAATGTACTCGACCAGCCACTGCTGATAGCAAATCCGGAACATGGTTCATCTCTTGCATACCTCTGTAGCTTTGATAATCTGGCTCCGACGTGGTCTTCTAGAGCTTGAGATGAGGTTCCTACTTCACTATCTTCAGATACGCTGGAAGATCTCTCTGACCACGTCGAGTATTCAGCATTCGAGAAGAACGGGATAAAATTCTCATTCTCTTTCACAATAGTCCTCCCTGAACCTTGAGTTTCGAATTTGGAACTCGAACGTTCAGTATAGAAAAAGTTTGAATCAATGAGCTCATCAAAGACTTCCTCGAATGGGTCTCGTCTGTAGTCTCGGATTTGTCCGTCATCGATGTCTTCTTGTTGAGTGCTCTCAATACTACATCAATATTAGCATAAAGATGCAATAGCTCTGAGGGAGAACCAAACTGACTCATAACTTGTGGTATCCCGAATAATATCTTGATAATGGGATTGCTGCATAGAAGTAAAACCGCGATGTAAGCCAGCCTTGCGTCTTTTTATCGCATTTTCATTGAGGTATTTGGGTGGTTTGTGATTTCCATCGACACATTGCGATGGTGTCTTGCGCTTCACGCATTGCCCACAAGGGCGTTCATTTCCTACAGCCATTTGTCAGTTTGTGTTTTCTCGAAATGGGCTCTCTCGAGACGTAAGGACGGGGTTCCTCAGCTCACCGCATGTTTTATGTGCCTTTTGACAATATAAGCAGGATCTCCTAGCTTTTTTGCGCGGGCGCGGGACATCAAATTGAGTACAGGATTCCATGTTCAAACTAGTCATGAATTTGTGTAGTGTGGTATCTTCAAAGGGAAGAAGATAGTGTCACGCTTATCTTTGCGACAAACCTAACACCCAGTTTTATATATACCTAGTTGAAGGGATTGTTATGAAGGTCAGTACCGCCAAAGGTCCTCACAAATCCTGGGGTTCAACAAGATATACCCACCAAGGTGTTCAGAACGAATGCGTTTGCCATGTTTGGGACGGCAATCTGAGCGGCTCCGCATGTATGGTCAATCCTTACAATTAGCTGCCTTCCCCAGACCAAAACCACTGGGCCTTTCTAAAATATTGCGGGGTAAAACCTGAAATGCGGAGATCAGATTGAGTTTCAGCTGTGCGGCTCCGCATGAAATTTCGGAACCGCATGGCCCGAGCCATACGCGTCGAGTCTTGGCAAACGGTTTCATCAAGCTTCGAATCCACATGATCTGCATCTCCCATAAACTAGATACGGGTTATCAAACTCTTTCTGATCTCTTTGCATCCGATCTCCGACGTGAGAGTTTCTATAGCAACTCAGAAGAGCGTGGAGAACAATAATCTAGTGAAGGTAAATACTATTATAATTAAGGCTTGGCCCATACGGGGTCAATATGCTGCGTTGGTCAATATCCGGCTAGCCAATCAATGAATCCAATGCCAAGTTTGTCCCATTATTGAGTTCACTTCACGTTCTGGACTCATCCTCCTGCAAATCAATACATCCCACCCGAACCGTCTGATTGGACGCGGTAGAAAGGAGTATTATTATAATTCTTTTTATTTCTTACAGTGAAATGAGCAAATATCAATCACCCCATAGTTCATGCCAGCCCCTAAGTCTGGGGGACGGTTAAAAGTCCCACAGTTCCCGCATGTTTAAGACCCATAAAACCCGTTTCTCGGAGCCGACAGTCTCATTCCCTACCATAGTATATTCTTCCGCTATTTGATACTAGGGAGACTCATCTTAGCAATAACAAAATGCACAACGACATGAGTCAAAGCGGCGAGACAAAGGCGAGTTTTCAAAACAAAGAGAACACGCTCCATGGTCTCACTACAGTCCCAACGTCGGTGACACTGTCATCTGAACAGTTTGAAAGGCTGTATTTGACTCCTATGACGGTTCGCCAATCACCACTAGCTAAGAAAGTTGGAAATCCGACACCATTGTACGTCTTCCCATATCATCTTCTACGCAGGGCATTTGATCTAACTTCATGGTTCATCATCTAGAGCACTCGGAGGGTTTGTCATTACCACCACCCCCCTTTCATGCTGCTTGATGGCCTGGAGGGGAGCCAGTGGAAATGGAATTGCTTTCATGTGAGAGACCAAACAAATTGACGAGAGAGCCTGATCTGACGAACTGAACAGTGGACCTATCGTCTTCCTTGGTGGTCTTCTGCTGCTCATCACGAGTATTCTTGAGTTCATCATCGGAAATACCTTTCCCTGTGTTGTGTTTGGCACTATTGGTAGGTCTTCATATCCCATGAGAGAATCCTCAATCAATTGTTCACGTTGCTGATGCTCTTCTAAGGCGGGTTCTGGTTTGCGTTTGCAGCCACAATGATTCCTGCTTTTAATGCAGCCGGTTAGTTTGTCCAACCGGATATATCATTGGTGCCAGTCGAGCTGTCAGTTTATTGACGTTTTATAGCGCCATATTCCTCTTCAGGCACCGATACAGCTGCTGGGCTAGCCAGTGAAGCCTTTATGAATACCTATGGTAAGTGTAGTCCAAGGCTCTCAAATTTAATGAACCGCTCTGACGACATCAGCGTTTCTATTCATAACAATGGCTGTTTTGATGTTAATCTTCCTGATTTGTTCAACACGCATCAATGTAGTATACACAGTGATTTTCCTGTTTCTGCTCGTGGTTTTTCTCCTTCTGTCTTCGGCCTATTGGCAGTTAGGCCAAGGCAATGCGGCCATTGGTGATCGATGTGTAAAAGTGAGTATTATTCCGTGGCTTTTTATTTCGCTGCTATTTTGACTTAATGCTGACCTTCGATCCATTTTCAGGGTGCCGGAGCGTCGCTCTTTGTTGCTAGCTTACTCGGATTCTACCTGTTAATTGTTCAATTGTTTGAATCCGTAGGGTTCCCGCCCTTTTTGCCAGTTGGAGACTTGTCAACATTTTGGACTCGCAATCAAGACAAGTGAGTCTCTTAAAAGCGCTCAAATGCTTTGTTCTGACAGTATACAAGAGGAGAGCGAGACGATGTTGAGCGGCCAGCTACAGTTCGCTAGAGTTGGATCTTTTACGATTTATTTAGTGTTTCTTGTTGGTTGAAGAAGCAATTGTATTCGATGTGCAGAATAACTTTGGGTTGCTTGAGCCAGTTCTGGTTCCTATCGGCCATCGCCTTTAATTCATTGCCGAGCATAAGTTGAGCAATATTAAAAATCCAAGGCATAGATGTATAATAGCAGGTCAGCATTCTAAATCTGCGCAGATTAACTTGCACAAACTCGGGAACAATAAAATAAATACGTCTAGTTGCTAGATGGGTCTATTTGGCGCTATTGTAACCCGCCAGATTCTTCAACAATCGCAGGCGTCCACTCAATCAGACTGGAAGGTACTGCTGATTGGGCTTAGCAGAGGACTAGGACACGCCCAGGTTGCCCAATCAGACGAAATTAGCAACCCAAACATCCATGGCTCTCACTCCTTTCCGACCCCCCTGTACACCCTCCAAGCTCGCCTCACACGCATCCCGTGACGCAAGAATCGCCGCCCGTTCCCTCTCATCACTCACTTGATCCTCTACTTCTCTTTCGAAAGAGGAAGAAAGACAAGCAGAGACTTCCCATTCTCCGTCCAACAACCCATCCCCACCTTGCACGAGGGTCTCACTCTCTAGCTGCCACCCGGCAGCCAGGGCCAGCTCGGTAAGCCGCTTTGGCCCCAGCACCGTGCGGACGTTCGAGTCGCTGTCTTTAGGTTTACGACACTCTAGCGCTGCCTGGGTGATCGCAGCTAATACATGAGGCTGGGCGGATGGGTGCGTCGCTACTAACGACCACTCCGCAAGGAGGAGACGCTTGCTGTGCTGTTTGAGGGCACGGAAGGTTGAAAGGATGAGCGAGGGGGAGGCGAAGTACCATAGGCTGTGAGCGAGTACTGTTGCGTCGAAGGCCTTATTTTCGCTGGCGGGCGGCGAGGAGAGGGAGGAGAGGTAGTCCAGGGGGGATTGTTGAACCCAAGTAATCCGCCCACCCAGCGGGCCTTGCAAGATGTGACCCTGTGCTTGGCCGAGAGTATACGGAGCACCTGTCGGAGCCATAAGTCGGTTGCTTTCCGCTCGCACCCCCAAGACAGGCAGCAGGGTCAGAAAAGCTAGAGGACTCACCATAATCCAATTCCGCCGGATCGACCGCCACCACTTTCCCCTGCTCGCCCACAGCAGAGGCAAGGACAGTCGTGCAGTCACCTTGCCCACATCCTAGTTCCAGCACCTTGGAGTCAGTGGGAATGTTCCAGTGCTGCAGGAACGCCAGGCGGTGAAAGGTTTGGGAGTGCTGGATGCTGAAGTGGGTGGGGTCGTGTAAGGAGACACGGGCGATAGAGGCGGCATCGAGTTGAGTGGCCATTTTGTGCTCGATTGGGGACACCAGACGGTTGAGTGGGTTTTGCGTAGGTGATGAAACTTGGAACTAGAGCCTTTATTGTAACCGAAGAGCTGCCGACGGGGAGATCTTATAGTGTCAGACTTGGAGGGTCGCCTGGGAGCACCCCTACCGCAAAATTAGTATTAGGGGTAAGCTACTGGGGGTTGATATTGCGACATGGGTATTCTTTTACTATGACAAAGCCCCCTTTCAGGGATCTACAGTAATTGGCTTAAGATAACTCTGGGATATTTTGCTTGAAAATTTCAAGTTCTTTAAGATTGACTGCTTATGTGTCTTTTAAAAAGTGTATCAATAAAAAAATCATCAACAGAATACTCTATCAATCTTAGGCCAAGTAGTGTGGATAGTATTGCCCAGATGAGTCCAAAGAATGCCTAGAGTTGGATTATTTATGGCCGAGGCTTTATCAGGAAATAAAACCATACGTGCTACCATTATGGGTATTATATACTTAATACCGTACGGTAAAACACACATTATCTAATACTGGCCCACTACCCCGCTCTTTTTATTGCCTCTTTCTACTTAGACATCTTCACATTGCTGCTGATGCGTCAACTACTATCTAAATTGGCCCTTCAACATGTCAAATTCCATATAACCATCAGGTTGGATTAGGTGTACTACTACAGACTAATTTGAAGAGTTACTAGACACGGGATCCATTTTATATGAACAATAATTAAAACATATCCCCTTATTCCCTCCTTCTCACCAGCTCAAACCCAAAGCTTGGCGTTATATCAATCTGCATAAAGTTCACATGACACGCCACGCGCTGGCACCTCATCTCCACCACTAGACTCTCCCTTGGACAGGCGAACTCCAGTGTTGTGCTGTTCGGCTTGGCGGTGAGGTCTAGCACACCGAGCAGCTCTCCACGCACGGGAAGGTTCGAATACGATATGGTATCATAATCGAGCTCCTCCATAGTGGAAGAGACGTTGGCCGAGGTGGCCGAGGGTGCGATAAGCTGCCAGACTTCAATTTCGGTTATATCCCCCTTGGTTATGAGGTCCTTAGCACGCGCAGAGAACTCGGCAGGCGGCCGCCAGGAGAGTGCACAGGCATTGACGCCGGTGGAGGGGATAGGGAAGCGCATAATTGTCGAGTCCTTTCTCTTGCGTCAGCAGCTGCACACAGAGCGGTAGACCCAGGGAATCTGTAGATAGCTTATTGAAGAGAATGAAGAAGGAGCAAGTACGGAATACTAACCTCGACAGTAACATAGACCTGCACTCCTTGACCCCATACGGCATTCTTCAAATTCCGGCTCACCCGTGCAATTCTATCAGGCCAAGCGTGTTCATAGACCTGGGGAGGGGGGATGAAGTTCGCTACCCTGTCCAATCCTACCCTAGAGTCGCCATAGGGGAGGGCCTCGAGGTCAGAGTCAGAGAAGGGATAGGCTTGGTACTTTGAAAGTGTACTGGGAAGGAGAGCGACATTCACAGCTGATAGCAGCGCTAGGGCGAAGGAGAAGTAGAGGATGAGCTTAGGCAGCTGGGCGGACTTTGATGGTGCGGGGAGGTTGTCCGAGCCTTCCAACAAGGGAGCAGAGTAGTCGTCCTCCGTGGAGCGCTTCTCAAGAGTTGCGCTGGAGCTCTCGCTATCATCGTGTATCGAAATGGGCGCATATTGGGAAGAGCTGGACTTTGCTTTGGAGGAGGACATGGTGAGGGAAGTCAAAGAGAAGAGCAGATCGAGCGAAAGGAGAGAGGGCGCGCCGTGGGTGAAAGCAAGTAACGGTAAAGCAGGCGATGGCGCCCATGCCAAGTACCCGCTCAGAAAGTAGGACTACATGACGCCTGGTACATATTAGTGCTTACCACGCTCGCCAAAGATAGTAGAGTTACAGTGCATTAGGAACTAAGCCGTTCTGCATGGCCAAATACATCCTTATACATTCGTCATCGCGGTCAATGAGGCGGGGACGGGTCGATCTGACGCCTGGTACGGAGTACACCTTAGTGCTTACCGCACTCGCCAAAGATTGTACGGAGTAGAGTGACAGTGCATTAGAAACTCAGCCATTATGCATGGCCAAATAGATCCCTATACGTTCCTCATCGCAGCCAAGAAGGCGGGGCCGGGTCGATCGGACGCCTAGTACGCCTTAGTGCTTACCGCGCTCGCCAAGGATAGTACAGTTACAGTGCATTAAAACGTTGGCCGTTCTGCATGACCAAAATACCCCTGTATATTTGTCATCGCAGCCAAGGACGCAGCGACGGGTCGACCTGATGCCTGGTACGCCTTAGTGCTTACCGTGCTCGCCAAAAATAGTAGAGTTACAGTGCATTAGAAACACGGCCGTTCTGCATGGCCAAGCAGACCCCTATACGTTCGCCATCGTGGCCAAGGAGGCAGGGACGTGTCGACTAACTCCCTACGTGTACAATCTGACACAATCCAACTCGGCGACTAGCCATTTTAAGGGTGTGGCCGTGGCGGCTCCTTCTGGCAGGTAGGAAGGGCTTGAAGGCAGTGAGAACGTTTGAGAACCCTTCATCTTGCCCTTACTCTCTGCGCTTGCTGCAAATGACCTCTGTCCACCATGTCATCTCTCGGCGCAATCATCTTCCTGCTTGCCCTCAGCATCAGCATCAACCTCACATCCGCCGCGCACGCCGGCTTCCACGTCCAGTTCCCATGGTTGACCCGCGGCCCAAACCCCAAGACCCGGCCAGAGATAGATTCGTACAACCCTTTCTGCGGTATGTTCCTCTCTGCCTCCGGTCTAGCAGTAGCGTAGGCTGAAACAGAGAAGGCGAGATAGTGCATAACCCCCAACGATACTCCCGCCACTCCCGCAGTTTCCTCTCGTTCTCCGGCCATCCTGGGGACCTTGTGACAGCCCTCTATACCAGACATAGAGTGCCAAGGAAGAGAGATGACTTCCCCCATATCATCCTGCAGGATGTGCCCATTCAGCCTTCGGGGCAGCTGTGTGTGAATGTCACGATACCCTTTCAGACCAAGGCAGACGAGACTGGAGTCATATACTTCGAGGCGAGGGATCCGAAGACGGGGAATGTGGAACACTATGTGAGTTGCTTTGGCTTGCAAATAGCAGAGCTTATGCTGACGCAAAGATAGTGCTCCGACGTCAAGATGGCTGACATAGAGGCTCTTCCGGAGGAACATCCAGCTATGTGTGCGGCTAACAACGAGACACTTATCCCGATGCCGGATGAGTATATGTAGATGCAGGCCGGAGAACTGTCATGTCCTGCAATTTCGTGTGCGATTCGCTTCTAGATGTGCAACTTTGCGCCCCTCTCTCATCTTAACGTACAATAGCTCAATGTAACGGCACTCTATTAGCTTGAAATGAAGCAAATATCCGGCTTGCTAGATTTTATACTCGTTTCCATCAAATCTAGAGTAGTTATCGTAGATTTATATCAGATCGCAGGCCTTGAGAAGGGTAACGAGGAATCGCCAGGAAAAGCAGATTCCTCGTGAAGAGTGTCAAGGAAGAGAGTAATCGGATCTTAGTCGCCAGGCTCTAGCGTGCCATACAATGTGTAGAGAGACTGGACATATTACACGTACGGGCAGAAAGGATAGCCGAGATACTGCTTGATATACTCTGCTTATATATATGCATACTGCTATGTAAGGAACGTGGTGAAAGGAATACTCTCAAAGAGGGCCCAAAGTTGATGGGTTGCGGAGCTCGCCTGTAGAACATACTAGAGACGTTGTCAAGCTCGTTCCATGCGAGACTTCGGTTATTCGCAGCTGACCAGTGTCTAGACGTCGATCTCGTCTTTATCCACTCCGTAGGTGTGACGCTTCTCGAGTGCGCTCTCATCATCATCCAGAGCGTAGGTGTGGCGCTTCTCGAGTGCGCTCTCATCGTCATCCAGAGCGTAGGTGTGGCGCTTCTCGAGTGCGCTCTCATCATCATCCAGAGCGTAGGTGTGGCGCTTCTCGAGTGCGCTCTCATCGTCATCCAGAGCGTAGGTGTGGCGCTTCTCGAGTGCGCTCTCATCGTCATCCAGAGCGTAGGTGTGACGCTTCGCGAGTGCACTCTCGTCCTCATCCAATTGATAGCGGTGACGCTTCTCGAGTGCGCTCTCATCGTCATCCAGAGCGTAGGTGTGACGCTTCTCGAGTGCGTTCTCGTCATCATCCAGAGCGTAGGTGTGACGCTTCTCGAGTGCGCTCTCGTCGTCATCCAGAGCGTAGGTGTGACGCTTCGCGAGTGCACTCTCGTCCTCATCCAATTGATAGCGGTGACGCTTCTCGAGTGCGTTCTCGTCATCATCTAGCGCGTAGACGTGGCGCTTCTCGAGCGGGTCAGAGAGATGGACATGGTTGCTTGACTCGGCGCGGCGATCCAAATCAGCGATGGGAATCGCTGCGGACTGGACAGGGAGGATATTCAGGCCGACGCTGGCGAGGCTGAGCAGGGCGGTGAAATGCATTTGTCTTCAAATCGTATAGTATGAAACTATACAAAGCGTGTATTTGAGATATTGAATCTTGCAATGGTGATCCTTGAAGTATATCTCAATGTCTGACAAGGACCCCATATTTATGGGGTCCATACCCCTGTAAATACAGATGATTAACCCCTCATAGATTGGTAATGACAACATGAACAGGCTCATGGAGAAAGGGAGCAACGGATTCCGCCGGACGCAGGTTGAACGCAGTCAGAATGAAATACGATCTTTCGATACAACCTGGATGCAGATTATATGCAAGGGATATGCAGAAATGACTGTATCAAAGCCTTCCATTCTAAATTTGCACTGGATATGGTGTAATCCACTATCTAGATAATAGGCCCCACTTTCACATCAGACCCCAATTGGGTCCGATGTGAGAGTGGGGCATGTAATACGTGCAGTAGTGTGGAGAAGATCCATGGATACATATATGCAGGGTCAGCAATATCCACAATTCTTACTTACCCTCTTTGGTCCTAGTAAAAGGCGATAATCAGCGAACTTTAACTGCCTGTAATTGTCTTAAGATCCCGGTATCTAGGTACTTTCGGGATGAAGTAGTATTGTTTGTGGAGCCAACTAACTTGTACTTCTCTGCTTACTGGCATTCTCCACTTGATCAAAGTCCTTCGAATAAGGGCTCTAGCGAATAGATCATCACGACCGTTCCGTCTCCTTCCCCGCTCCTCGGGACCATCGTGACTTGCCCAAACCAGAGCGGATACAGCCATAGATGTGTTAAACACTATCAGCCCGCTCCGGATGCTGAACCAAATTCCGTCTCCCTCTGCTACCCTCAACAAACCGTACCAACACACCAAAATGTTTCCCAAGTCCCTGAGATCTCAATTACACGGCCCCTCTATTGGCCTGCTCGCAGTGCTGAGCGTGTGTCTCGTCCTGAATTTGGGCGCCCTCATCTTCTCACTCCGCATCTTAACACGCGGACCACGGGGATACAGTACGCCATATCCAATATTCTACTTGGACTCATGACTAACGCGCAGTAGCCTACCTCGCCGGCGACCGACCTCGTGAGCTCCCCATAAAGGTCCGCACCATCCAAGCCGCTTTCCACGACGACCCCTCCCACTACGGGATGGAAGGCTTCATGGCCACGGCTGAATGGAACGCAATCCGACCTCCCGGCAAGGGCTTCACCTTTCTAGGGGAGGAGTACTACGCATTTGGTGTGTCGATGTGGCACCAGATGCACTGCCTTAACCACATCCGCGCGGCACTTGTCAACGGGGACGATGGGTCAGACCATACGGCGCACTGCTTCCATTACCTACGGCAGGGTATTCTGTGCGCCGCTGACACAACACTAGAGTCGGGCGGGACGAGCAAGGAATTGGCTAATGGGGATAAAGTCGCGACGGGTGGAGGAACTGTGCATACCTGCCGGGATTGGAGACAGGTGCATGATTGGATGGAAAAGCAGCATAAGGAGTGGACACCTGATATGTATACGAGGTATCGGGAGTCTAGTTAATAGGATAGTGGGTATAAGGATGGGAAAATAAAGATTATGCGTCATATGAAACTCGACAACTATTCTTTGGAGTTTGTGTGGGAGAGTACGTAACTACGTGCGTAGAACCAGTTGAGCAAGGTACCTCGCTTCTCGTTTCCCTTTTTCAAGAACGAGAAGCCAGACCGTGGGCAAGCAATGTGGGGCGGAACCCCGACTCGAGTGAATGTGACCCTGATCTGACTGAACTCCAAGATAAGGTATTAGTCTAGTCTAGTACCCGTCACTCCTCATCCGCATACCGATAACACAACGGCCAAACCTCCGTATCAAACACCTTCCTCGGCGTCACGGGCACACTCTGAACGTCGAAGGACATCTGATGATCTGCGTGCGCGCCAAAGTCGTAGCGTGGGTCTGTCATATTGTGCGGGGTTACGGGCATGCCGGAGAAGGCGGCAAAGTTGGATGGGTGGTGGCGTTGCCACTGTAAAACTCATGTTAGTAGCGTTGCACTGCAGCAGAAATATGGAGTGGGAAGTTAGCATGGATTCGGGGGCGCACCTCACTCCACAACCGGTCAAGTTGTGCATGATGCAGCCAAAAGAGCGGGTCATTAGGCGTGAAGCTGAGTGCCATCTCCTGGCAATCCTCCTGCGGCAGGACCTTCGGGCAGTCTCCCGCCAAGTCGCCCCCAACAAAATTGTGTACGTGGTTATGCAGTAGTGCCATTGCGTGCTGGAACCTGAAGAAGTCGCCAGTGGTTTGCTCGGTCGAGTTTCGCACGAAGTCTGGGCCGAGGGTGCGGTTTTGAGGCAGCTCATGGGGGAACCAGCCGGTTATGAGCGTCAAATTCCTCCGCAGCGGGTGTGGGATTGGCCAGGAAAGCTCGAAGTTCCCAGTGGACGGGGAAAAAGCGCCGGTAGTGACGGTACAATCCGCCTCGGGGGAGGAATCGCAGTCCCCCGTTCCGCCCAGCCCGTACTCCGGTGAGTCTTCGAACACTGGCGAGCTGAACAGGTCTGCGTGATCGCGTGACCAGTCCCAGTATGGTGTTGGCCCATTGTACCCGCAAGTGTGCCGGAGGGAGGTGTCGAATAGGTAGGTGAACCAGCGATCTGCGCTCATGTAAGTATGCGCTTGGAGAAGGCCAGGAGGGACGGAACGCACGCCACGGCAAAAAGTAGGCATTCCTATGCGCGCTGTGCTCCACTAATGCGTGCGAGTAAGAGAAGTCGTCGTATAGGCTCCCCTTCCCCTCAAGCACCGTCTGGTCTTTCGTAAAGGATAGCCGTTCGTGTCGTATGCTTGCCAAGCACTACTCGGTATAAGCAGCGTACGCGTTACCCACGGGGAGGAAGGACGCACCTTGACAGCTCCTACCCACTCGGCTTTCTCGCTATTCGTCAATGTCCGCCATTCTTTGCGTGTCAGCAGCTTGCTACACTTTTGTGGTTGTCCCTCCTTCCATTCGTGCGCATATGAGAGGTGGGCGCTGGGGAGGACGGCAAGAACGGCGAGGACGCAGAACAAAATCCAACGGCCCATGGCTATAATTCAGCCAGGAAGGGAATAGAGAGCAGGTTGCAATAGTCGTATTAAATAATTGCCTAAATAGTCAGCTTACTGTGCATGGAAGAAGTCGCCTGGTCAGCATATGATCGACCACTACTAAGAGCAGATCCCCCGCCTTTTAGATTAACCGCTCAGGTGCTGTCGCCTGAATTCTCGGGTTTCATGAAACCAGAGATCTCCGGTACTACGAATTGGCCCCTCAATTGGCCTAGTTCATGTCTTACTGTAGCATCCGCTCATGGTGCCTTTCCCGTTCCTCCCCTTGTGCTCTAACAACAAGAACCAACCCTCCTGACCGTCCATCTTGAAGCCACAAGCACAACGATGCGCACCTCTACCTACCTCTCCCGCTTCCTTGCTCTCCTCCTCTTGATCGTCTTTCCCCTCTACCTCGCCATCCGTGGTTCCACCTCTTTGTCCGACATCGCATTTCTCCTCTCCTCCCTCTCCGAGCGCGCCGAAGCCCTTCACGTCGAGTTCACCTCCCACCTTGCTGCCCGTCCAGCGCCAATCTTCAAAGAAGCCTTCGAAGATTCCGCCGAGCCCGCCAAGCCCGTGCGCGCACCGGAAGGCGGGAGAAGGAAGAGATACCCCTCGCTTCCCGATGGACTGGCGCACTGCATCAACTCCTTCGAGCAGTATCCGTTCCTCGCCGAGAAAGTGCTCCAGCGGAAGCATGTCCGGTATTCCAAGCAGACGCCCGCGCAGAAGGCAATAAGCAACAAACTCGGTTATCCTGCACACTTCGAGAGAGCTAGGAAGGGGATCGAAGTGAACACCCGGTTCACGGAAAAGATCGCGGAAATTGCGAGGCAGGGTTACCACACCGGCCCGGGAGCGCTGGAGGACAATGAAGATGCGGATTTTGGAGTTGTGGATCTGGCGTTTGGACATCTTTCACGAGACTGGAGCACACAGGGCGCAAAGGAGAGGCAGGCAGTGTTTCCGCCTGTTCTGGATGGGCTTGAGGAACACTTTGGTGGGAAGGGGACAGGGAACAAGGTCCTTGTACCTGGAAGTGGTATGGGCAGGCTGGCAAGCGATCTCGCTGATCTAGGTACGTCCATCTTACCTCATTGACTTGAAGGCGCGGCCTCACATCGACGCAGGGTACGACGTCACGGCCAATGAGCTGGACTACGGCTCCATCCTGGCCTATCACTTGCTAACGAACCACACGAGCTCGCTGCACCAGCACACCCTGCAGCCCTTCGTGAGCAAATGGACGCATCAGGCCAACCCTTCCTCGCGCTACTCTGCCCTAACGGTGCCGGACCACTGGCCAAACAAGGCCGTCAAGCTCGTCGAGGGCGACTTCTTGGAGATGTTCCCCGGGGACGGTGAGTTCGACGCCGTCGTCACACTCTTCTTCATCGACATGTCCAACAACGTGATTGACTTCCTGAGCAACATACATCGGCTGCTAAAGCCTGGTGGGGTGTGGATCAACCTTGGGCGTACGTTACTGTCCTACCTTCCTTGAACACAGACATTTATATTTTTCTTGTGATCCGTTCACCACCGGACTCGGGCTGACGTGTATGTACACAGCGCTGAAATGGGGCACCCACAGCGCTCTCCAGCTCTCCGCGGACGAAGTGCTCCAACTGGCAGATCTGCTCGGATTCGATGTAGACCATACGTCAAGGAAAAGCATCGACAGCCTGTATGCCGAGCAGCCGGAGACGTTGCTGAAGTTCACTTATGGTGAGTGCCTTCCCTTTTCTTGTGAGTAAGGACCGTTGCTGATGGGACGGGAAGTTACGCAGTTCTGGTCCGCGACGAAGAGGGGGTATTTGTAGTCTGTTACCAGTCAGTTCTTCGAGAAAAAGAGTGCATTTCAACTAGAATACCGAGTACACAGAGGGATGGGAAAGGCAAGAAAGGAATGGTAGGGCAAGGTGCTTTTGTGGGTCCTGCTCCATCAATGCAAACAATTCAAACATCAAATTCCCTCGCTCAGCAAACCAGACAAACAGCCCAAATAGGAAATAATCTAGAGCGCCAGAATCCTAGATCGTCACACTATACATTGTACGTAGATATATATCTTAACTTAACTATATTGGTATTTTATTTTGGATAGCATATACTTTGATACTTTACAAAACTAGTAGCTAATATATCCTACCTCTTTATATAAACAAAAGTATATAAGAAGTAAACGATAGACCTGTTAATGGCATTTTCGAGTTAGGTTTTGGTTGAGTATCCCAATACGCCGTCACGTAACTCTTCACTTTTGTTTCCTTCTTCCCTGTTTATACAAGGGACTCTATTTGAATATGGTCAAAAACGCCATTGATATTCTTCAAAATATGCATTTACCTGCATATGGTATCAAAGTGATGTCAGTCCAGCAAAAGTCTTGACGATTTGCCTGAAGTAGATTCCATCTAGTTTGCTTTGGAAAGAGCTAAACACTGTCGGTAACATATGACTTGGCTCGGGAGTAATATTGCCTGGCAACGCCGATCTGCCAACCAACCCCCAAATAATCGACAGATTCCTTCTCATCGCACTAGCACACCGTGATTCCTAACTTGGTAGTCTAATAAAGTAAACCACCAGGCCATCCGTTCACTACGGTATACGCGTTTGGGGGCGTGGTCCCTGCCAAGGTTTCATAATGCTTTCTTCCTCCACACTCCTTCTCCCCTGTCACATTTGTACAATAACCCTTTATCAACCCCGCAATCTGCGCTCCGGCCTCCCTTCCCTCAAACCAAGCCCCATGTAGAAAGCCAAAGTACTGTGAGCTTGTCGCTTCGCCCGCAAACCACAATCGCGAGTTGTTGGCGCGCAGGTTCTGGTGCATCTCTAGAGTGGTCCCCAGCGGCCAGTTTGAGTAACTCCCATATGCCCACTCCTCCTTGTTCCATCTAGGATATAGGAAAGCAGTTGGTTCAGGGATAGTGGTCCCGGGAAACATCTGTCGTAGGACGACCATGATTTCAGCCTGGGTCTCATGATCGGAAAGGCGCTCAACGCGGTAAGCCTCCTCGGCGAGTACTGTTGCAAACAGGATGTTCGAGCCTTCTAAGAAGCCGGGGGCAGACAGCGACTGGAAAGATGCGAAGTATCCCCGCCGGTCCGGGGAGGCATATAGTAAATTCTGACTGTTCTTCGGCCAAAACGTCTCGTTGAATTGCATGAAGATCTTGGTGTAGGTCCCCATAGTGAATTTTTGGATCGCAGTGCGTTTCCACAAAGGGAGCTCAGGGTTGAAGTCCACCGCCGCGTTCTGTAGGACGCCAAGTGAGAATGTGCAAATGGCATACTTCGCCTTAATGCAGGTGCCATCATGGTTATAGACTGTGACGCCAGTGTCCGAGTAGCTAATGTTGGTGACTTTGGTATTGAGAAGTAGGCGGCTGTCATTTTTTTTAGGAAGGTGGCTGCCTCGCCCTCGATGATGGTGCTGTATCCGCGTGGATCCGTGACCAGGTAGTTATCGGGCCCGAATTGGCCAAAGGTAAAGCCACCTGCCGCAAGACTGAAGGCGAGGGAGCTCTCACCGACGGGGGAGGCACTTTCCACATCTATAACAGTTAGCTTTATGAATATGGAGTATGAGAAGCGTGAAGGAGAATGTCAACACACCGCCTCTAAGCCAGTCAATTGCTTGGGCCGCCATATCGTCAACCTTGGGTCTCCATCCTCCTAATGCCATGCCTTGGCGGATACTCATGTCCTGTAGGTTATTTTTAAGGATAGTTGACCCAATTTCTGCCATTTTATCGGACGCTGTTTCGTATTCGTCCAGTAGATAAGTGTAATCAACTGATCCGGTGTCATCGTAGGTTTGGATCGAGCTGAAATCGGAGAGCGCCGTTGTTAGATTATATTTCTGGGCCTGACTGATGTTAGCTTTCCAGATAGCATCTCATGTGTCGTATTCCTTCTGACTATCTCACCAATCCCAATATCGGGTTTACTGATGACGGGTCAGTGACATTCTCTACCTCATTAATGGAATTCTTACCAGGGCCATTTGTTGCACCGACTCCTTGCACCTGTTTTAGAATTAGCAAAGATGCATTTAGAGTTAGCGCAATAAACGTACCCAGTATGCTCCGAGTTCAACCACGTAGGACGTGCCGTCTGCCTTTCGTCCGAATGTCGTATGGTTCACCCGCCCGCCGATTCTGTTCTGGTATTCAACGATGACAAAGTCGGTGATGGATTGGTTGTTCAAAGCTTGCTGCGCGGGTTAGACTTGTATGGACTAACGGGGAGATGGACATACCGCAGCAGTAATGCCCGCCATTCCACCTCCGCTGGAGAGCATTAGTTCCTAGTCGCTACCAACAAAGGATTTCCAACCCACCGTTACTTACAGGATAGCCACGGTAGTATATCTACAGGTCCCAGTCCCAGAGGGCCCTGGCGCTGCTGAGCCCTGGAGAACCAGGCCCAAGATAGTTGTAATACCGAGAAGGCGTTGGAAGTGCATGTTGGATTGCTGAGAGACCTGCTTGCTAGAATGGTAGCAGGACCAAGGGGCGAACTTATATACCTACGTCTTCATAAAGTGGGGTTACCAGACATTGGAACTGATCCTTGGCTACATGATTTCCCCATGGGGCCCCGCGTCCGGGTCGACCTTCCGAGTACTAAAATAGTAATGAGTAATGATAGAATGCAGGGCTACCGCTACCGCTGTCGTAATTGTTGAAGCTCCAGAGCACTAATAAAGTCGCGGCAAATTATATCGGCAGACCGTATGTGGAGAAGGGGTCGACCTTCTAGAACAGGCAGGCAGGAGACATTGTGGTGGGGGCCCTAACAACCAATGAACACCCGCCATCCAAAATAGTTGGAAATGTATTCCATCCTGTCAATAGCTTGTGCGTCGACCTTACTTTTTAGCATGAGACTCGGCCCCTGACAAGTTCACCTCACTCTATTTCTATTACAATCCAATCTCCATTGAAGATAGCGAAAGGTTTATATTTTGCCTCGGTTCGTCACCCTGACAATTCCCACCTCCCTATCTAGCTTTATCATTCGGGCACAAATGTTTGTCTCTGCCGAGTTGTGGGGGAAGTAAGTTGGGGTTCTTAGGAACTGAATGCTTAGCACGGTTAGCTATATAAGACAGCCATACTTCCCATCTCATAGTCGCCACCTCCTATCTCCATACAGTAATCATGAAAGCAATGAGTCCCACAACTTCATCATACTCCGTCGTCGCTTTGGAGGGTGGTCATGCTACCAATACTATTCCAGAAGATATCCCTGGCACGCGACTTCTCGTCGATGAAAACATTACACATCTTGTCTACCTTCCCCGGCCGAGTAAATCCCCCAATGATCCTCTCAACTGGGGTCGGATGCGGAAGTACACGTCTATGTTCATTGTCTGCTTCTGGGTCATGCTGTTAGGCGGCGCTACCCTCTCGCCAGCGGTAACTTATGGGCCCCTGATACACGAGATGGACGTGACTGTGAATTTCCTTAACATTGCGGCTGCACTGGCACTGCTACTTTTGGGACTGGGAAACTTGGTTTTTAATCCTCTAGTAAGCGTGGTTTTGGTCTATGCTTGGATAATCTGACCTGGACAGCTGACCCGGACCTTAGGCACTACGATTCGGAAGACGTCCAGTATACCTGGCTTCTGCCTTGATCAGCATGGCTGCCTCAATTATTGCTGCTAGCTCAAAGTCCAAGGGCGCCTACATGGCGGCTCGGGTACTTCTGGGCTTTGGAGCGGCACCATTTGAGCAACTCCCCGCGCTCACGATTGATGATCAGTTTTTTATTCACCGCCGAGGATTCGGCTTGTCGTTGTACACATGCGCGCTCAACCTTGGGTCATTTCTGGGGCCCGTGGCATCGGGATTCGTGACGGATACCATGGGGTGGAGATGTAAGTCATACCATCTTACATTGGTAGATGCCGTTGTTGTTAACTCATTCCACTAGGGGTGCACTGGTGGTATGCCATCTTCCTTGGGCTTGCCGCTGTCCTGATCTTCCTGTTTCTAGAAGAGACAGGATTTGACCGCCATCTCCACAATACCGGTCCTAACATTGAGACCGACGTGCACGCCTCTGAACAATCAAAGACCTACTTCCAACGCATCAATCTCTTTACTAGCCTCGACAATCCCCTCGGCTTCTTCTCGCTCGTACTTGGCCCCTTCAAGATGCTCCGTGAACCGATTGTCTGGTGGTGTGGGATTATATATGGGTTCGCTGTTGCTTGGCTCACCATCATGGCCTATGAAGCTAGCACCGTTTTCGCCACCTATGGCTTCTCCCCTGCTGCCATCGGGCTCGCTAATATAGCCCCATTGGTGGGTGCCTGCTTGTCGCTCTACGTCGGTGGTGCAGGAACAGATCATTTCATGGTGTGGAAAGCACGCCGTAACAACGGAGTCATGGAAGCGGAATCACGCATCTACTCTGTGTTAATCGCGGGCCCCATTATGTGCAGCGGGTTGATTCTATACGGCGTCGGTGCCGCGCACCATTTACACTGGATGGGACCTGTTGTTGGGATGGCAATGATTGGGAGTGCGCTTCCTATTTCTGCGGAGGTCACACTGGGCTATGCGAGTGAGAGTTATCCGTCACTGGCCGGAGAGGCAACAACAGCGCTTGTCTGTATCCGGAACGTCATTGGAGCCGGGATGACCTTTGGTATTGGACCCTGGATTGAGCGTTCTGGGCTGCAAAATACATTTGTGACAGTTGGTGTGCTTGCGTTTGTCGTGTTCTATACAGGGATTTTCTTCATCTGGAAAGGAAAGACCTGCCGGAGAATGGGAGCAAAGCGGTATTACCAGATGTTGCGAGGAAACAGTAATTGAACATAGAACAACAGAATAAGCAGATTCTTAAGCCAATTAATAAGTAGTTACGTCTATACTACCTAATATTGGGTTTTCTAAATTCTACATTGGAATGTTACAGCCCATCTATGTGCAATGCTTGAAATATTACTTTTGTCACGCGGATAACGGTAGATGATCTCTCTAAATATCATATTCTTTGAAGATGTGTGCCATTTTCGGGTCTTGTCAAATATCGTACCGGTTCACGTCATGAATTGCGCCCATAATCTGCCCTGCCTTCCGTGCAACCCGTTGTGCGTCCGGACCAATATCCTCGGATTCTGCCATGAACAAGAACCGTTCCTTCCACAGCTGCCATCGTTCTTCCGTCAACCCCTGGCTTCCATTCCAAAGATCAGTTTGACCGGGCAGGACCATCCGAATGAAATCGGTATCATCGAGCCGATCATCCTCCCACATCAACCCTTCAGCATGTATGAGCCATTGTGCAGCGGCACACAAATCGGCTGCCAAGATCTCTCCCAGGTCCATTTTGTTCCAAGGTGGCTCTCTTTGGACTGCGGATTGTGTGCGACGTTTCATCTCTTTGTACGTGTTTGGATCCGTCTCTAAGCATTTCTTAAATAAACTCAAACCCAAAGCACGGAGCTTCGCGCCTCGACTGAAAGAAGTAGTGGCTAAAAGCTTTGCTGAAAAGGCATTTATATTGATCCATCGGCGCCGTGTCTGGGATGCAGACACGGTCCATCCAGATGCTGCACTGGGTGAAAGCATATCCCATTTATCGCGCCACATGCTCCCGAAGCAGGCGAACCATTCTCGTGGTGTACCTTTAGGTGCGAATTCAGATAGTTGTGAATCCAAACTTTGTACATCTGTCAGGAGGGCCAGCAATGGGGAATGGCTTGAAGAAAATTCGGCGGCAGCCTCATAGATGACATTCCAGAGGGCCCATGGCGTATCGTCATTCGTGTAGTCAAGGGATATCAGCTTATTAGCTGCGGTAGCTGAATCAATCGTGTTTGACAAAAGCCGTTGCAGAACCTCTGCATGAGGGCGTGCGGCGCGGTATTCGCCGTCTTCTGTTGACTGGAACCAGGATGGGTAATTGCTATCCGACATGATGGAGCTGAGGCAGGAACCCACCACTAAGAGGATCATTGGTAGGTCTTAAGTACACGAGGTTGCCGATCCCAGTATTTGGCTGCCTAAATACGATGAAAACGGCTTGCACGTTACGTGCATGCGCTTGCCACTTAACCCTGACATCATGCCTAAACATTATGAAATAAGGACAGATAAAATTATACTGCATGTATAATAACTTCTGACTGAGTGATGAAAATGACAAAGATTTTCTTTTCAAGGCTTCGTCCTGCGCGTTCTGTTTTCTGCCCGAGACCGTAGAACGAGTGGCAAGCAGAGCTCAGCCAAACTGATGTTGATAGCACTGGCGTTAGACGATGCGTAGAGGTGTAGCCCCCCAGGAATATCAGAAGTGCTAATCTCTGCTTATTCCGAACTTGGCCTCTACATATTGATGGCTCTATGAATCATGTCATGTCAGTGGCAAGTACGTACAACGATAGGGCATCGAAAACAGGGCTTCCCATCTGGTCAGTACTCAAGCCGCACTTGGCGAGTTGGGTGGGTGACTACCAACGAATCCGAACTATAGCATGCCTTGTTTATCTTTATTCTCAAGCCTTTCGTAATAAACGTGTGTAGATAACAGGTGTTTCCCCACGTAGGATAAAACAAAGATGGGAATGTTGAGCAGCATTATATATGGCTGGGATAGGATCGGCCTTAAAAGAACAGTGGCGAAGCATGTAAAGTCGCCAAGACGCAGGGAGTAGACCCATGTTATAGACCTAATCGTGCAACGCAAATCTGTCAATCTTCTAAGCAGGAGGCGGAAAGTCTCAATATTCGCAGCTACGATGATGGTAGTAGCTATTCTGGTCCTTGGTAGCCCTAGCCTGGGCCTGCGGAAACAAGACTCTCTGTTGATCGGCAGGCATGTCTTGTTTATCGGTAACAGCCGGGCGATGATGGAGGAAATTCTGATTGGCAGGGACCGTGCCAATTTGGTCACGTTGAGATGCCCTGCCATGATAATATTGATGGTGGGATTCCGCGCGAGCTTGTTGTTGTGCCATAAATTGATGTTGTCTTGGAAATTGTTCTTGTCTCAGATTGTTTTGGCGATCAATCTGTTTGCGAGGACCATATGTTTTGCGCGAGAACTCATCAAAACTCATTTGGAAAAAGGCTTCGTCTCTCATCGGATTTTCTATCAGTTTACGCTCCATCTCGGCTCGCAGCTCTCCCGGCATTCTTGGTAGATATCTTCGCCACATAGCGCTATGGGGCGACATATCTAGTGCTTGCTCCAATGACAGTGTCGATTCTTTTTTGTCTCTTTCAGTATGAGAAATGATCTCTTGTGAAGAAGCTGAAAGGAACGCTTCAGAATATTGGGAATTTTCGCCCCGATAACTAGGTCCATCGGAATCGTTTAAATCCAGTTCAAACTCTGCCGCGTAACGGGAGTGGACATGTGAGGTTGAAGGAAGATTTGTTTGCATCACTCTTTTCGTCTGTAGAGATATAGCGAAAACCACGAGAAGAATAGGGATCCATATGAGAATTTAGGAAATGTTTTTGTTTGCGACATGTTCAGATCGCTTAACCCCGCGCACTAGCGCATCTCCAGGGCTAACATTAGTACCTTTGTCGATCAGAATTATCCTTTGATTCTCACCGTTAAAATGGTATCAACATAATGGATCCTTTGTCTTTGACTGCCAACATCGGAGCTGTCATCGGACTCCTAGATGCGGTATGCCGCCTGGGGAAAGAGACGTACCGAGTGGTCTCGGCAATCAAACATGCGCCCGAGGAAGTCAAGCGGCTGAGTCTGGAGCTAGAAGAAATTGACTTCCTCCTTCTTAACATTCACCAATACTGCAAAAGGCACCAGCGGCAACACCCGATTATGGTTTCCGAATCGAACTCAGCGATCACCCATCTCTTTAAACTTCTCCAGAAGTTGCAGCTGGAGTACGAGGCTACAACAGGCATTGTGGAAAGAAACACGGATGGACCTCATGCTGGGAAGAGACAACGCATAAGGTCTATGGGTAACAGGGTGAAGCTCGTGCTAGCGGGGGAGTTGAAAGCTACGTTCAAGACCCTTTCGAGATACAAGGCTCAGCTGAGCATTAATCTTCAAGTACTTGCGGGGTGAGCAAGAATAGTGGCAATCGTATCATTTGATCTGGGTACAGATAATCTAACTCGCTTGCCAGCTTCAATGACCTTGCCGTGCATGACTCTATTCAGGAGTTGAGCCACGCTCTTTCGCCCATAAAACTTGGTACAAAGAAGAAAAGCGCGGGTGTCAGAGAAGACCAATATCTCCTCTCCGAGAAAGGTTGTCCCCAAGATTACCACCGACCACCAAAGCATGCTCAGCATGAGGATTCTACCAGCCTCAGACCTCCTTCGGGTTGGGCATTACACGAGGGGAGCCTAGACCGGGCGACCCTGCCATTGATGCTTTTGAAACCAAAGATACAGGAAGCACTAAGTCTTCTAACATTGTATAAACCGGGGCAAGCACAATTGTCCAATCAGGACACCGACTGGATTCAAAATGAGCTGGAGGACTTGCTTGTCATCTGTCATGAAACGGCCGCCGTTGCACTGAAGAAGCCAAACGGCACAGTCAAATCCGGTGCATTGCATACCACGTCAACTAAGGAGCATCGGAAGACTTTTTCACGGTATAGAGCTGAAAAGGCGCACCAAGTAGGGAAAACTAATCAGATAGCTACCACCAAGTTTCTTGCTCGGGAGTCTCCGGCAGGTAATGTTTCGGTCCGGATCCAGTGCATCGAAGATCCCGATTCCGGGAACACAGCGGTGTCTGACATTATGCTCCTACTCACACCTAATCCAGCCATTCATACAAATGGCTTTGTTATCTCGTTAGCACGTCTGAATCAGAAGCTCCAACAGCCCCCGATTCGTCGGTCTATCTCGATGTATACCGTCGTCGAGCCAGGTTCCCCAATCTTTGAATGTGTTCAATCAAATGATATCAGCCATCTGCGGCAGCTGCTCGGGAGTAGGCAGGTAGCCCCCGACATACGTAATACAGAAAATGAGAGCTTGCTATCGGTGCGTTTTAGATATTACGCATTCATCATAATGAAATAGCTAAATAATTCCAGGTTGCTGCTCGACATTTACGGCTAGAAATGTGTGAGCTCCTGATCAATGAAGGAGCAGATCCTAGTTACTGTTGCTGGTAAGTTATTTCTAACATTTTGAACTCGTACTTTTGTTGAACGTCACGGGGGTATATAGGGATGGGACCAATGCAATATACGCCGTTCGTAATGCTTTCTGGTACCGAGCCATGGCTTACAACGTGCCAAAGTCTATCCTCAACCAGCTACTCAGGCTTTTTGTCCGAGCAGGCTGTGACATCAACTCTGTCGCTCTTGGTGGAAACCCTCTGCATTTTACTGTCAGCAATACTTTGCCCGGATCAGCAATCATTGACGAAGAGGAGATTTCATGTTTGGTCAATCTTTTAGTCTGCTTGGGTTGCGATATCGAGCATGAGAACAGTGACGGCCTCACTCCCCTGCTATACAATGCCTGTATTCCTGGGTTGAATGGCGTTACAGTCCTGAAGGAACTTCTCCAATGGGGAGCAAATCCACACGCAAAGACGCATTTGGGTGAGGGGCCGTTACATCTCGCAATTGCCTATTCGATCCCAGGAAACGTGCATGGCGATCTGGGACTTCGCTGCCTACAAGCACGTCTTGCCCTTCTACTTAAAGCTGGCTGTGACCCAAATCTCCGGGACCAAAACGGGCATACTGTCTCCGACTTTGCACTGAGTAGCCCTAGAACATGGTTTCAATGGTGCCTAGCGATGGAAAAGAACCAGGGCTTACCGATCGAGGATATTATAAGGAAAGAGGATAGTTCTGCAGGCTATGACTCAGCGCTATCAAATCGTGATGGCTCATCTGACGATTACGATAGTAATGAGGGCCTAGATTCTGATTGGGAATCGTGCAGTGACAGTGACAATGATAGTGATGAGATTGACTCTTCCCACAATCCCCCACTCAATGTTTGCTCTGATTACAACCATCCATTCCTCTCTTGGGGTGGTTTCTTTCCCTGGAGTATCCCTCCATCATGCTGGGATTGCAGTCTACCTGTTCAGCTGCAAGACATTGCCGGAAAGAAGTGGCAGGCACTGGACATTTTCCAAACTCTAAGATCATAGATATTGCTAAGGCATTAAGAACCATGCAAGTTCCAGACCAAAACCTAGTTCCAGAATTTTAGCCTCTAGCCTTCAACTGAAAAACGGCCTGTCAGATAATCCCTCGATGTGGGTTTTCCGAGGCACTAGGCGTCTATGAGGAAGAGCGTCTATGAGGAAGAGGACCCATAATATATATATATCACTGCAATGATCATCGTGCGTTCCATTTGTTATGAGCTTTTAGCCTAGCGGTTAAATTCTTATATAATCACTCAGCTGCAGGTACATAAGTACCTACCTACATATTTGTGTAGGTAGCGGCCTGAGCCCCACGGGTTCCCGTCTTGATTACAAACCTCAAGCCAGTTGCTCCTCTTCCTTTCTCTCATTATTCCCCCCAGCTCAGTCAATAGTCAAATCGGATTGCCAGTCTCTTCTCTGTGACCGTTGATACCGATTTTCAAACTAATCCAGTTGACGATATTCGACCGCGGCCATGTCAATCTCACCATGCTGCATCCAAGGCTCCGCATGGGAAGGCACCCCCAGCGGGCGCTGTAGTAAGCTCGGCAACAACGATGTTTATATCACCGGAGACAACCCAGACGTGGCGATCTTATTCACCACCGACCTGTTCGGTTGGACATTCCCAAACGCTCGCCTCCTAGCTGACTACTATGCAACTGAGATCGGCGCCACTGTCTACGTACCTGACTTTTTTGGTGGCGAAATCCTTGATTTTGAACTTCTTTCCAACGAGCAATTCCATCTAATTGATCTCGCGGGATTTATGAGCCGGAATGGCCGGCAGCAACGCGAGTCGGAGATCTTCGAGTGTGCGCGACTCTTGAAGCAGCAACTAGGGTATCAAAGGGTCGGCGCAGTTGGGTATTGCTATGGCGGATGGGCGTCGTTCCGGCTCGGCGCGAAGGAACATACGTTGGCAGGCCAGTCGTTGGTAGATTGTGTCTCGATTGGTCATCCCTCGCTACTCACAAAAACGGATATCGATGAAGTCGCAGTTCCCGTGCAGATCCTGGCGCCCGAGATCGATCAGATGTATTCTGCGGAGCTGAAGTTACACACGTTTAAGACGCTGCAGTCATTGCAGCTGCCATTTGATTACCAGCATTTTCCGGGCGTCGTCCATGCATGCCTTGTGCGGGGAGATAAGAATAAGCCGGGGGAGAGGGCAGCCATGTCGAGAGGGAAGCATGCCGTCGTGGCGTGGTTTAAACAGTTTTTAAAGGATTCGCAGTAGGCAATTGATCCGTCAAATATTGTCGGAGACTTATTGTCGTTGTCTTTGTTATTGCATTCAAGAGAATAGGTGCTGGCTGTAGTACTACTATACCATTGACCATAGGGTAGAAAAATATATTACATCCAAACAAAAGAAAAGATCTATGAATGCCCCACCGAAACAGAATACTCCACCTCTTTCCGAATAATCATCCTCGTACTCCCATCACTCCCACTACGCATACTGCCCACATCCCCTTCAGACCTCCCCTCCCCCGACTGCGACGGCCCCGCAACCTCACAAACAACAGTCCCATTCTCCGCCCCATCGCCCGCATCCGGCCTATCCCTGAGCAAGCCACTGGCCCGTTGTCCGGACCGTCCTTTCAAAGTCCCCAGCTCGTAGTCACGCGATCGTCCCGATGCATAGGGGTCTGTATCCCCCTGTCTCCCGGACCCGTACCCATAGCCGCCGCTGCTGCTGCCGAGGTGGGAGTCGCCGGCTGTGCCATAGTAGGTTGTGAGGGCCCTCATAAAGGGACGCAGACAGAAGACCGTGCAGGCTACCAGGGCGTAGTTGAGGTGGAGCTGGGTGAAGATTGAGTGGTTGATTGCGGTGAAGGTGGGGTTTTGGATGGTTGTGTATTCTTTGAGTCTGGAGAGGTGGAGAGCGGAGAATATTATTAACCTATCGATTATATATATATGTGTCAATTTCAAGTAATGGGGGTTGGGATAAATATTTCGCAAGTGGAAGAAAGACGTACGGTAGTCTGGATGCGAAAGATCCCATGACCACGAATTTATGTGAGATGGGCATCTGCAAACCCCAGACCAGGCCAATCGAGAAAGTGAAGAGCAAAACTTCGGTTGAGATATCGAGTGCGGTGATTGATTGCCAGCGGGGGAACTTGTCACCGTTAGCATATCCCATTCCATATTGGTATATTTGGCTCGCAGTTTGCCCTAAATTTTAGAGCTCTTCTGCAATAGTAGACATACCAGGCTATGGCACTGCTCGCCAGGTACAACCCAAGGCCTGTTTCCTTCGCAGTTCACTGCGATAACTAGCACTGATACGATAATGGCTGCTGTGCTAAGTCCGAAGGTCACCCAGAGGATGCTCTTGTGGCGCGTGCTAGGCGTCAAGCGCAAGTAGATGGCGATAACGCAGCACTTCGAGAGGTATAGAGTAAATAGATAGAGGATGTCGGCGGCGAGGAGGGACTATGTTGTCAATTATTATCTTCTATCCAATTGGGGAAGGTGTTGGGTAATGAATACATCTTGTATGCGATCAACGGTCTTCTGGGTCAGTAGCGAGATGTCAGTCCCAAATCCAATGCTCGCAGCGTGAAAGATGACAATCGACTCGGCGACGGCGGTGATCTATCCCGTTAGCCGCATTTACAGAATAGGCCGATTTCTCCCACTTGCGTACCGTCGCTCCCAACAGGACGATATCGTCTGATCCCCATGGTGGGCTGAGAAATTTGCGCACGTACACCCGGATCAGCAGACAGACCAGCGAGATCATCAGACAGACTGCGGCGGTGATGATGATAATACCGGCATGGTGTTTGTCGTCTACCGTCTCAAAGGGCGGCGACTGGCCGGTGGGCACCTTGATCGCCATTGCGGCATGTAGATCAGATCGTGATGTGGGTCAGGAGTTTAAGGGTGTGAGCGGTCTAAAAGGAAAACTAATCATGATGATGGCGTTTCTATGGATGGTGACCACACTGCTCTGGCACTCGAGTAGATGGACCTAGCAGGGATGCACCTCCTAAGTCGGATAAGGTTGGAAAAATATCGGAGAGACTCAAAAAAGGATGAGCTAAATCGGGAAGAAGGCACCTGATTTATTTTACCTCTACAGCGCTATATTCGTTGTTAGGCTCTTCATTTTGAAATATCCTTATTAGGGACCTTGTTGGTTTAGGGGATTTAGGTCTAGTTTCTACTTAATGGTTCGGGTCTGAACTCAAGTGTTTTAAGTCTATCCTGAGATCTCAAGAATGACCAAAAGAAAAGTTCAATTGCATAAGGGTAATCCTCCCGGTATACCAAGGGCCGAGGTGAGTGTGCATAGGGCCACATGGCCGAAACCTTGGAATCTCTCAACTGAGCCGCCACCTTAATATCCAAGGAATTATATAATTGGCCAGACATTTCCACGGCCCGGATCGCATATTCCCGAGGTCGAGTGGAATATTGCAGCCAATCGAGCTAGGGCTTCTAAGGTTCTTACTCAGCGGGATGGACCCGGTGGGCCATCTTAATCCTTATCGTTCTTATTTATTGTATCATCCGGCATACTCCTTATGTGCTTCGTATTCCTAACTCGGACATCCCGAGTCGGAAAGACCCGGTGCTAGACCATGGTTAATGCATAAGTACTTTTGTATAGACATTGTTTCGGATCCATGAAGCATATACTCTGCCAAGCCCTTGTCTCTTTCCGGGACTCCGTCCTCCGTATGGAGTATTAACCCCTTGGTTAAGTTTCTCCCCTGAACAGATCCAGACGAGAAACTTTCAATGAATTTCCACGCTACGATCGTTCACCAATAGGTCAGGATCTTGCGTTGGCCGGCTACGGTTGTGGCTTATTCTTGCCAAGCGCTACGCAATGCCCACACACACACATGTACGGAGTACGATGTCGCACCGAACACTCTGCATTATTATCGTCCGAGTATATAATTATTTATAACCATTATCAAACTGACCATCCAACATATGTGGTAACAATTATACAGGTAGGTAGAGGTTACATCTCTCGCTTCACCAGCGCCACAGGCGGGATATAATGGTGCCGTCCCCGCAACACATAATACACCACTGCGATCGTCATAATTCCCCCGTACATCACCGCGGACCAGTTCATGGTATCTGGCTCCACCGTTGAGGTGAGTGGGAAGAAGGCGAACACAAACACCGGGCACAGGAAGCACAGCGCCCCGATGTTGATTGCCATTCCGAACCGGCCGAGCGTCCATCTGTGTGGTGGCAGAGGCTGCCCTCTGATACGCTTGAGGAGGACGCAGCCAATCGTGATAATGTACGAGGACATCATCGCGCCGATAGTCAGAGTCACGATGGCGAGAAGCGCGGTTGTGGATCCGATGTTAATGAGGGACAAGAGGATTGTCACTACCAGAGAGACCATCACGGCGTTCAAGGGAATATTCCAGCCAGGATTCACCTGGTACTTGTTAGTGTTGTCAAAGCTGAAAAGAGAGGGGAGGCACGTACATGTCCGAAGAAATCGGAGAAAGGAAGGCCGCGATCACGCGCAAAAGACCACAACTGGCGTGACGCCGTTGCTACTTCTGTAATTGTGCTCGCCGTCAGGGTCAGTACAAGAATGGCAGTCATGGTGTTCGTTCCCGGTAGACTCTCCGTCGCGTTGTAGAACACCTGCATGAACGGGTACCCTGTTGGACTGGCTAGGATGTCGTCAATGTCGCCTAACGTGAAGCATACCGTCACTAGCATTAGGAAACCGGAGGCGGCATTAACGCAGACAGAAGTGACCATCGCCTTTGGTAGGGTCTCAGACGCATCTTTGATCTCCTCCGCTACAAACTATTAGTTATGTTCGTTGGTTTTAGAGAGGGAGACGTACACATATGCACCGCGCAATCATATCCAATCAGTGCAGTGATGGTTGTAGAAAATCCAACGAGGGTGGCAGTCCCCGCGCTGTTCCAGTCACCGCCGTTGTTGAATTCGGTAAACACCTGCTTCGCGCTGCGGCGGGGGCCAAGCACCCAGAGCGGAATCATGATGGCAAACAGGCCGCACACATGCAGTATCAAAATTAACACCTCGATGAAGGGCAGTCGCTTAGCCAGGAAAGTGTTGAATATAATCGAAAACAAGGTGATGGCGATCACCAGCAAGGTGCCGTGCCACGGCTTGCCGTTGTAGTCCGGGTTGTTCAGCACGATCAGGCCTTGAATGATAGTTCCAGCCAAATAGGCGATTGAGACAATGGCACATTGCCAGCCCAGGGCGCACAGCCAGCCTACATAATTAGGTTCGCTGAATAGATAGGGGGCAGGAGAAAGACTTACCGGTGATGTAGCTGAGAAATTTCTGGCAGCTAGGGGGAGCAAACTCTGATACCCAATGGTACTGTCCGCCAGAGGTGGGGGCCCTGGGAAGTCAGAATGGATACATACAAATTGTGAATGGGTAAACACACATGGATGCCATCTCAGCCAGGCTCAGGAACACAAGCAGGAAACCAGCAGCGACAACGAGGTACCCCCAGATCAAACCAGCAGTTCCTCCATCGGTTAGGCCTTGCGTTAGCAAACTAGACAGTCAGTTATTGAATCGAAGAGTAATTGTGGAGATAGCATACGTCAAAACAACCTCCCACGTGGCGATCAGCGTGCAGCCAAATCCTACGATGGAGATGAATCGGAAGTTACGCTGCAGGGTCAGCTTAGATGCAATAGTCAAAGTAATTCCAGGGGACGTACCCGTAAGACCTGCTCTCTCCCCAGAATACTCATATCTGCCTGATCGGCCTGGGTGCCACGCCATTTGGGGGCGACCTGGCCTCTGGATGGGGCTTCGTCGGCCATAGTCATGGTGACTGTTGAAGGATCTTTCGCCCAGCGCATATTTACATGTAGAGAGCAAAGATGACGAGGGACCAGTATGAAAGACGTGAGTAACAGTACGGGATAGGTCGCCTCGTTATTCAACAAGGATGGTGTCAAGCGTTAGAATCATTCTCCCTTGAGGAATTCGCCCGGCCCATCCTGCCAACAGTGGAGCTGCTAGCCTCCAGCAGAATCTGGTTTCTTGGCAGCTAAGGTAGTGAAACTGTGTACCGGATATTCCGTACTTTGTAGCACTAGAGCATTGTTACAGCACCCTGCAGGTTAGTGTGAACTAGGGCTTTGTGTTATGGCTCCACCGTTATCGCCACACCAGGAGTGTTGATCAGCAATTAATATATAAGCCCCGTTAATTTAAACCCCTTTAAGACTAGAATCTCGTTCATTGGATAATTTTTATAACCGAAAAATCTTTCAAATTAACTAGGTTTGAGTGTATATTACTGCTGACGAACATATGTCCCGTCCGCTCATCGGGGGTACGGAGTATGGTGTACATACCCGAATATCGGGTTAATCAACATGCCAAGTCTGAGAATATCTTTCGATCTTGGAAGAATTCTCCGTACATGGCTTTATTTCAGCTCAATTGATCTAGAAATCAATGATTGGCTCACTCAATACTAGTCCGTACGGAGATCCTGCTATCCACATATGCAACACACTTTGCCGGGACAAGTCCCCTTGCATGAGAACAGATGATTGGGACGATTGAAATTGTCTGATTGTCTGATTGGCATTTTTATCTTCTTCATTTTCCCACCCATCATGATCCCCGTCATGCCCCTCGGCTTCCTCCTCATCGCCTTCTACCTCATATACCACCATGTTATAAACCCCTACTTCCTCTCTCCACTATCTTCAATACCCAATGCCCACATTACATCTCCTCTCTCCAGCTACTGGATCGATCGCAAGCGCAGCACAGGTACGGAAGTCCTCGCCATCTACGCTCTGCACCAAAAACACGGCCCAATCGTCCGTCTCGGTCCTAAGGAGCTGAGTGTCAATTCTATTCATGGTCTGAGAATAATATATACGGGCGCTTTTGAGAAATACTCCTTCTACAATGATGTCTTTGTCAACTTCAACACTGAAAACCTGGTCGGCATGGTGCACAATGCCCCACACGCACATCAGAAGCGCATGTTGAGCAAGACCTACTCCAAGTCATTTCTCCAGGAATCCAGTGATCTGCGCGCTATATCAAAGGTTGTGCTGTGGGAGCGGTTCATGCCTATTCTCAAGAAGGCGGGGAAGAGTGGAGAGGTGTTGAATGTGCTGCCGCTGTTTCAGGCTCTTGGGATGGACTTTATCTCCTCATTCCTGTTCGGATTGAGACACGGAACGAGATATGTGTTGAATATCCCTGAGTGGAAGATATGGCTGGAGGAGTATGAGCGGTTCAAGTTTTTGAGTCGGGGGGACCGGTATATGGGTTTTATTGAGGGGTGGTGCTTGGGGTTATGCGAGCGGACGGAGAAGTCTAAGAAAGAGGATGTCTTCAAAGATGAGGAGAAGCTGCCAACCACGAATCCAGTAGTCTACAGCCAGCTGCGCCAGAGCCTTCTAACTCAGAAAGAACACGATCCGCGTCCGCTGGACCTAGCAATTGCGTCCGAACTGCTGGACCACCTGGTTGCAGGCCATGAAACGTCAGGCATCACCTTTACGTACATGATGTGGGAGCTGTCGCAACATCCCGAGCTTCAGGTCGAGCTACGAAAGGAATTGCTCACCTTATCTCCGTCCCTGCAATACTCAGCCACAGAGAGAGAAACCCCCTTGCGTCTCCTTCCGTGATCGATGCCCTCCCCTTGCTGGACGCTATGGTCCGCGAGACCCTCCGTCTCCACTCCCCAGCCCCAGCACAACTCCCGCGTGTCACCCCCGCCACAGAAAAGGGAACATCCCTGCACGGGCACGACAACATCCCGGGCGGCGTAAAGGTCAGTTCAACCGCCTACTCGCTCCATCGCATCAGTGAGGTCTACCCGCGCCCGCTGGAATGGCTGCCACAACGATGGCTTGAGGCAGGCGACAAGATCCATGACATGAGGCGGCTGTTCTGGCCGTTCGGCAGTGGTGGCCGCATGTGTCTGGGGAGTAATTTCGCATTGCAAGGTATGTCTCCTAAGTATGGGTTTTAGAGAAGAGACTAATGGTGCAGAAATCAAATTGGTTATGGCGGCTGTGTATTCAAATTACACGACGTCTATTGTAGACGACGAGGGTATCGAGCAGGACTACGCGTTTATTGCGCTGCCGCGCGGGCGGAAGCTGATGTTGAAGTTTATCCCGATCGATGAATGAGGCGATGCAGTCATGATAATATTGGAAGTAATGAAAAAATCTTTATTTGATCCTTCTCGACCTTTGTCTAGTTCTGTGTGCATGAGTGTTTCCCCTGGCTTTCCAGACGAACACTGAAGATTCCACGCATAGACCGCCAGGAACGATCAAAGGATAGAAGAGAAAGGTTTCACCAAGCGTCTTGGCCCCCACAAATCGACTTTTCTTGGCCTCCGCAACTGCCGATTGGGGCAGTAGAGAGAGAGGGTAAGCGCCTGTGGCGCATAATCTGCGTATCACTTTTCACTTTGGCATTAGCGTGTTCAGCCGCATCTTTACCAGTGGTTATATAGTTCGATCAAAATCGCCTTGCACTCGAAGTTCTAATGATTATGCTCTCGCCCTTCCAACTCACAGCCTCCCTTGATCTTGATTTTGGTGGATCTTTCTATGTACTGGAAATCTCGGGTTGCAGTCAAACCCCTGCTTGTTATGTTCACATTGACTGTCTAATAAAACACTATGCGGTGGCTTCCAGGTAATTATAATCGAAGAACGCACAGTGAAGTCCAGAAGTATTTTACTAACAGATTTCCTAGTTCTCTTAAGTATCATAGCTCTATTCTTCCATGGCAGTAATGCAAAGCAATTCGAGCACTGGTATCCATTCTACCGATGGACCTTAACTCAAGAGGGAGATGCCCCCGCCTGCCTTCAAGAGCACGAGGACGCCGTCGAGTTATTGGGTCCAGAACACTCAATGACATGCAAAAACCTGATCAACTGCATTTATAACAACACCAAAGAGATCGACAAGGCGGATATGTCATCTGCGTTGGTTCTGCTCGGTCTAACGCCAGCAGTTATAGGACAGATAGGCCCAACCATCCACAACAAGGCGCAACTGTGTTATCAGAATCCGATTCTTGGATTCCTATGTGTCCTAGGTGCACCTGCGATTGCTTTCGGGATGCCGTGGGCAAAGACAGATCCTAGAGAGCCTACTGGAGGGAACACCTTTGTTTCTGGGGAGAGGTGGTTTTTTAATTGGATGTTTTGCCGCCCTACGCAAACACCTACGCAGCAAGACAAAACGCAAAAACCGTCGATATGGCTGCGTTCGCTAAAATATTCAATTCATTTACTGAAATATTTGCTTGCGGCTGGTGCTGCGGTCAACGTTTTTCTCAACGCTTGGTCTCTAGGTGATCAAACGATTGTCAGCTGGAAATGCACCTCTTCATATCTCGAGCTTATCTGGGTCGGCACTACCTTGGGTCCAATATTCTTCGCGGTAGTAGGTTACTCGATGGAGGAGTCTGAATGCACTTGGAGCAAGTCTACACCCTGGGGCTTAGGGGCCAGATTCTCTTATTCTCTATCAAATATCGGTGGTGCTGTGCATGTTCTTTTCGGAACATTGACGTTTTCGTCAGTCCTTTTCATTGGAACGTTGGATGCGTTGGGGGTAGTGGGACGGTTAACAGCTTCCGCCCTTGTCTGTCAATTTATCACAGCGCTGGAGTTGGAGCGTGTGGAGGACGAAAGAGAGGAAGAGAGAGCGAACAAAAGAAAGAAAAGCGAGGTCACTGTTGCAGAGGGAATGACGTGCGGCAGTTGTTAGAGCGAGAGGACTCGGTCATGAGAGGACTGTGAGCCCGAGGAAACTGAGAGGCTACAGCGGTAGCTAGTTCCCCATCCTCTATTGTTTTGTATGATCAATCATTTGTCGTTCTATCTCATATTTGTCAAAGTTTTATCACGTTCTGATGGGTAGCACTTGTTTCTGTATAACTGGGTTGAAACTGCATGCCTTGCTTAGGTTATTAGCAACCATATTTCCCGTCATCAACACCAGATCTGGTAGCACTCCCGCGTGGCCCAACGCCGATTCCAGGGTTATGATTCGGCTGAGCCGGCTAACCTTAATCTAAAAAAAGCTAATGTTTAGATTTGATTTTACTGGATCATAATATTGTAAAAGCCATAAGATCGTTATTTATGCTAGAGAGGAGCTCATAGATATAGATACTTTCCCAAGCCTTCGCCCTTTATGAAAGCATATAGAAAACGATTGGCTTATGTTGCATGTTGCATGCGTAATAACAATACCCTTTTCGTCCTAGTATACAGACTTAGATTTTAAGTGCCACCTCAAGGGATCGAACAAAAGTGATCATAGTGCGGCCTTACTATCAGCAACCATCCAATTTCTCCCTTGGCAGTACATAGGTAGAACCACCTTTGAGATACATTTGCGAATATTTTCCTTGAGTCAGTGTACGTAATATACACTACACTCATGTTACATAACGGCATGTGGGCCATTCCCCACATCATGCATGACTCTTCGTGACTCAACCAGCATCATATAGATCAGGTATATAGAACTGCTCTTCCAATAATCAATTAACCCAAAACAACTTGATACTTCATTTTTCATTTACAGTTCACCTTCAATTTCTCCAAATCTAATTCCGCGTGAAAATTCCACCATGACCACCGCCTCGACCTCAACTATATCGCCCACCACGGCCTTAATAACCTTCTACGATATCGCTCTCGCACCCCCTGTCACAAAAAGCGCCTGCTCACCAAACCCTTGGAAAACTCGCTACGCCCTAAACTTCAAAGGTACTCCCTATAAAACAACATGGGTGCCCCTACCAGACGTCAGCTCCGTCCGCAGCGCTTTCAATATCCCCGCCTCCCGTAAATTCGCCGACGGATCTCCTTATCACACCCTCCCCATTATCTCAGACCCAGCCACCGGGCGCATAGTGGGCGACTCCTTTGAAATCGCGACATATCTCCAGGAACAATACCCATCCTCGGGATCGGGCGACTTGTTCCCGGCACAGGAGCTGGAGTTCATCTTCGGGCGGGATTTGGGGCTTTATGCGCCGATTGCGGAGGCAAAGGTGGGGGGGGACCCGCTGCGGCGTACGTGAAGTTTAATACCAATGTCGATGCTGTGTTTAGTGCGCATGCGCGCTTGACGGTGCAAGGGTTCCCTTTTGATCCTGCTACTGCGGAGGAGTGCAAGGCAACGTTCTCGCGGAGGATGGGAGTGCCGTGGGAGACTTTAGCGATTAGTGGGGAGGAGAGGGAGGATTTGTTGAGGTTGTTTGAGGAGACCCTAGGTGGACTTGCGAGGTTGTATATGAGTGATGCGAGTGGGCCGTTCCTGATGGGGAGTCGGCCAAGTTATGCGGATTTCATTGTTGGGGGTTGGTTGCGCATGAGTCGGGGCATGTTGCCGAGGGAGGAGTGGGAAGCGTTGAAGGGGTGGCATAGTGGTGTATTTGGAAGGTTACATGAGGCATTAGAGGTGTTTGCACAGATGGACTAGAGAATTAATCATGATTATGATTGAGACTACCAAAAAAAAAGTAGTTCAAGGAACGGGAGACCAAGGCGATTCCAACGCACGGTCCAAAACACGGTCCATAGCTCTTCCGGGACCCCGATACTCCCCACTTTGTATGTATACAACTCTGTAGGACTTCGGGAGCTAGAGACACTTTGATATATTTGATATACCATTCTAGAACACCATTTTCCTTTTTACAAGAACCATTTTGTTTTGCGCTTGGCTTTGTACTGGGAAACCGTAATTATACTCTGGTAGTTCATGGATATAACGGTCGCACATCTGGGCAATCTATAAGTTTGTGACTCATATGTTGACTAGCGGTTCCCAAGGTTACAATATTTTACCGGGAATTCAAACCCCAGAAGAAAACTGCTAGAATGGCTTTCCTACTAGAATGGTGGGCAACAATGGTACTGACGACACATTTGGCGGTAAATTGACATTTCAATATCCATTATTGCACGACTTTCTGTTGTTTATATCTAAATATGATGATTCTGTATTTTTAGCGTGACTCATGGCAAGATGTGACTCAGGGAGATTAGAGGGAAATGTAATAAAGTACATGGTATGTATGGAGCCATATTTTGTGGAGACTTTTTTCAGCCTCACCTAGCTGAGCGTAGACCTCATCTGTCACCTATAAAGACCCGGCTTGTGGACGAAAGCTCAGCTATCCTTCCTCTCTTCCTTCTCCTCACTCTGAGTTCTCCCTCAAAACTTTCAACGTCACAATTCGTGACCAGCTGTACTAGCCATGGAACGAGTAAGGAAAACCTTCTTCGACCCGCTTGCAGCATCGAAGGCGCGGGTTCGAGAGATTCTAGAGGAACTTCCAGTCGGCTCTGCACATCCCTTCAGTCCCGAGCGACTTCTTCTTTGTCGGACAGAGAGCGGTATTGATGAGATTGATATCTCCCCCTATCCAGATGGCTTTTTCTCAAAGGCCGTGGACATGGGTGAGATGGGTGAGATCCTTCTCAGACGCATGGCTGGGTATCCGTCTCATCTAGGTATGTCTTCTCTCGTTCGATCAAAGAGTGAACACTAACCATTGACAGGGGTATTCGAGGATTTCCAAATCTTGCAGGCACCAGCATCGACGTTCAAGATCCCGATAGTGTCCGGCCAAATAACACTCCTGGCAGTCTCTGAAAGAACGCCCACTTACTACGATTTCTGCTTCGCAGATGCATCATCCAACGTGTGTTGCTGGAATGCACGACGTACTTTTCCAGGAATGACACATAGCGACGATATCTACGTCAAAAATGATCTCCTGGATTACGTCAAGATTGCAAAGGAGTCCTTCACAGAGAAAGAACTTTGCGTCTTCATATCTGGCTTCAATTCGACCCCCATAACAAGATTTCTAGGAACCCATCCTGCCTTGCTCGTTGCCGATCATGTGGATAAGGTATGTTTCAGTATCAGTCTTTCTTTGGGCATTGATTAAATCGTTGTTCGCAGGTCCTTTATATCGTCCCGGTACCCTTGGATAAAGCTACAATTGGACAGGCAACTATCTGCTGCCCATTGGTGATAAAACGTGACGGGGATTCCCTGATCTGTTCGATTTTGCCCACAGCAACGACAGACCTAAAGATAAGCGCCAATGGTGATAGGTTGGAAAGCGCTTCCTACGCGGAAGCGATCAACCGCGCCGATTTCTGCATTTCTGCTACTTCTCCAAATGCCACACAAAGTAATTCTTGCCAGTACCAAGACAAAACATCTTCAGGAGCTGACGCGCATACAGATGCAGCCCCAATGGGTGATACTGCCAAAGAGAAAACTAGCACGAGCTCTGAAATCGCGCGCAAGATCACCAAAGAAAATGCTGTGTTTACCACCGATTTGGTCACTCTCCCTTCCTTCCTTGATTTAGAGAAAGCGCAAGTCGTACGTTTTGGGACTGGCATTGAGTTCGAGCTGCCAGGCGAAAAGCTCCTCACAAAAGCCGAACCATCCGCGGTTGTCTTGCCATGCATATTTGGTACCCAGCTCGAAGGCCCATTCCTATTGGCAACAGGAACGGTCCCTTCAGATGTTCCATTTGCCAACGAAATTTCTCTTCGGGAATATTACAAGCAACTTAAGAGTGCGGTGGTAATTGTGGACGATCGAATGACAGATAATGCCCGCAATCTCGCACCTATTTACAGAATCAATGCACTCTTCATCGTGCAAATCAGTCCACAAAGCCAGCCCAATTCTACCGACGAGATCATGTCGCTGTTGAACTCAGCGAACATCAATGCGGTGACAGCACTTGCAGGGCCACAATCATTGATTCTCGTTCAAATCTCCGAGAGGTATTACTTCTACCGAGGCATTGCTAATCGGGCACATATCAACACGTCCAGAATCGAATTTGGCTCTGATGTGACATCCATACTGGAGGCTGTCAGTATGGAATCCATACTAGATCCACGAATTCAGCGTATAGTTACTCTTGGCGATGAAGATCCGATCGTCTTGCCCACTTCAGGTCAGTTGGTCCAGCCTAAAGAACTTCAAGCGCTCTTCGAAAAGCTTCCAATCAACCAAGTTGAAGAGCTGGAAGAGGACATATCGGCAGCAATTCCCCAGCTTCAAATGCTTTTGAACGAAAAGGACCTACGAGAACTTTCCAGAGCCTTGGTATTTGCACTCTCAACAAAGATCAGCAGCGTGACAGCTCCATTGAAAAACACATACAGCAAGTACATAGCCGAGGAGTTCAAAATAACAGATCCAGAATCGGCAAAGAAGAAGAATTCTATGCTAGGAGAATTGAGAAAGCTCACCAGGGAGACGCAGCTTGCCCTTGAGCCGCTGATTTCGAGCTTGTCCAACATGATTTCTGCTCGAACGACCTCAAAGCGGACACATGATATGAAGAGACTTATTCGCCAAACACAGATTCAGGCCAATGTCGAGGTTGTCAAGTCCATGACGTTTGACACCTTGGCGGGATATCTTGAGACATATGCGGGAGAGATGGGCGTCATGCTACTGAATATTGAGACGTCGTCCTATTCTCAGCTCTTGGGGAATCTAAAAGGCACTGCCATCGATGCCAGGTACGTTAATCAGCAATTGGAATCTTTTTCATCTTTCAAGATGCCCTCCCTTTATCATTGAATCACTCAGAAAAATATTTGGCTTCCACCGCTGACCTTTGTTTTATAGTCCATGTTGCGACCTTGACTCAAGAGTTCTACATCTCGAGGGATTCGATGCAGGAATTATCATAGAACAGTCGCAGGCCAACCACGACGGTCCACTCCGATGTGGGAATGGTCTTTCCCACCCAATTCTGGCGCTACCATACTTGAGCCAGGGATTGGGAACCGGATCGATGTTAGCCTGGGTCTGCTGGGATGAATTCGTTAACCTCGAAAGTCCTTACACCGTGCGATGGATGGAGAAGTGCAACGAAGCGCACATTGCCGCACTAAGAATCATCATGAGATCTACTCTTAGTCAGGCAGTGTCGGCTAGAGAGTACAACATTCAACCTAGCAGCCCAGAAACCGGTCAGCTTATGAGCGCTTTGTTGATGGCGGCTATGTCGAAGCTCGCGGCGATGAAGACAACTGCGCCGGTTGTGTCACAAAAGGCCGGAGATACTGTCACAAGACTGATGCGAGGGCTCTTCGGCAATCTATTGACAATAGCAGGTTCAGGAGTGCGCCCTCAAAGCATGGTCTGGCAGCTGTTTGGCCTAAATTCTTCATATGACCTACCCAAAACCGATGTTGGGTGGAACTGGTACGAAACTGTCGTCGCTTTGTATCCCTACACCGGATGGCCTCTTGAGCAGTTTTATGAAAATCTGGAAAAGCTCCTTGACAAGGCCGTTGTCCGTGTGGTGACCAAAAATGAGAGAACGGCTTGGGTGAGTGGGAGAGAGAAGATGATCAGGTTTTCCAAGCTTCGAAACATTCAGCTTCACCATTCTCGCACAATTATTACCGTCTTTATGCGAATGCTTACGATGGAGGAGTCTAAAGTTGCTCCTATCGCAACTCGTCTACTAAAGCAGCTTCCACGAGAGTTGAAGCGACAGAGTGAGGGCTATACCATAATGATCCGCTATCTTGAACATCTCTCCAACGGAGGTCAACGACGTTACAACGACGACCTCGTCGCCGCCACCATCTACGCCACGCGCTCAGCTGCCTTTGGCCCACTGAAGAGGGAAGCCTCGAAGGCGTGTAAGAGCAAAGAATGGGCCAAGATGAAGGACGCCTGTCAGGCAATTATCGACAAACGTGTTGAACTTGGTTCTCTCTGGCACGTCAACCCTAATGCCTTGAAGGTTCACAACCTGAAGTTGTACAAAGCTCTTCTGAACGCAGACTTCGGGGACGATATTGACGAAGATACCAAGACCAATAACCTCAAATTGAGCAAAAATGTCTTTGGCGATGCAGAGAAAGAGCGCATTCCTTGGCAAGTCGGGAAGAAAGGTGAATTCGGCGATGAGATTGAGCCTCTAGATAAGGTCTTGCTCGACGAAATTCTGTTTGGACCAAAGTCGGGATCAGTCCCAGTCGTTGAAGTGGCTAAGCGGTTAGGAAACGAGACAACTGCCATGATTGAAACCAAAGCAGATGAATTCACGCAGTTCGAATCGGCGATGGAGTCTAGCTTCATCAGTGAGATGCGGAAGAATATTTCGGCCGAAAACGTCTGCCGTATCCTTGATATTCCTGCTACTACAATGCGCGTCTTTAGTAAGGCTCTTAATCCGCAGTTTGTGTGGGATGACTTGGGGAAGAACTTCAAGGTCACAATTCTGGGGTTGCTGGAAAATCGTTCGAATCGGGCAGAGAGCCGTCCTGCTAAGAAGTTGTTAGAACTAAAGAGGGAAAACACGATGCTTCAAATTGATGAGTGAAGTATGGGGGTTGCTTCAAATAGGGATAGAGGTTGGGACTGGTGATAGGGGGCACGCTGAACTATTTTATGATTTTATAACTGAATGGACTACTTTCTTTCTTGCTAAGATTTACGGGCGATTCCAGTTGAAATTAAATGAGCCTCAAAGTTTCCCTTTCATACCTTACTATCTCTGGTCTTGGATACTAGCAATTCCCCAATGATATCAAGGCAAAGCATCCGAGGTCCCAGCCTTTGCCCAAAATTAGATTGCCCCGAAATAAATTTTCGTAGCTCATTAAATGACTGGATGAAAGACACTTAAATTATAGTCGCGCGGCTTGTACTAGTTCGTCAGTTAGCTAAAAATAGCAGAAGCACTTCCGGGAAGATCACCTCCTATAACAGGGTTAGGGTATATATACCTAGCAGGTTAACCTCCCCGTCTTTCTACTTTTTCAAATCGGAAACTTATATGATAAACATGGTAAATTATAAGCTCTAATAATAGAAAATATTATGCTTACCTTCTCTAAAGTCCAACCCGACATTTGAAGGACTCCCAACGGAGCTGCTCATTCTCATCTTGCTTGAGATAAATGATCTGGCTTCCCTCAAGTCCATCGTGCTTTCATCGCCGGTATTTCATATTTCATCAAACCTACTTTACAGTGCAACAGGAAGCTCTCTGTGACATCGTCAAGAATCAATGGGGAGTGCTACTAGGGGATGCGTGCGATGGCTGCTACGCGGTCTCGTGATCTGTTTGTGGTTCGTCACAAACAGGAAGTGATTGCATTGTTAGACACATGGCGTCGCAGAGAAGGGATCAATAACCTTGACTTGGATTCATCGAATCGGATAGATGAGCCCAGCAACCTAGAAGAGATTTTGCACCTGTTCTATCTTCATAAGGTGTTCCATTTCTTTCTAAAAAGATTACGCGAAAAAAAGTACCTCGGCCTCCGTGGATAGAAAACGATCAATGGGAAACATCATTTCTGCCCATTGAGTTGTCTCACACTGAAAAGCATCGATTGCTCAGAGCTTTATGTCGATTACAAACCCACAAAAATATTTTTGGGAGCCGTGAACACCGGGACGGGGAGACATGGAACTTCAAGGATTGGTATTTCGATGGACCTACCCGCCCTCCTTTGACTGGCGACCAGGAAGGATATCGCTTATTTTATGGGACGATACCTCCTTGGGAAAATCACGAAAGGGCGTGCGTGCGGACATATTTCTCGACGCTGTTCGAAGGTATTTTCAAGGAAACAACTGCCGGCCTACACGCTCTTGTGGAGAAGCATGGGACGAAAGATCCCGAATATGCATGGCAGCGTCCATATTCCAAATTTCTTCCAGAGGATGTACGACCTCCTTGGACTTCTATGGAAACCCTCTATCGTCTTAAGTCTCTTCCGGATATGTCGAACTCACTTGCTTCAATAGGACTAGATTTTGTCTACCGTCTTCTTCATAGGCCTCCTATGATTCAGCGCGATATGGTTATTCTTCATGTATGCGAACCCCTATTTATCCCCTTCTCTAGATGGCTGTCGGTGCTAGACAAGCTTCCTTTTCTTCATCCTACAGATCGGCATACAGTTCAAGATTATAAGCAGCTTTGGTCGACGTTGCCGTTTATCGAGTAAGCTCACCTTGGGTGGAAAAAGATACACTTAGTGCCTGATACACCTGAATAAACATTTGAAGATGCCATTGATTTGGAAGGTGGAATTGAACCTTTATAGCGCTTGGGTCTTTCTATTTTTGATGATGAAAGATTGATGGCATGGAAAGCGCCTTTATTAGGATATCGTTTGGGTGAGATGCCCGAATTTTTAGTATAATTCATTTAGATACCGCTTTATCACACACTATTGGTTCTTGTTCTTCATCTTTAGTCTATTCGGGCTTTCTTCTAGTATATTTGCTGGGAAGGACTAGATACTATGGTGGAGCTTGGTATAAAAATGGGTAGTTTATTTACCTTACCTATCTTGTTATTCATGGATTTTGAGCCACCTGCTACTACCTTATCTGAAACAGCGTGAAAGGCGGTTCCATTTTTCAATATTGTATTTGAATGCTTTTTTTTGTAGATCCCTTAGCTTAGGATTCCTTTGTTCACACCTGCTTATCCTTACCTACTTCTCTAGCTTTCTCTGTCTCTTCGAAAATTGAGTATCATACGTACTTTTTAATAACTTCCATGAATATTTTCAGAAATTTAATGGCAGTAGTTTCATACATGGAAGAGTTTGAATATGCCTCCTTATCGAATCCTCTGGAGAAGTCGATAACTTCCATTCCTTGATATATATCCACTCAAAATTCGACTACAAAGAATGATTGAACAGTATAGGTTAAAGAAATCCCCTAATCAAAATGATTCTATTTGTAGGTGGACTTTGCTACAGTCACACCTTATACAAAGTATGTAATTTTGTAAACTTCTGTAATTTGTAAGAAATTCCGCTCCCCTGGGGACCTAATTAGGCCTAGTTCCCAATCATGACATGAATCTTGAACCTACCGCTCACGTGACTATTATAGCTCTATGAATTCTATTGGTTTAATTCTATATACCGCCCTTTTAATCAGAATACTGCCTGTTTTAACCCCAAGATGCCAAGGCCCCTTGTTTTGTAACCCTAAATTACAAAGAATATCAGCCCAATCAATGAGCTGACTGTACGGAGTATGTGGTATCCTTCCAAGGTTATAGTCAATGAATCCCCGATCTATTCTCAGAACACATTTAATCTCCAAAGCATTTTTTTCACCAAATGCCTTTGGACAAGTCTTGTTACATGGCGTGTGGCATAAGAAGTGGAAGATTCAGGGAAAGAAATCCATATAATGTCTGACTTCGCCCGACATCTTCCACATCGCTCAACTTGGACTTGGAACTCTCCTCATAACACATCTTACCAATTCTAGAATCAAGTTTACTCTTATTTTCTGAGGCCACAATCCACATCTACCCGAAATTCCCCTGGCAGCGTCCAGTATCAGTGGTTATGGGGCATTTCTCACAGTCTCTTTCTGAACATCTTCGGGGAATGGATGGGGCAATTGTTTCATTCTCATCGTCAATCGTGGATCATGTCACGCTAAGAAGACTGCGTGGAGATGGGGATTCTGACGACGAGGATGATGAGTTGGATTCCCTCGACATAGATCCATTCGATGCAGTATTGGAAAGGGTGAAAGTGAAGCACATCGGTGAATACGTGGCAGCGATCCGAGCGAAAACTCCACCAAGCAACAAGAAGAACATTCCTGTCATCGAGGCTGGGTCTCCTGATCAACATGACACCCATCTTTGCTATCGGGTGAAGTTTGCCGACGGGGTGAGTTGGCTCCTCAAATTCCCAGCTATCGGAGCCCCTGATCAATTTGATGAAGATGATGCCGAGAATATTCGCTCGGAAGCATTGACAATGATGATGCTGCGGCGTGAGACAACCATCCCGATCCCCGAGGTCTTTTCATACAACAATACATGCGAAAACAAGCTCAAAGTTCCCTTCATTCTCATGGAGTTCATCGACGCTTTGCCGTTGATGGATGTTTGGCATGACCGGGAATCCCCAAAAGAAGTTGTACAGGCCCGGCGCACACGCTGTCTTCAGGATATTGCTGCTGCATATGTCCAGCTTGGAAAATACACATTCAACGAAAGTCAACTCTTGAGATTTGACGATCAAGATCGCCTTATAGGTGTTGCGCCAGTAAAAAAGGATCCATTCCCGGGCCTCAGAGAGTTTTACACTTCTCATCTGGACCGGTGGGAAGAAAAGCATGATGAGTATGGAAGGGCGTATCTAAAGCTTCTTCGAATGTTTGTCGACTGGATTCCAAAGTCAATTGGTGAGGAATCATTCGTTCTAAGCCATCCAGGTCCAAATATCTTCAACTTCCTTGTTTCAGAGGACGGTTCTGTACGGGCAATCCTCGATTGGGACGGCGCGCAAGCCGTGCCGCCAAGTCTAGGGAATGAGACGTATCCATCATGGCTAATGCGCGACTGGTGTCCGCCCGTATATATATGGAGCGAAGAGATGGAACAGGGAATCAATGGCGAGAATTGTGTTTGGGAAGACTCACCAGACATGCTGGAGTTCTATCGAAATGTCTATGCGCAATGTATCGCAAATCTGCTGCCAGAAAGCGAGAACACCAAATTGACCCGCAATTCCCTTCTCTTCGAGCATTTGCAGATGGCAACGGCAGACTTGATGTTTAACACAGGCATTACCACAAAGATCCTTGGTGAAGTTAGGAAGCAAGTCAAGAACTTGGATGACAGCCAGTCATTCAACCCATCCAACAACAATAAGAAGGACAACAATGACAATGAAAACCACAGTTCTGCCAAGGAGGATGCAACAGCCGATCACAATTCACCGAACAGACCGAGGATAGATCCGAACATGGTAGTATCGAAGCAGACATGGACGACGAAGATCTTTATATTGATGAGATGTTCCTGGAGTTTGAAAGAGATGAACCGAGTGAGCATCAACTAAAGCTTATCAAGACGGGATTTCAGGCTTTATTTGTTAGTCAACTTCTTCGAGGTGGTGGTTTTCAATGTATGTGGTAATGCACGATGACATTATGCGAGATTGACTGAAGGAATCAAGGATCATTGCTAATATTGGACAAGAAATGAGGACAGTTGTTTGAAATTCATATAAAAACCAAACATTTCATGATGTTTACTTGTTCCTGGATACCTTTCTGTGTTTCTCAAAAAGCACCCAAAAAATGATATACCGTTTGTCGTAAAATATAATAGACACCTCAGGCATTCGTTATCTGGGGATGATGTCAGCTGCATTATGTAATTAAGTACGTCAGCCAATGACAACATCCGGACTAACCGATCAAGGGCTTAGGGCTCACCTCAGTCACGCCCCACTGCCTTTTCGCACTTGAACGGCTTCTGGACGTCGCCCTCTTCCTTTGAACATCCACCTCATCCGACAAAATGGTGAGTTCCCCAGCATCCCAGTATACCAACCCGGAAACACCAATACTAATCGAAATGTGACGAACAGGCGCCCGCAGCAACCGGAGGCAAGAAGCAAAAGAAGAAGTGGTCCAAGGGCAAGGGTACGCAATCACCAACCATGCGACCGTGACGATTTCCGCCGAGTTCCCACAAGACACGAAAGAAATCGTTGGACGAGCTGGGGATCCGCAATAGATCCGAGAACAACATTTACTAACATGTCTTTCGCCCTACAGTCAAGGACAAGGCCCAGCACGCCGTCATCCTCGACAAGGCCACCAACGACAAGCTTCAGAAGGATGTCCAGTCCTACCGTCTGATCACTGTCGCCACCCTTGTCGATCGTCTCAAGATCAACGGCAGCCTTGCCCGCCAGGCTCTCAACGACCTTGAGGCTAACGGCCAGATCAAGAAGGTCGTTGGTCACTCCAGCATGAGCATCTACAGTGCGTTTTTCTCCAACATATACGTCTCGAAACTTCAATACTGATAACCTTTTTCCTAATAGCCCGTGCCGTCACCGCCGAGTAAACGTGTCGTCTCGTCTCTCGTCTTTTCTCGCGGTTTTCTTTTCCTTGCTACGAATGATATCATTTACCATGGGAAGCCCGGCTGGGCATGATGCATAGTGGATTAACGTCTGGCTCTTGAAGAGTGTGGAACATTCGCATTCCTGGTTTACTTCAGGTAGTGCGAACTGAATCAAAAAATCTACAAAACTTCATGAAAAGGACATGCGTCATATTCCGTAGACTTCTCTCGATCACCACCATCTACCATTTTTGCACTATCCACACCAACCCAGCAAATCACACAAAGTAGTCCTACGACTGTTCCACCATCGCACTTCTCTTCGGTCGTTGTTTCTGCGCACTTTCACAAAGCGGCCACGGCTCTCCATCAACACCCCCATCAACCACCCTCCCCGCCTCAAAATACTTCTCATGATTTGCAAAGAATCCAGTCCACCTCTTCACAGCCCCCTCAACCCGCGCTCTAGCAGCCCGTAACTCTTGCTCGCGACGGATTTTCTTTTGCGCAGAGGTCATAACCTCATCCTCGACATCCTCAACCGGCAGGAACATAATCTCGACACCGCGCATGTCGGCCGTAAGATCCTCCTTAAAGCAGCCCGTGACGAAAGCGCGTGTTGCGTCCCGCCCCGCGAAGAAGTTGTAGCTTCCACCCGGTCCGTAGATCATACGGTTTTCCGAGACGTCGAAGATGGTCCCGTTCACTGCGACATAGAGGGGAAGATTGGTGTCTGTGCCGTTGTAGACAGATAGTTGGCTTGGTGTCAGGATAACAGGACCTTGCTGTATTTTCGAAATATATGTTAGCTTGAATTGGACACGACTTTTTTTTCTGTCAACCTAAGGACCGGGACTTGCGTACCACCCACTGCTTCACCACCGGCCACCGTGTATACCATGGTCTGTATCCCCACATCACGGACTCAGAGGAAGTCATGTAATAGGAGAGACCGCCACAGGCGATGAGAAGGGTCACGATCACGCGGATTATGTCCAGCAGGCTTATGCCGTGGTCTCGATCGATTTCATCGTTGCTGGACTGCTGTCTGGAATGTGGCTCTTTGACGGGCCCATTGCTGGAGTTTGACGTGGCTGTTGGTCGCTGACGGAGTTCTGACATTGGGCTCCCAAATTGTAGTCGTGAAGAGTTGTAAGATCAGACGATTTGTATTGTTGTTAATTGGAGTTGCACAGGTGGACTTGGCTGACAAAACCCGCCCCGAGTGGACTTTGACCTTATCCACAACTTCACCTCTACAAAAAGAACCCGGTTGAGATTTTCATTTGAATTTCTATGATCTCTCAAAGCTGCATTCGCTAAAGGTACAAGAGGCTTAAATTCATAACGCAGCCGAGAAATACACTCGGCTTTCTGGTTCCAAAGTCAAATTTGCCTCGATTTAATTTCCATCATTTGCTTGCAGTTGCAGATTCCCCTACTTGGGCCGTGGATCCTTCTTCCCAGCTGCGCGAGAACACTTCGTTCAGGGCGTCTTGGAAAGTACGACAGTTCATGTCAATCAGACCTCGCTTGTCCTTGGCCTCGGGGTTGCGAATCACCGACACTAGACAGAGGTACCTGTAGAATAAAGTCAGTATAGATAATAAAGACACACGTTGAGAGACATACTTGTTCATCTCCATCAAATGGATCATGGTCTGATCATGCAACACCACATGGCTTTCTGCTTCCTGGATCTGGTCGCCCAATCGCTTGCGAACTGGGTGATCCCAAGAGTACAACTCGGAGATATCGACAATCACATCGATATAATCAGAGCACATCTCGTAGCAAGCCATATCAACAGGTCGGGTGTCGGAGGCGATGTAGATTTTACTCAGAACGTCAAAGAGGTAGGTCTTTTCAAACCCACAGTTGTTGGCGAGGGTGTTGATAAGGTTCTCCAGTGTAGACAAGTTGGGAATCAGCTTCTGAATGACTTTGCTGAAGGCTTCAAAGACAGAATAATCGTAAATGGAAGTCAGATAGTAGTGCACGGGCGCATTCTCATATCCAGCGTCACTGAGCTCGTCGGAGATACGCTGCACAATGTCCTGGAACGTGTCGGTGCGGTACTCGTCTGACAGTCCATCGACCTTGTGAATGAAGACTTCGATGTTGATGCCGGGATAGAACTGCTGGACAGTCAATATGGTGCGGTTAAGCCGCGCTACCGAGTCCAGGTAGTCATCCTGTGCATCGATCACCCAAACCAGAGCGCCCAGACTGCCGAATATATCCTCGAGGTCGAAGGCGGACTCGAAGTACTCGAGCTGACCTGGAAAATCCCAGACTTGGAAGTCCATAAAGGAGCTTCAAACTCCACGTCAGCGGACAGCGCATTAACCACGCTCTTTCTTTGGGACTTACTGGATCGAGTCCTTTTGAATCCGAGTCGTGGACTCCAAGAAGAGTGTCTCATTTGGTGGCATCTTATGGAATACCACACTGGCAATAGACGACTTACCACTCCTAGTACACAGTCAATATCTTTGTTATACGAGAACTGGCAGTGAGAACTTGCCGGCGGAGTCCCATTAGAAGAAGACGAGGTTTAACATCAGGGCCTTTGGTGTTGGGCACAGAGGCCGATTTGGCCTGAGTTGGCGCAGCCACTTGGTTGTTTCCCTGCAAATTATCCAAAAGGCTTAGCTCGGCTTCACTCTTATAGAATGGATATCCACGCCGTCGCTTCCAAAAATTAAACTCACGTCCTATAAAAGGACCATGAGGCCGGCTCACGCGGGCTACCGGTGAGTCGGACATTTAATCAAACAAGAAAGGCATGCATTTTGGGTGAGAAGGTGAAGCAAGAGACAGATTAGGGTTATCAGGATGGAAGATTCATGACTTAGGGGCAAGGTGGAATAAATCAGCGCATCACATGTCGGGAAAGGAAGAGGGCATTGGGCAGTCAGCGAACCCAACCAGGCCTGATATCCCTTGAAATGACAAGGAAAGGCCTGAGGCTGAAGACAGAGACCCGTAGATTCAAGATGGCACTATCTTGCAACGGCCCGTTGTGACAGCAACTGTGACAGTCGCCCCAAAATTGGAACCCCATGTTCCTTGCCTATTCCAGGGCCCATTTGGTTGCCTAAAAAGGTCTCTAGCGCTTCTTCGTCCCCTGAGAAGTAGCGGAAAGGGTCCGGAACCAAGCAGCTGTCTCACAACGGCCCGTGCATGGATGCAGCGGCACGCGGTAACTAACCGAGCTTCACCGGATGACCCAGCCGTGGTTCGAGGCATTATAGGAAGGATGGTTCGAGGAAATGTGGTTTAGGGGGAAAGAATAGTTTCTTACCTCCATTGAACGGGTGGACATCTAGGGATGTGATGTTAGAATCCGGGGTATGCATCAAGGATGGATTGGGTGTACTTACTACGCAATTTATTTTGTATTAGACAGGGATAATCAGACCAATGCAAGGCCAAGATTGCTCCGTGATCACGAAGAAGAATAGTAAAAGGAACTGGTCGAGCTCAATTTAACGGCAAAGACCGACTGTTGACATCTGCATGTGCTGATCTCGCCTAGGACAAAAGCCGCAAGGTTCCCAGCTGTTTCCTAGGATGGTGGTACAGAGTTGGATATCTGCAGTCAGACCTGTAGCATTGTCTCAAGGTTGAAAATTAATTTCACGGCGGAATAGGGTTGGTTGAGGTGATCGTTGAGTAACCGTTGTGCTGTGTAAGGAGTGCGGGGGTTGGAGTAGCTCGGAGCTAGGAGCTACGAAGCGAAAGGCAGCGCGGTCGGACACCGATATGCAACGCGCACGATAGCCCTGAAATGAGGTAAAATATTCAAAAGATATCGGGCCTTCTTTGATTCAAAGGAGTATTTGTCATGAAATTGTAAGGAAGAGAGAGGATGAAGAGGAAGAGCAGAACCTTGGAAGGCGGAGGGCGTTATCTTGGATCTCCTATCTTATCTCTAATCTGTCACAGACCGCCCTTTCTATTCTGCCACTATATTCCACCACACCTAGGTAATCAACTTCACTTGCACACCTCTAACCCCATCTATGATGCTTGGCTAAAATAGATGACCCAATGGACTCCTTTTAAAATAAGATCTTTTTCTTGAACACATTGATGGAATTGAAAAAGGAATCAGCATCAACTTTTTTTGTCGTCATTCAGCTCAACCAGTTCATACAGCAACCATCCGGTGGCTGTGTCCATGAACATGTTTAGTCCCCTGCTGAGGACCCAGATAATCGCTGATTCGATGCTTCCCCTGCTCCGGCTTTTCTTCTTCCTCTTCTTCTTCGGCCTCGAGTGCAGGCCAATCTTCCCAGCCATCTTCCCACATTTTTGCTAACTTATCCGTCTTCTCCTCTCTGCTCATTTTCTTGTTCTTCATAACCTTCTCCCACTTCTTCATATCCTTATCATCTAGAAGACACTCATCCAACAAAGCACTAATCTTCACACTGTCAATACCTTCCCCGATAAACACTAGTTCCTGGCGACGATCACCCCAGGGACCTTGGAAATCATTTTGGATGGATTCCCGCACATCCTTGTCTTCTGGCCAGTCCTCGTCTGGGACTTCAGAAAACCAAGGTCCACCGCATCCAACAGTCATCATACCACCTGCTTGACTCCATTCTCCGAATTGCCAGGGCCTGGTTGTGAGCCAGAAGAAGCCCTTGGAGCGGAGAACAGGACCAAAGGCTGGGTGGGTACGTTTGTTGTTCAGAATGACCGCTGGATCAGGCTGGTCAAAGTCTTCCACAGACTCGGAATCGGAGTCTGTGTCCATTTCATCTTCCTCTTCCTCCTCTTCGTCTTCCTCGTCGACTTCTTCTTCGGTATTCTGGAGAATGATGAACTTGTCGTGAAGAAGAGCGAAAAGGCGGCGTGAATGGAAGGGTCGACGAGCAGTGTAGACGAAGTTGTTGATGCCATACCTGTAACAGTGAGGAAATTGTCCATAAACGAATTACTGGCAAACTTACTCCAAGGTCTCTGGTTTCGGTGCCATCCGGTCACCGTTCCCTGTCGTCTGTATCGTCATTTCGTGCAGGCTCTGCAGCCACCCAGGACCAGAAGCAGCACGGACAAAATCAAATTTTTTTGTGTTGATGATTTCCCGGACATCTATTTGAGAGTAACTTGACTCGAGGATCTTCGCGGCTGGGTTCAGTAGCTTCAGCAAATGCATGATCTTATCGCGTGTTGCTTGGTCAACCGTCTCGACCTTATTGAGAATCAACACATCGGCAAACTCAATCTGATCCACCATGAGATCAGATATTGTGCGCTCATCCTCGGGGACAATCTCTTCTTTCCCATAGCGGTCAGAGAGGAACTCTGCTGTGTCGAAGCTGGAAAGCAAGTTGAAGGCATCAATGACAGTGACTGTAGTGTCTAACCGAGCCATTGTGTGCAAGCCACCTAGTTCCACACTATGTCATGTCAGCAAGTGCACCGTAAGGGGGGATGTGGTGATAAAACAATACATTTCGTTCAGGATCTTCTTTGCATCAGCATCATCATTCGCAATCTGATCTTCAGCTTCCAGCATGGCCGAGCTAAACTCAGCCGTGAAAGTCTCAGCGACTTGCATGGGCTCGCTAATGCCAGTCGATTCAATGATGACATAGTCAGCCTCATTTCGTTTCGTCAGAGCTGCCAGTTCAGACAGCAAGTCCCCCCGTAGGGTGCAGCAGATGCATCCGTTTTGAAGTCGAATGAGCTTCTCGGTGGTCTGGGAGACTTTGTGGTTTTGGATGAGGGTGGCGTCGATGTTCAGCCTAATGGAATGGAACAATTAGCTAACAGTCTATGTTCTCCCTTTAATGCGGTACTCACTGGCTCATATCATTGACGATGACAGCAATCCGTAACCCATGGCCAGGAGACTGGAGGATGTGTTTGAGGAGGGTTGTCTTGCCGCTTCCCTATACAGGTGTTAATGTCCCTGGACATCACTTAATGTTGATACAATTGGTCCCATTTCATACCAGGAATCCTGAAAGAAGTGTGACGGGCATCTGCCGTGTTTTGGGCTTTTGCTCCGTAGGAGTTGGGACATGATAGGAGACCGAGTCTTTTCCCGCATCGATGACCATAGTGAGGTGGGTAACTTTTGTGGTTATGTATACAAAGTAAGAAGGAAGAAGGAGGATAATTTGAGTCGACTAAAGTACTAGGATATTACATTATATAGCATCTTTCCCAAAGCACTGTCTCCAAGTTCCTCACCCCCCTAACGCTGTCGGTTGCATTCCTGATGCCGAACAAATATCGCAGGTCCTCCAAGGTTACAAGCAAACTAGTGGAGCTATATATGAACCAATGAAGTGTATGATTTCAAATGGCTATGATAATTGACGTCTTCTAAATGGCCAACGTGAATCGTCCCCAAGGTACCTGGCGCCGTTGACTTTCACGGTCCTCATTTGAATTGGATTTTAAAATCAGTATTAAGGTACTATAGTAAAGGATAGAGCTGTGGGATAAATAACCTGTTTGAATCTCTAAAGAGCCCACGTAAGAGGACATTGACAAGGTAAAAATATCTCAAACACAAGGTCTTTGTAAAAAGTGGTAATGTTAAGGTGTTTCATCCAGACTATTTCACCACAGACATTAAATATTAATTCATTCAGATATAATATCAGATACCCGGCCCTACGCACTTCCCAATCCCCTCTTGGGGAATTGGGGCCGTCTCAAGCAAACTTCTTGATATACCTTCGATATGGGGCATGCACGAGGTACGGATTGGACAAAGGGATATAAGAAGAATAGTCACTTATGCCTTGTGTAGTATTTTCAGTAGTATTTTTTAATAGCACTTCTTAGATGTCAATTTTTAAATAGTTTCAGTTCTTCGGTTTTTAAACAGAAAAAATGAAAAAAAAAAAAAGTATAGACTATGTACGGAGTAGAATCTAGGGATATTCAACCTCCAGATCGGTGCTCGGCTCGATGAGCGGGCCGACATTCAGATCGTCGATCTAACATACAACCGAGAACGTTATAAAAGGTTTGCACTGACATAGTTTTGACATAGGATTAACATCTCCTTCATCAAATTCAATCCACATATCGAATATCTCTCTCTATATCAAAAGACAAATCCTACTACCCGAAATGATCGAGCTAGGAACCTACACCAAACCCCTAGCCTACCTAGGCCTCTTCACCCTAGGAAGAATCGTCTTCTCCTTGACCCGCCAAGCAACAAACTTCCTGCTCCCCAGCACTCTCCTCAAACGCTACAATCCCACCCAAACAAGCTGGGCCCTCGTCACCGGCGCAACAGACGGAATAGGTTTCGGCTTCGCTCAGGAGCTCTGTGCGCGTGGGTTCAACGTGATCATACACGGCCGGAACAGCGAGAAACTCGAACGTCGTTGCCGCGAACTCAACGCGCTTTTCCCTGCAGTCTGTGTTGATGTTCTTGTGCGCGATGCACAGAAAATAACCGCGGATATCGATGACGTCGACGCGGAAGTGCGCGATATCATTCGCAGTAATGGGACCGTCGGTTCCGGTGATGGCAAATTGACTGTTCTTATTAATAATGTCGGTGGCGAGACTAGACCTTCTACACTCCTGAAGGAGTATACCTTTGAGGATGTGCAGGCGACTATTTCACGGAATGCGACTTTCGCCTCTCAGATTACCCGTGTTCTGGCCAAACAGTTGGAAGAGAATGCGCCTGGTCTTGTGATGAATGTTTCTTCGATTGCCGCGTTCGGATTGCCGTATATCATTACTTATAGCTCTGCGAAGGGATTTGTGGATACGTTTACAAAGTCGCTGCGCGCGGAGTTTAAGGCTGAAGGGAAGGATGTCGAGGTTATGGGGCTGCGAGTTGCGGAAGTCAGTACTCCTGGATATGACGTTAAGACTAGCTTGTTGATTCCCGAGGCGAGAGTGCTGGCTGCTGCTGGCTTGGATCGGGTTGGTTGTGGGCAGGATATTGTATGGGCTTATTTCTGGCATTGGTTGGCGGGATTGTCGTTTGAGTATCTACCGCGCTGGATGTTGATGAAGATCACTGCGATGAAGCTCAGGGCAATTAGAGCAGATATAGATGCCAAGGCGAAGAGCAGCTGAGATGCTTGCTGATATGTTGTGCCTCTGGCTCTATAGTTCCCGCCCATCATAAACACATTGCACACACGATCATATGAAGCTATACGGGAAAAAAAGTACCTGCAATTAGAAGATAACAACATTACAGTCTATAAGGTCTAGAAGCCAGCCGGGGCCTTTTCACGATCGTCTGGACCGTGGAGGCCTGCGCCAAGGTTCGATGTGCACTCGCCTTGCCAGTCCTTTGGCGTGAACTTATCGACAATCTCCTTGAAGGCGTCCAAGGTGCAGAATGTCTCATCGCCAGGCAAGTGGTTCTCGGGCTTGGCAGCACAGCCGGGAATAAGGACGGGTTGGTCATTGTAGCGAATACGGACATAGTGCTTCTGGAGAGACGCACGGGCGTCTTCGGACAAGGACTCAAGAGGTGTGCGCGCAGCATTGGAAGTGGTGGGTTGCTTCGGTGCGGACTTACCGAACAACTTAGAGAGGACGCCGGGCTTCTTGGCTGCGATGGATGGGTTGGAGAACTCCTCGAGCACGACGCCAGCGTTGGAATCGGAGCGGGATTCTTCGGAGAAGAGCTCAACTGCGACAGAGGAAGTAAATGGAGGCCATGACTGGTCCTGGAATCCACCAACACTAGACAGGATTGCTGCCAGGGTGGTGTCGTGGCAGCCGCTCATAGCAAACTTGATAGCCTTGCCAGTCTCCGGGTTGCCTGACCCGGACGCAGCGGTCTCACTGCGCCAGCCACCCTCCACGGCGGTGCTGACCATGCGGTCAACCACATCACCCATGAGAGCACCAATGCCGAGCTTACGGTACTCGCTGCTCTCACCGTAGCCAGCAAACCACTCCTCGACCGCAATTCGGTCCACGATACCACGACCCTTCTTGTCATAGAACTCGGATGGGAGTCTAGTGGCTGGGCCATGGGCATCAGTTGCGTTGATGGTGTCCATAATTCCAGAAAGACGAGGGTGAGCATCGACAGCAACCTTGGGCGATTCTTCAGGCATGTGCTTTGACCAGATACTGTTCAAGTACGCCATTTGTTCCGAGTCGTTCCCTGTATTGAGATCATTAGCTGTGACTCTCATCTCCATATCCAACCGATAAGCCCATACATCGTGTAGCGGCGCGATCAGCAAAAAGCCGTGCCAGCTGTCGGAACCGTCTACAATTCCCCTCGTTAGGAAATAGTGTCTCCTCATTGACCTGGCGGGCCACAATCACCGGCGGTGGGAAGTCAAGCGTGCGCGCGCTAGCCGGGTACATGCCCCAGAAGGCCTCCTGGAGCGACTCCAGAGCGCGGGGGATCGGCGTAGCGCGCAGATACATATCCTCGGAATCGCCCTTAATCTCAGGCATGAACCCGAGCTGGTCAACGTATAGATGGCGCAACCGTTGTCCGAGCGCATATGTCGTCTCACGGCCCTTGTCTGTGAGCTCTCCGTGCAAGCTTCAGATGGAATAGTTTAGCATTCCTCCACGTACAGATCATAGTTCTGCGGGGAACTTACCACATTGCTTCGACTGGTCCTCCCGGTCCTGTTGCAATCATTGCCTGGTCATTACTGCCGAATGACTCCATTTTCCGGCGCCATTGGAACCCGTTCCATTCCGACAGGTCTTTGCTGTTCGAGGCCATCTGCACCATGCGTCTGGCGACGCCGCAATACGGCCAATCTTGTCAAGGAAAAATCAGTATATACTAGGCCGATATCGGTATTGGGAAATTGCCATACATGGACTCAAGCCTGTCTTTGGGAAGTGTTAGCGGAGACCGTCGGAGAACGGATTGGGAGATTGGGTAGTCAATTGCAGCATACATTCGAGAATCGTGATGAAACGGGTGTACGTTCACCTAGGATCAGTTAGAAATGCTCTCAGGGGCATTGTAAATGAACATCTCACCATGACGAAGGAACTATATTGGTTAGCCATCTTGACGTCTTCGGGGAACCGAAACACTTACCACTTGCACCAACTGCAGCTTCAAAGCTGCCGGGTACAGGCGAGCAAGCTCATCCTGAGTATAAGGCTCACGGGGAATGAGGGTGGTCATCTCGAATCAATTGTAGAGAGATGTCCAGGAATCTATAAAATGGAATCGAGTCAGGAAACAAACGGACCCCATGGGGGCGGTGAGGGGGATTTGGGGTAGACCGGCTATACCGATAAGCCCATTTATGTTGTCCAATGAATTAGATCTCTCTCTCTCTCTCTCTCTACTATTATGAAATAAGTTAGGCGCATTAAGCGGAGATTATGACCTTTCAATTCATCGGCATCTAAAATAACATAGGAAGAGCTAGGGAAAGCTAGGAACTCCAATGCACCGGATATATGGTCTCCGCATCTCGGCAAGCTCGCCGAAGCTGGCCTCGGACTAGCATTCTCCGAGAATCTTTTGCTATGCGTATTTGACATGGTAAAGTATATACAATTAGGAACAACATTCCTCGTGGTCACTCGTTTCCCACCCTTCCTCGCTTTCACTGGCACTCCAGGCAGACCGAGTGGGCGTCTGGACATCGCTAACCTCAGCTGCTGCAGCTGCAGCTGCCGCAGCGGTAGCCGTAGCCATTTGCTTAGCCCACTTCTTATTATTCTTCGCCTTGCGGCTATTCTCCTCGTCCTGTCGAGTCTGCTTCACGCGCTCGGCTTCCTCGTTTGCCGCCCGCTCCAAGAGCTCAATGAGCTTCTCCAATGCTGGCGCATATGCCTGGGCAAGGGCGAAGTCTCCAACCTTGATACGCATGTAGTCCATTGCCCCGGCGACGGGTCCGGTATAAACACCGAGTCTTTGGTTGAATGTCGCCGTGTTCATGTTGATGTCGTCGGACAGTGGGGCGTCGTTGGAGTCCAATTGATCTTGAGGGTCATCAAATGGGATATCCGCGTCTGCGGGCTCCTTTGCAGCTGCGTCCCGGCTAGACTGGAATTTGCCTGGGTTTCGCTTCTCTACAAAGGCGATCTTCTGGTAGCGCTGGCTGAAATGAGTGAGCAGGACAGCGCGCGCTTGCATGCGGCGGCCGACTTCGATTGCCTCGGCGGAGGTCGAGTGCCGCTTGGCCCTAGCCGATCCGACCATGTCGGGTTGGAAGGTGGCCTCGTGAATAAGCACTGTCGAACCCTGTCCAATGGCGGCAAATTTATTCGATGGTCTGCAATCGCCAGAGTAGGAAACCTTAAATCCATTTGAGAAGACAAGGGACACAGCGAGTGCACCCCTGCAGTGTTTGACGCGACAAGTGAGTAGATCTGTAAGGCCGGTGGCAGACCTGAGAAGAGGAGTGAAGGGAGAGGATTCGTCCGTGAAGCTAACATTTTGCCGATGACGATTAGGTAGCTGGTGTGAGAACTGGGTGGTTATTTTAGAACCATTTACTTCAGGGTGTGCTGAAAGAGTAAGCAGCTTGTCAAATCCGAAGTCTTCGACCTGTGAATATTCTTCCAACCAGGAAATCATTGCATCATCAGATACAACAGCCAGTCGCTTCTCCAGGAGGACGTTGACCATATCGTTTTCACTTCTAGCAGCCGAGCCAAATCCATTGAAGTTCTCTGTGTGCCAGGCCTTGATCACAGAGACTGTTCCTAGGTGGTGATCAGCGTGCAAGTGGCTGATCCATATCATGCGCAGGTTCTGAAGCACTTCACGAAGTTCTTCAGGCTCGAAAACTCGCTTCAGTTGACCAAGAGTATTCTCGCCACAATCAAGCAAATAGTAGCCATATCCAGGCACCTTCACCAGCGTGGCAGAGACGTTTCGGTATTTGGATGGAACAGAGGAACCAGTACCCAGCGCGATAATCTCTGCATCCGCTCCAGGCCATTCTGTCCGTTGCGCGTGCAACATTTTCTGGAAAGCCGGCTTAGCGACGCGTTTGCGAATGACTTCCATCCGTTGCTCGACAGAGCGCGGAATGCTATGCATTGCATTCGCTGGGTTGAAGCGGGACATCACTTCATCGCTGTTGAACCCGAAATTAGGCTCCATGTTGATGATGAGTCCGGGTTCGAGAGGCTCCAGTGGAGAATTCGGACGAGCAGCAATTGCAGATTCTGAATTAGCGTTGGGGGTGCCAGGTTGGGGAAGCGACACATTGTTGTGAACAGGAACCGCGTAGCTATCGGGTTTCAGACGGGCGAGTCGAACAGTTGAGCCAGCGGAGCTAGTCATTGCCAGGTAGTTCGGGCAGTGGTCTGTGCTCGACACAGTGTGCTTGCAGTGGGACATGCTGGCTACGAATTCCTGGAATCTAGGGTGCTCAGCCACACCTGGTCCAAGAATCCAGATGAAGGCTTGCAACTCAGTCGTCACAGCTGGTGACTTCCATTCTGCACGGGTGACCAGATCCTCGACGTACTCGGACGATGGCACTTCCATGATGGCAACGCCTTTTCCAGCTCGCATCTGTCCCAAGACCATTTCTGGGGTGATAGTCTTGCCATCCAGAGATTGAACGCTCTCGCCCTTCGTCAAAGCGGAATATTTGGCACCCTTCTCAACATTCAATTCTTGGGCCTTCTTCGGGTCGAACTTTCCGCGAATGTCGTGATTCCGCACGATATAGCAGACCGCCTCCTTCGAGGGAGAAGTGGACGGGAGACTCTCGACAGTCGCACCGGGCCAGGGTTTTCGAACAAGAACATTGATGTCTGGAAGCGCATCTGGGCCACCCGGCATCGGACCTTTGTATTGCTCGAGGTCCTTGGTTTCAGGGTTGCGAATGAACATAGCGGCCGGCATCTTGACCTCAGCCAACGGGGTTTCATGGAGAGCGTCCATCTTCCATGTGGAGTTGAACATATCCTGCACAACGGACTGCGTCACTATCAGGTCCTTAGTACGCTGGTCCACATGATCTTCGGTCTGTTCAGATTCCTGAAACTCGTCCAAGCTCCGCTTTCGTGGACTCTGTGACCGCGGCTGCGTAACTCGAGAATGAGCCGATGGGCCAGGGTTAATGGGCAGGGCCCAGACTTTGATGTTAGAGTCGGACCATGAG